CAGCGGCTCATAGCCAAGCTGTACAGTAATTACATAACACCGTGACGTGGTTTGGGGACAATAGACATATGATCACATACGTAATTTTCCACATCCCATTTTAGGTAGCAGAGCACCATCATGATGGCCAGTGCTTCACCGGAGGGCACGAAAGGGGTGACTGCTTCAAGCAAATGTGCTAAAGTGAAGAGACAGCCCAGGGTAGCCTGTGGAAGGCCCAAGGCTGTTCTCGGAGTCTCCCGCCGCTGTTTTGATTTTATATTGTGAATCTGATTAGTACATACATGGTCACGATTGTGGACGCACCTTGAGTGCCACAGCGGAGTCCACATTCCGTGTGGGGGGTATTTATTCTCTTTACACCTCTTTCCATCTCTCCCTCCACTTGTATCTACCTACTCATGGAGAACATCACCCCCCCTGCCCTCGATAGTCAGCAGATGCCCAAGCAATATCCTGCGGGCAATCCAGCTAAACAACAGGCTCGCGTGCCCGAGCAATACCCTGTGGGCAACCCGGCTGAAGAACAGCGGATGCCCGAGCAATATCTTGGGGGCAAACCGGGCGAGCCTTCTGGCCCTCAAAGGGCGTTAGTTCGAACATATGCCCAATACTTAGACTCTGTGGGCAAACCGGACGAGCCTTCTGGCCCTCAAACGACGTTAGTTCGAACATATGCCGAATACTTAGACTCTGTGGGCAAACCGGACGAGCCTTCTGGCCCTCAAACGACGTTAGTTCGAACATATGCCCAATACTTTTAGTAATATTTGATAGGAATAGCTATCGCATCGCGTCTCATCACGACGCTGATATATGCATCTCCGACACTTGTTATACCAGTGTCATGAATATGGAATTGATCTATGTACTTTATATCGCATCTGGTGCAAAGAACACCATTATCGCCCGTACTTATATGGTTGTCCTTTACCGTTTCATATTTGAAATATTACATGCCTTCCTCCCCCCAGTCTCAGTTGACGAACAATACACCATCCTTGGCCGCTGGACCACTGATCCTTGAAGCTTGAAGTCTGGGGCTCTTAGCCTCCGCCTGCAAATCAACAGTATTCTCCATCCCCGCCTTCAAATTCTCTTTCATTTGTAACACTCGCCTTAGGATGTTGTTCCTCATCGATGACACTCTTCATTACCTCTCCAATGGATTCGTTCTGACTTCACCAAAGCACGCTCAAATAATTCCTATCATCAAGCTGAATTCGTGATTCAAACCTGTGTCTAGCACAGACGCAGGTCGAAAGGTTGGACGCGCGCTCTGGGCTGGAAATTCTCTACTCGGGAACGGTGGCACGGAGTCGCCTTTCTGACCCGGAAACTTGGAGTGTATGGATAGGAAGAACGGTGGCATGAAAGACTGTTAGAACACACGTTTGGTACAGAAATGACTCCCCAACTGAGTTCAAGTAATTTAGGGAGTAAGCGTCGTGGCTGATACCGCACTTTCCATACTAGTAGAGGCTATTCAACGACCCACCTTCCGAATCCCTGGGACCTGCTTTCAATCGCAGCTTAACGGCGCCCTTAAAGAACCTGCTAGGCCGGCACCAAAGAACCCCAAGTTCCCCGGTTTCGACATTTTCAGATAGATAGCAAGTATACAATGGACGTGCCAGGTGTGGTAGCGAAGATATGCCAATAGCATGGATGGCGAATGAGACCAGCGATCTGCAACAGTAGACGAGGGATCGATGAGGACCTCGTCGGCCTGAGACTTGGGTGCGTTTGATAATTTGGAGCTGATGACTGCCCGTATCATGTGGGGACAAAATATCTTAAGGTACAAGACTTGTGTAGTGCAGCGCAATGAAAGCAGCATAGCTATGTCGCATGGAGCATGTTGTAATATCTACATAGGGAAGACTGTCAAAAAGAAAACGGTAGCAGAACAAGAAGGAAATACAAGACAATGATGGAGCGCAGAAGGACATTGGAGAAGTAGAGAAGCTAAATGAAAAAGTCAATCAAGCACGAAACTCGCCAAGTTTCTTCCTAAGGCTCATTGTCTGTGTGCTCAATAGATGCGCAATTAATCCAGAGCAAGAAACGAATCCAACATCCGGCCTGTATAACGGTGATGTTATGTTGCGACGTCGTTCCAGTCGCCGATGGAGTAGTGGCGGCTGTGGGAAGTGCCTTAGATGTTGTAGCAAGTGGTTGCTGCGATGATGGTGGCGTGTTCTGGGTTCCTGCGCTGGATTGCTGCGTGGTATGAAGATTTAGAGGTAGAGAGGAGCTGGCAGCTGGCTTCTTTCTCTTTCTCGCATGATAGTCCCTCTGCGAGAGAATGGGTCAGTGATAGAGACGAAGCCAGAAGGGAGAGATGTACCGGTTTGCCACTTGTGCATGGAACCTCAACTACAGGCGGCTCTTGCGACGGAATGTCAGATCCATTTCGTTCACGTAGCATGTCAGGGATAAGGTTTTGAGCCAACCTGGGATGGCGGGACTGGGATCGTGTGCTGGGCTCAGTTGTCCCATGTGTATCTGAGCGGCGGTGGCACCAAAGGGAGGGCAAACGACCCGGGAGCCATTGACGTGGTGATGCAGTGTGATGGCCACGTCGCTCATCGGATGGGACACCACGCATAGTAGAGGACTGGTGTTTCTGTCAAGCAGGACTCTCCCATCATAGATGAAAATGACATACATCTTTGAAGAATCCTCGGGGTATTCGACGAATGTCTTTGATTGGTGGGGCTCGACGCCGTGTGGCATCATCCTGGTGTGTAGATCGTGATTGAAGTTAAGCAATAAGATAAGAAACATATGGCATACATTTAATGAAAACTTGTGGACGGTTTTCTGAGGTGAACGAATCAATGTGCCGTGTGAAAGTTTTGAAGAGGTACAAAACATACCTTCTTCTGGGAGGATAAGATCAGTTTGGTGGAGATTGACATGCATTCAAACATACTTTTTTTAAGATAGCAGAGACATCCCATATGTACACGTAGCCGTCGTCGCACCCGGTCACTAGCAATTTTCCATCCTCAGAAAAAGTCGCACATGCTACATAGTCGTCATGGTGGAGGGGTGGTCCAATGGGCTGATTGTTTGCGAAGTTCCATAGTTGGCTTGCACTGTCTGCTGACTCTGCTCGATCGACGATACGCTTGCCAGGATGTGTTCATTTAAATTTTAGAGATGTTGAAATCACGTGTACAGTGTCGGGAAATTGAGGTTCGAGAAACCTCATTTGCCAGGTGGCGGTGTCGAATTTCGATATCCCGGAGATGAGTGGATCCAGATTCTTGGTCCATACCATGTACCGACGAAAATCCTTAGATAGTGTTGTGAGCAATTTGCCTGTGTTGGCATCCCAGACTTTCGCCCCAAAGTAGTCCCCGCCTGTCGCAATCATCTCGCCATCGGGTGAGTAACTGCAATCCGAGCCCGGCCACACGGCGTCCTCCTTTTTCTTCGACATTTCTATTGCTAGTATTAATATTGTCTCACCGTTCTCGACATCCCACACTCTGAATGTTTCATCTTCGGATCCGCTCACCACTCGCTGTCCGTCTGGACTCCAGCACACAGACTCCACCCGCTTTGTGTGCCCCGTCCATTTTTTTGACGACCTTGCCCGTGTCGATGTCCCACAACCTCACTGCGCCATCATCACTCCCACTTGCTATTGTCTTGCCATCTGGCGACAATCTTATACCGAACACACTCCCACTCCCTTCGTCCGTCCAGGCCTCCCCGACCTGTGCTCCACTCTCCAAGTCCCAGACTCGAAGTGAGGAGTTATTGTATGAACAGGTGATGATCTGCTGTCCACCAGGCAGGCGTAAGATGTTATTGACACGATAGAGGCGTGCTTCCATCTTTTTGTCAAGCGGTACCACTGATATTTTCTGCATTGGAGCGGCAGGGGAAGACATGATTCCTGCTCGAAGACTTCGCCTAAGACAATGTCAGCTCCTACCTCGAAACGCTACACGAATGGTGTCACTTACTCACAGTTGCTCCACTTGTGCGTGTGTAGTATGAAAGCTGCGACGGAGTGGACGTTTTCTTCGGTGCAAAGTGTAGTTGGGATGCAGATCGTTGTTGGAGTTATGGGTGCGTCTTTCATGCTGTATCCTCCACAGCTTGAACTCGGGCTATGCAGATCAAGCGCCCAAATCTTGTTTTCTAAAAATATGCGCACTTTCTTCGCTTCCGTTGATCTCAGTACGGGAGCGACAGAAATCACCCATATATCAACCTTGATCTCACTCGCCCGCGACTCGAACTTGCCCCATCAAAAGATATGGTTGTGAATCAGCGGACAAAGCAGTGAGTCGTTGCCGTAGCCCGCATCTCTTCCATGCTAACCGGTCTGCATCAGGGAGAATTTCTGCTCGGCATGACGAGCACGTTTTTCGGGGATAAAGCCCTTACGATGATCAACAGCCTGAGTCTCCCTTATGCGATGCTCATGTGGGGGTGGGTGGGATTAATACTCTCTGACTAGGGCTAATGACCGTTACCTTGCCCCTTACTAGGATGATTTACTTTTCAATGGCCCTGTTGACCAACGTATTCAAGTTTACGATTACGGCCATGTTGGCATCCATTGTCACAACTTGTCAGTGGGTGCGTGGTGGTTCATCTGGGCAGCAAGAGAAATGCATGTTTTGACTGTTCATGCGATCACGTACGTAACTTGTAGAATTCACACTAACGCTTGTCTGCTTAGATGGCTTTACTACCGACCGTGATTATCATAAAACCCACGTCAACTTTGTCCAGGCTTCGGTTATCGTATGTCAGCGATTGTTGATATGCTGCTAGGGGTCTGAGAAGGGCCAACACCATCATAGAACCTATGAGGGTAGTGGGTTTGGGCAGTTGTGTTTTCCATCGCGGTCACCACCAGGGGTTCATTATGTCGCTCCTCCTGAATGATGCTGAGGCACCACGCTCAGCTTATATAACCATATGCGCCCCTACCGTGACAGTCCCCTATCATCAAATTCTAAACCAAAACCATGACAGCTGAGGACATTGAAAGTCAAGCCTCTGTAATGCTTCAGGTGGTCAACGACTTCTATCAAGGCATCATGCGGATTCAGATCCCTCCCTACGTCACTTTCATTTTCCCAAGATATACCGAACGACTCCGTGGCAATTACTGGTGGGGATTAATGCCTGATTATAATCTTCCCGTCATACAATTCACATTCTTGCAAAAACTCGAGCACTGCAAGGCTTTGCGAGATCCAGGCCATGAATTCCTCATCGCGTACTTCACCGCAGAGCTATACGGCAAAAGCCTCCAAACAAGTCTAATAATAGACCGTTGTCCAGATCAATCAGATCATAATATCGACTTCTGGTGCACAAAATATTCATTCAAATGGTTTTGTCCGCACACAACCCCAACTCCAACATCCTCCGGTGACAACATCCAAGGTACATCCGGAGGGTGCGCGGAACCTGTCGAATCCATGGACCGTATCATGATACCCCCGTATGGATTATGGCGTGGGCTCAAACCCCTAGCTGAAGGAGCGTTCGGAAGCTACAAAGTACTCAGCACCCTCAACGAGACCCGCTCCATGAATTTAGCACAATTTGCTGCGCTGATTGAGGTTATCGACGACTTTGCACCCTGGTACACGCAGACAATGCACCAGTGTTCTTGGTTTGCCTTGCTAGTCTTCTCCCTGGTCAAGGATGAGGCAGGCGGCGAAGAAACTCCCGGGGAGGATATAGACGAACGAGGTACACGGCTAGGTATGACACTATTGGAAAATATCCACGATGACGAGGAGGCAGTGAGGGTTAGGTACCGTCAGGCATGTGTTCTGCTCATCCTCGAGACTGCCAGCATTCAACTGATGTGACATGTTATACAGGCAATTACACATCTTGGTAGACCTATTTTGAAGACGGGGCTACGTCCAAGTGAAGTTGGAGTTCCCGTGTTCCATGCTAGCTCGATCCCCAGGAGGAAGGTTGATGAAGCAACTAGGTTGCGGGAAGAGAACGCTCGGTATTTGATGGACGCACTGGGGTATTTATATGCTCTATGGTCACCTTCATTCTAGTCGTTCTTGTTCGTATGTAGTCGTAAATGCTTGTTGACCCACAAATGTAAAACACGCACTTTATGGGCTTCACTTGAACCTGATTTTGGTAACATCTTCGAAGGCATAAATATTGTGGTCGCAGTAACCTTCTGAAGTTCTTCAGATCATCTTGAAGACGATGTGTCTTAGCCACGGCACGGTGCTTTGAATGACCCCCCTCCAGAAGTACGAATGAGTTGAATCATCTTGCACCGGTGTTAGCGAGTCGATCCGAGTCAATTGAAAAGTGTTTAGTTTACAATGGACATGGTGCGATGCTCGAGTTTGCATCGTCGCACTACACCAACTTGATTGGATGAAGTTCTGTCGCAACAAGAATATCTAAGGGTACAAGACGTGTATACTGCAGTACAACGAAAGCAGCATAGCTATGTCGCATGAAGTGTGCTGGGGATCTACATAGGGCATAGAGAAGACTGCGTCAAAAAGAAAACGGCAGCAGAACACGAAGGAAATACAATACAACGATGGAGCGCAAAAGGACTATGGAGAAGTAGAGAAGCTAAGTGAAAAAATCACGCCTCGTATCCAATACTCGTAATCTACGTCACAATACAACATCCGGCCTCTGAATCTGTTTGCTCGGCCGCGCGAAGTGCCTCAGCACGTTGTTGCTGCATTGGCTTCCTTCTCGCATGATAGTTCCTCTGCGCAAAAATGAGACAGTGAAAAGAACCTAGGAGAAGAAAACGTACAGGCTTGGGCTGAGAATCCATCACACGGATCTCATCATTGGTATCATCATAGTTCCCCTGCGTGAAAATGAGACAGTGAAAAGAACCTAGAAGGAGAAAATAAAACGCACATCATTAGAGGAACCCATGAGTAGTAGCCGTGGCAATTGCAATTGTGTACTCCTGACTTATATGCAGAAATTTACGGTGGCGCTAAGCCGAAACACCAAGCGAGAGCACGTCACATGACCAGGTTCGTGTGGGATTCGCTGACCGCATGACCAGGTTCGTGTGACAGGCGTGAGTTTTGGACCTTGGTTGAAAAAACAGAACGTTTCAACAAATGCGCTGGCGGGACGGAACGAACGCGAGTGGGGTGCGAGCATGATTAGCGACGGCGAGTGGTAAGGTAGAGACCGTAGAGTATCAGTGGTATGCTACTAGTAGGGCCTCAGTGAGTGTGGAATGTACAGAGTCAGCCAAAGCAGTGAAACGTTCATCGTAGCGAAGCAGTGAAAGCACTGGGGGCACCAGGAAAACCACACACGTTGCTTATTTGTCACTTTTTACTTGAAAAGTGACTGATAAGTCATTTGGGTGAAAAAGTGCAAGTGGTCTGATTCCTTTTGCTCCCATGTACCATCCTCACCCTCATCAATCAGAATCAACTCTTGCGCATGCTATGCAGGATATCGGCCTTGGACTGGACCACGCCACTGTTGACTTCAGCGCTGTACTGGCAGACCTGCAGACTACTGTGAGTCACCTGCAGTCTGCTGTAACCACTCTGCAGAATACAATTACAACTCTCGCTTCATCTCCATTGGTAAGTCCCTGATTCATCACAAGTATGACTTCAGGTAGGCTGACCGCTCATCATTGTATTACCTAGGTCCAACAAATGCAACCATCTGTCCAGGCTGTTACCACAGCTTCTACCGTTACGGGTGCCATGCCTAGTCCATCTACTCCCCAGCATGCTAACTCGTCTGAGGCGTCTCCGCCTCTAGCATCCAGTAATGCAACCTCTCCTATTAGCCCCACCAACCCTCTCCGTTTAAAACCATCCGCTGTAAATCACGCATCGCGATATGAGAATCGCCCTCATGTGTATGTAGATTTAGCTTATCACAGTAGCGAATGACCTTGAGAAGCCCCCCAGTGACACGTCTTGCGCGTCCAGCGGAATTCCAGCTTTCATGCATACTTTCCCCAACCAGTGAGTACACTAGCCCAGGGATTATGTGAATTCGGATTACGAATGGTGCAGATCATGTCCTTGGGTGAATGGTGACTGGCAGTCGTGCATACATCCTGAAGGCGCGCTGTATCTGTACAATGGTCGCAAGGTAAGTAATGTGTATTTTTCATAAACCATTGGCCATAACGCCTACAGAGGGCCTTTACTGAAGGACACATTGATGAATCGTTGTTCCGCTTGATGGACATATGCGTTAATGAGCTATACAACATGGCACGCACACAATTATCAAACTTTGACGCTGGTAATATGGAGTTCGTCGTTCAGTCAGTGTCCGAGTATCCAAATGAATGTCATTACTACTTTGTCGATCATACAACCCGAACTCTTTTTTGGCTGGCCGACCAAGATCACAATGAAGCGACGTACAACATCTTTGATGACTTCCCAGGCGTCTGTGATCCGAGTCACATCCGTACGTTATTTGAGTCTATAGTGTCTATGATATGAACTAGCCAGCAGGATATGCCTTGGAGTCCCAATACTGGTTCGTCGGTTATATTCGTGAGTTTCACTTCCTTCTGGTCGGACCAATTTTGATTTGAGTGTTTGCAGATCCATTGTGAGCATCGTCAACTGGAACGAGTAGGACGCACTGCGAACGCTACCCGAAACACGAGCTGGATCGAGTCAAGCTTCTGAAAGAACTGAGGGAGGTTGTTGTGCATGCGAGCGCAGGTAATTGATTGCCTGTAATTGACCCTCAATCCTTTTTGAACGTGAGACGCAGAGCTCATCACTTCGGATGATGCCTCTTTGTCGCCTTTTAGTGCTGATGAACTTTCCAGAATCCTAGAGCTGGCCAACCATCTTCAAGGTGCAACAAGTCTCCTTCGAACCGTTTATCTTGTAAAGTCTAAAGTATTACATATTTCCAGAGCATGCTCGGGAAACTGATTTCCCTCATTCCATTTGCGTCATCGGTACGTGAAGCTATGTATACGGCGTGATATACCGGGAGACTCACTATTTTGACAATAGCAAAGTTCATGCATTACTTCAGTATGTTCTTGGTCTCGGCGCTTCAGCGCGCAGCTCATTCTTTTTCAAGGTAAAGCCAAGTATTACAATTTCTGCGGTCTACCTTGCGCTCGTCTCGATGCCGACAGATCTATATACAGCGAGATTACTAGCTTTGATCCACTGACCAGCAGTTTTTCTTTAGCCCTTGACGCCATGCTTTTCTGGGCACCACGATCACACTTGAACGATCTTCGAAGGGTATGGGTGGATAAGTGCATCAACTCACCACGGTGGAAAGACTACAACACAAAACTCATGGCGGAGTGGACAGGAATCACAATCTACGTGCGTATCATCAACTCCACATCGCGCTTCGTGAGGATCTTGATCCTGGTTTTGTTCCCACCAGTCCACCGTCATGTTAGCCGTAGATGTGAGTTTTCTAGCAGTGCCGAACGTGAACATTTCTTCGTCGCAGTCGATCGGGATTATTGCTACCTACCTCTCGATTATCTCTATCACTGGCTCCTTGGTCGTCTCAGTCCTGCTGGTCCGTCAAAACCAAAGATATGGTTGTGAATCAGCAGACAAAGCAGTAAGTCGTCACCGTAGCGCGCATCTCTTCCATGCTAACCAGTCTGCATCAGGATGAATTTCTGCGCAGCATGACGGGCACGTTTTTCGGGGATAAAGCCCTTGCGACGGTCAACAGTCTCCCTTACGCGATGCTTATGTGGGGGTGGGTGGCATTGATACTCTCTGGCCAGGGCTAATGACCGATACCTTGCCCTTTACTAGGATGATTTACTTTTCGGTCGCCCTGTTGTACAACGTGTTCAAGTTTACGACGACGGCCATGCTGGCATCGGTTGTCAGTGGATCCGTGGTCGTTACCATGTTTATATTGTGGTTCATCTGGGCAGCAGGAGATTTGCATGTCTTCAAGCGACTGGCTGAGCTCGCCTCATCTGCCAGGAGTCGCTTCTTAGAACGCCTTAGGGGTTATTTCCACTTTCCACTGAACCCACACAACTCCGACTTTCTCGTACATCACAGTCGGACTCATCTGACATCGATCCCCATAACAGCTGACAGATTATCAGACGCTAATGTAGATACTGTATAATCACAACAGTCATGGAAAACGAGAATGAGATACACAGATGATATATATATAAAACACAAAGAACACGCAAGCCAAAACGTCGCTCCTCAAATTTTAGGTGTCTGTACTAAATTACATGCGACAAACCTCGAGCCATGCCTGTCTTATGGTGATGAGTGACGCAGTCATGCTCGTAGCATAAAATATCTAGGAATCGCATCGTGAAGGTCTTGGACGAACTTGCTGATTTGTAGACGAAAGTTTTCATCACAGCGGGCGTGATGTAGACTCAGGCCTGGACAACCGTTAGCAGCAAAACTTGCAAGTTACGAAGAAGCCACACTCCATAGGGGAAGAAGCATCCGGCTTCAACGACGTGCTGAGCCACATCCGAGATACATTCTCGCAACCAGCGCAAATAACTGGGCTGGGTTCGCATGTCCGCTCGTCTGCGCCAGACAACATCGCGTATAGATAATCTTGAAGGTGTTCCCGTCCAACTATGAAGCACCGAAGGTCTGCTGGGGATAACTGGAGGTGGCTTTGGCCACCGTCGGCTAGATGAGTCCAACGCAGTATTGAAAGCGCGTAGAATGAGGCAGGAAGAACTTTAGGAACATTACATTCTCGTGCGAGGCATATGGCCTCTAGGGAACATTTTAGACCGATCTACAGGAGATTTGCTGCGCTCATTGAGGTCATCGACGACTTTGCACCCTGATACACGCAGACAATGCACCAGTGTTCTTGGTTTGCCTTGCTAGTCTTCTCCCTGGTCAAGGATGAGGCAGGTGGCGAAGAAACTCCCGGGGAGGATATAGACGAACGAGGTACACGGTTAGGTATGATACTAGTATTGGGAAATTTTCACGATGACGAGGAGGCAGTGAGGGTCAGGTACCGCGAGGCATGTGTTCTGCTCATCCTCAAGACTGCCAGCATTCAACTGATGTGACATGCTATCCAGGCAATTACACAGCTTGGTAAACCTATTTTGAAGACAGTGTCACGTCCTAGTGAAGTTGGAGTTCCCGTATGGCATGCTGGCTCGATCTCCAGGAGGAAGGTTGATGAAGCAACTAGGTTGCGGGAAGAGAATGCTCGATATTTGATGGACGCATTGGGGTATTTATATGCTCGATGGTCACCTCCATTCTAGTCGTTCTTGTTCGTATGTAGTCTGTGTCATGAGCAAATGCTTGTTGACCCACAAATATAAAGTGTACGCTTTATGGTTGCTTTATGTGCTTCAGCTCATAAATAGCAGAATTGTGAGACACGCTGATGGATCAAGACGCATGATTGGATAAGGTTCAGTCGCAACAAGAGTATCTAAGGGTACAAGACGTATGTATTGCAGTACAATGAAAGCAGCATGGCTATGTCACATGAAGCGCGCTAAGGATCTACATAGGGCATAGAGAAGACTGTCAAAAAGAAAACGGTAGCAGAACGCGAAGGAAATACAATACAACAATGGAGCGCAAAAGGACTATGGAGAAGTAGAGAAGCTAAACGAAAGAGTCAATCAAGCATGAATGTCGCGAAATTTCTTCCTAATGCTCATGATCTGTGTGCTCAATAGACGCGCAACCAATCCAGAGCAAGAAACGAACCCAACATCCGGCCTGTATTACAGTAATGTTATGTTGCGACATCGTTCCAGTCGTCAATGCGGTAGTGGCGGTTGCGGGAAGTGACTTAGATGTCGTAACAAGTGGTTGCTGTGATGATGATGGTGTGTTCTGGGTTGCTGCGCTGGATTGCTGCATGGTACGAGGATTGAGAGGAAGAGAGAAGCTGGAAATTGGCTGCGTGTTCTGGGTTCCTGCGCTGGATTGCTGTGTCGTATAAAGATTTCCAGGTAGAGAGGAGCTGGCAGCTGGCTTCTTTCTCTTTCTCGCATGATAGTCCCTCTGCGAGAGAATGGGTCAGTGATAGAGACGAAGCCAGAAGGGAGAGACGTACAGGTTTGCCAGCCGTGCATGGAACCTCAACTACAGGTGGCTCCCGCGACTGAATGTCCGATCCATTTCGTTTACACAGCATGTCAGGGATAAGATTTCGAGCCAACCTGGGAGGGCGGGACTGGGATCGAGGGTTGGGCTCGGTTGTCCCATGGATATCTGAGCGGCGGTGGCGCCAAGTGGGGGGCAAACGACCCAGGAGCCATTGACGTGATGATGCAGTGTGGTGGCCACGGCACCCATCGGATGGGACACCAGGCATAGTAGAGGGCTGGTGTTTCTGTCAAGCAGGACTCTCTATCATAGATGAAATCGCATACATCTCGTGTATCATCAAAGAATCCTCGGGGTATTCGAATTGGTGGGGCTCGAAACCGTGTGGCATCATCCTGGTGTGTAGATCGTGATTGAAGTTAAGCAATAAGATAAGAAACATATGGCATACATTTAATGAAAACTTGTGGACGGTTTTCTGAGGTGACCGAATCAATGTGCCGTGTGAAAGTTTTGAAGAGGTACGAAACATACCTTCTTCTGGGAGGATAAGATCAGTTTGGTGGAGATTGACATGCATTCAAACATACTTTTTTTAAGATAGCAGAGACATCCCATATGTACACGTAGCCGTCGTCGCACCCGGTCACTAGCAATTTTCCATCCTCAGAAAAAGTCGCACATGCTACATAGTTGTCATGGTGGAGGGGTGGTCCAATGGGCTGATAGTTTGCGAAGTTCCATAGTTGCACTGTCTGCCGACTCTGCTCGATCGACGATACGCTTGCAAGGATGCGTTCATTTAGCGATATTGAAATCACGTGTACAGTGTCGGGAAATTGAGGTTCACGAAACCTTATTTGCCAGGTGGCGGTGTCGATGTTCGATATCCCGGAGATGAGTGGATCCGGATCCTTGATCCATGCCAGGCTCCGACGAAAATCCTCAGATAGTGTTGTGAGCAGTTTTCCTGTGTTGGCATCCCAGATATTCCGCCCGTAGTTGTCCGCACCTGTCGCAATCATCTTGCCATCGGGTGAGTAATAGCAAACCGGCCACACCGTGACGGCGTCCTCCTCTTTCCTCGACATTTCTGTTGCTAGTATTAATATTGTCTCACCATTCTCGACATCCCACACTCTGAACGTTTCATCTTTGGATCCGCTCACCACTCGCTGTCCGTCTGGACTCCAGCTGACATACTGTACCCACTTTGTGTGCCCCGTCCATTTTTTGACGACCTTGCCCGTGTCGATGTCCCACAACCTCACTGCGCCATCCTCACTCCCACTTGCTATTGTCTTGCCATCTGGCGACAATTCTATATCGAACACATGCCCACTCCCTTCGTCCGTCCAGGCCTCCCCGACCTGTGCTCCACTCTCCAAGTCCCAGACTCGAAGTGAGGAGTTATTGTATGAACAGGTGATGATCTGCTGTCCACCAGGCAGGTGTAAGATGTTATTGACACGATAGAGGCGTGCTTCCATCTTTTTGTCAAGCGGTACCACTGATATTTTCTGCATTGGAGCGGCAGGGGAAGTCATGATTCCTGCTCGAAGACTTCGCCTAAGGCAATGTCAGCTCCTACTCCCAAACGCTACATGAATGGTGTCACTTACTCACAGTTGCTTCGCTTGTACGTGTGTAGTATGAATGCTGCGACGGAGTGGAGTCAGTGGACGTTTTCTTCGGTGCGCAGTGTAGTTGGGATGCAGATCGTTGTTGGAGTTATGGGTGCGTCTTTCATGCTGTATCCTTCACAGCTTGAATTCGGGCTGTGGAGATCAAGCGCCCAAGTCTGATTTTCTAGAAATATGCGCACTTTCTTCTTCTCCGTTGATCTCGCTCGCCCGCGACTCGAACTTGCCCTAACCAGCAAGACTTACATGGGTTGCAGTTTCGCTTGGATGTCGTTACGCCAACAAGAAGCCTCCGTAACAAAAAGACGATTTCCATTGAGATAACGTCGCCGGTGCGTACTCCTCCATCTGACCCAACTGTATTACTCATTCACAGCTTGAGCACAGGCTGTGCGACATTCCCCTCAAGTATTACACATTTCCAAAGATCGGCTACATCGTTATATGTCGTCGTTTCCTCATCGACACAGTAATCCAACAAGCAAGAGAATAGAAGACTCTACCTTCAAATCCTGTTTGCATTTGTAAAGCCACGTCAATTGATATCATCCTGTTCGAGGTATAAATATAGTTTTGTACATCATCCCGCTGACGGCCCGCACCAAAAGGCAATTCAAGTATTAGATAGAAGACCATACCCTGGATACTAGCCTAGTGACCTCGCTGATGAATCTCCGCTCAAGCCACATTGACATTTCCTAGATTTCCTAATTAACGTTGTCTTCAGTTCACACGGACAGCATGATAATATCCACACTCACTCTCAACGACGGCAATCAAGTCCCCTGGATCGCATTTGGCACTGGTACGGCGTTCCGCCAGCAAGATGCACAGAATGTACATAACGCTGTCGAAACCGCCATCGCAAACGGTTTCACGCACCTCGATGGTGCCCAGATGTATGAGAACGAAGAGAGCTTGGGTACTGCCATCAAGACCTCTGGCACGCCTCGCTCTGCGCTCTTCGTCACCACTAAGCTCAATCGACTGCAGCCCGACCAAACTGCTAAGACCGCGCTGCATGTGTCGCTGAAGAAATTGGGCTTGGAGTACGTAGATCTATACCTCGTGCACGAGCCCGGCCCCCATGCGGGCCGGCTGAAGGAGGTGTGGAAGGTGATGGAGGAGTGCAAGAGGGAAGGACTGGCAAAGTCCATTGGTGTGTCGAATTTCGATGTTGCGCATCTGCAAGAGATCTTGGAGGACGCCGAGTTTCCGCCTTCGGTGAACCAGGTGAGTTAAATCATGTCAGTGTCAGTATTGTATTTTTTTTTTAACAATCCCCTTCATGAAAGGTTGAGATCCACCCGTACGTGTGGAAGTCCTTGCAGCCCGTGATTGCGTTGCACAAAGAACATGGCATCGTTACGTCCTCTTATGGCGGCCTATCGTCCCTCTTTCGCACACCAGGAGGGCCTCTGGATCCCGTCATCGAGATAATCAGGGCACGCCTTGAGTCCACTCGAGGACAACCCGTGTCGATCGGCCAAGCACTCAACAAGTGGTTGCAGCAGTACGGTATTCTGGTCGTCACGTATGTTTCGTCTGTCCTGGGGTGCGCTATGTTATTGTGGGTGCTTACACAGTGTCGATCAGCACGTCAAGTAAAGCGGATAGGATGAGAGAATATCTTGATACGGCCAACGTTCCAGAGTTGACAGCTGAGGAAATCGAGTCGATTGAGAATGCTGGAGCGCAGCATTACTATAAATTCATCGTACTGTCCGACTGATTAGATGATCGTTATAATACTGATCAAAATGCTTTATAGTTAGTTCGTATATTAAGATTGACGGAAATTGAACTTCGGTACCCTGAACGTGGGCTGCTGCGAGCTCCATATCAAGCGGGACTTGTCGTAGCATAAAACATACATCTAATCACTACGTGTGATGTAGAGTGCTTGGGAATGAGCTCGCGGACGATAATAATGTAGCAAGGAGACTCACCAGAGTTTTCGAGTTCACTATCGGCACTAGTGGTCCGCCGATCTTCTAAACTGCCTATCCACAGCACGAAAGCGACGTAAACCAGATGTAGGCGGTTCAACGTTGGAAGGAGAAGCAAACTTCGTTATACTCGAATCACCCCCATTGCCCCAGCGATGAGAGCAACTGTACGTCCTAGTAGTATCAAAATGAAGATCAGCGACACAAGAACCGAGCTTAACCTCGGAGTAGCGGAAATACGTACGGCACAATCAAAGCATAAAATGATAGCCGTATCACATCATGAAGCGCACAGATAGTCAATAGGAATTACATTAGACGTTGAAGCATACACGACATTACGCAGGCTGAGGTTGAAATTCATGCAGGTACTAAACAAGATTGTTCAGCGCGAAAAAGGTAGATAGCAGGAAGGATAAAAAAGATACAGTACAAATGATGGAGCACATGAGAGCCATGGCATGGGAGGATACAGAATGTCAAAACGACGCATAAAATCCGCTATCTATCTTCCCTAGGGCCTAATGTTGACTGTCCGTGTACTGAATGGACACGCAACTAATCCATAGCAAGAACCGAGTCCACCATCCAGCCCGCTTTATGGTGATATCAAGGTGCGATGGTGTTCCAGTCGCTAATGCGGTGGTGGCAACTGCGGGAATCGTGTCGGATATCGTGATAGTGGCAGATGGTTGCTGTGATGATGGTGGTGGCATGCTCTGGATTGCTTCACTGGGTTGATGTATGGCATAAGTATCGGGTCTCGTAGTTGTCTTCTTTCTCGCATGATAGTTCCTCTGCGTGAAAATGAGACAGTGAAAAGAATCTAAAAGGAGAACAAACAGGCTTGAGCGCACACGCTTTAGGTGATCGAACTTGGCGTCGCGGGTCGGATATCGTGATAGTGGCAGGTGGTTGCTGTGATGGTGGTGGTGATATGCTCTGTGTTGCTCATAAATATTGGGTTCTTTGGTTGGTTCTGTCTCACATAATAGGTCTGCGTGGGAATGAGACAGTGAACTTAAGAACCTAGGAGAAGAAAAAAAACACAGGCCGGAGCGGAGCATGGTACTTCACCTGTGATTTGGTAGTGGCAGGTGATTGCTGTGATGATGATGATGATGGTGGTGGTGGTATACTCTGTGTTGCTTCGCTGAGTTGATGTACCACATAAGGTCTCGTAGTTGTCTGCTTTCTCGCATGATAGTCCCTCTGCGTGAAAATGAGACAATGAAAGGAATCTAGGAGAAGAAAACGCACAGGCTGGGACGCTACCGGCGATACCTGATAGTTTTGCACCAGCGGAACCAGAGGCTGCATAGGCTGAGACGGAGCCTGCCAAGGGTAGTATATCGGCCACACTTCATCATTAATATTGCGCCAACCCATGAGTTGTAGCTCTTGTGGCAATTGTATAGACACGGGTCAGGTCAAGACCTCCAGGGACCAGCACCGCTTAAAGTTGGTAAGATATAATCATCTCGTAAAAAACCCGGAGAATCGCGTGTGCTCAATTGAACGTTGAGCTCTGCATACAGCTCGCGCTCCAAGCCACACTATAATTCAAACTTCTATGCATGTGCATTTCCATAATAAAACCCGTGCATAAATTTACTTGATTATGCAGCGTGCAACTAATCAAAGCCATCTTCCATCTTTCCTGCAACGTGGAACCACTGAACAGCGGCAACCCATCTGACATCAACATATGTTGCTGAGCGCGACATTGATCCGAAGACTCTTGAAACGGCTGTGCCAAGTGTTGGCGGCGCTCGCGACTTCATCTGCCCAACGACTGCGCATTCTCGTATCATGCTTTCGACGCTTTGTGGCCAAGGTTCACGTTCTAACCTCGCACGATACTGACTCCAAGTCCACTGGAGACCCATGCTGCACTGTCTTTACTGGGACTTCCAGTGCACGATGTTCCCAATCCACCTTGCCATTACCGCTTTACACTACTCCACCGAGTGCAGCAAGCCCCGTAGTCCCAACACCTACGAGTGCCATGCCTGTTCCACCCACCCCCCAGCATGCTAACCCGCCTCAGACGTCTTCGCCTCCAGCAGCCGGTAATGCAATCTCTCCCATTAGCCCCGCCACTGCTCTCTATTTTATACCATCCGCTGTCAATTACGCATCCCGATATGAGAATCGTCCTCACGTGTAAGTGGATTCAGCTCATCACAATAGTGAATGACCTTGAAAAGCCCTCCAGAGACGCATCTCGTGTGTCCAGCGGAATTCCAGCATTCATGAGGACTTTTCCCAACCAGTGAGTACACCAGCCAATGATTATGTGAATGCGGCTTGTGAATGGTGCAGATCATGTCCTTGGCTGAATGGTGACTGGGAGTCGTGCATACATCCTGAAGGCGCGCTGTATCTGTACAATGGTCGCAAGGTAAGTAATGCCTATTTTTCATAAACCGTTGACCTTAACACCTACAGAGGGCCTTTACTGAAGGACACATTGATGAATCGTCGTTCCGCTTGATGGACAGATGCGTGGATGAGCTATATGATCGGGGACGCACAATAACACCAAACTTTGACGCTAATGATATCGAGCTCGTGGTGCAGGTAGTGCCCGCGCACACAGATTATTGTCAATACTACTTTGTCGACCATACAACCCGAACTCTTTTTTGGCTGCACGACCAAGATCACAATGAAGCGACGTACAACATCTTTGATGACTTCCGAGGCGTCTGTGATCCGAGTCATATTCGTACGTCATGCAAATCTACGTTACCTATGATATGAACTAGCTAGCAGGATTTGCCTTGGAGTCTCAATATTGGTTCGTCAGTTATATTTGTGAGTTTCACTTCCTTCTAGTGGGACCAATTTTGATTCGAGTGTTTTTAGATCTATTGTGGGCATCGTCAACGGAAACGAGTAGGACGCACTGCGAACGCTACCCGAAACACGAGCTGGATCGAGTCAAGCTTCTGAAAGAACTGAGGGAGGTTGTTGTGCATGCGAGCGCAGGTAATTGATTGCCTGTAATTGACCCTCAATCCTTTTTGAACGTGAGACGTAGAGATCATCACTTCGGACGCTTCTTTGTCGCCTTTTGGTGCTGATGAACTTTCCAGAATCCTAGAGCTGGTCAACCATCTTCAAGGTGCGACAAGTCTCCTTCGAACCGTTTATCTTGTGCAGTCTAATGTATCAAATATTTCCAGAGAATGCTCAGGAAACTAATTTCCCTCATTCCATTTGCGTCATTGGTACGTGAAGCTATCTACACAGTGTGACACATCGGGAGACTCACTATTTTGACAATAGCAAAGTTAATGCATTACTTCTGTATGTTTTTGATCTCGGCGCTTCAGCATGCAGCTCATTCTTTTTCAAGCTAAATCCAAGTATTTCAACTTCTGCGGTCTACCCTCCGCTCGTCTCGATGCCGACAAATCTGTGTACAGCGAGATTACTAGCTTTGATCCACTGATCGGCAGTCTTTCTTTAGCACTTGACGCCATGCTTTTTTGGGCACCACAAGCGCACTTGAACGATCTTCGAAGGGTGTGGGTGGATAAATGCATCAACTCACCGCGGTGGAAAGACTACAACACGAAACTCATGGCGGAGTGGACCGGAATCACAATCTACGTGCGTATCATCAATTCTACAACGCGCTTCATATGAATCTTGATCCTGGTTTTGTTCCCACCAGTCCACTGTCATGTTAGCCGTAGATGTGAGTTTTCTTGCAGTGCCGAACGTGAACATTTCTTCGTCGCAGTCGATCGGGATCATTGCTACCTATCTCTCGATCATCTCCATCACTGGCTCCTTGGTTGTCTCGGTCCTGCTGGTCCGTCAAAACCAAAGGTATGGTTGTGAATCAGCGGACAAAGCAGTAAGTCGTCGCCGTAGCGCGCATCTCTTCCATGCTGACCAGTCTGCGTCAGGGAGAATTTCTGCTCAGCATGACGAGCACGTTTTTCGGGGATAAAGCTCTTGCGACGGTCAACAGTCTCCCTTACGCGATGCTTATGTGGGGGTGGGTGGCATTGATACTCTCTGACTAGGGCTAATGGCCGTTACCTTGCCCCTTACTAGGATGATTTACTTTTCAATCGCCCTGTTGTACAACGTGTTCAAGTCTACGACGGTGGCCATGCTGGCATCAGTTGTCAGTGGATGCGTGGTTGTAACCATGTTTATATTGTGGTTCATTTGGGCAGCAAGAGAGTTGCATGTCTTCCGGCGACTGGCTGAGCTCGTCTTATCTGCCAGGAGTCGCTTCTTAGCACGCCTTGGGGTTTATTTCCCCTGAACTTATACAACTTGGACTTTCCATACATCATTACCGGACTCATCTGATATCGGTCCTATAACAGCCGGCAGATTATTATACGCTGATGTAGCTAGGAAATACTATATAACCACAACAATCATAGAGAACGAGAACAAGATGAGATATCTACAATGATCTCAAATATAATAACTCCACACGTTGTTCTTCCATACGTGACTGTCATCGAAGAAACACCACCTTCTCCTGCGCGCCTGAAGCGATCCAGGCAGTTTCATGGATGATACCCAACCCAACACGCTCCATCAAACCCTCGTTCTGACTCACCGCCATCACATATAACATGCATCCATGGTAGGACTTCCCAAAATTTTCTTCGTCGTACACGCCAGTAGGCGCACTGGCACGGGAAAGAACGATAAATTCGAGAGAATCCGGCGGGGCGGGGTCCAATGGCAGGATGACACTGCCAACCCAAGTGGAAGGGAAAGATGGACTGGAGAAAATATTGAAGAGATCGTGATAGAAACGTGAGCTTGATTCTTCGTGTTCTCGCCTTGCAATGCTAAAGCGGCTGGAAGTCGTGCGGAAAATTAGGGTACCCGGCTCCAGCGGCCGATGAATATCTAAAGTCAGGTGAGATGGGTCTATTCCTTGCGGGGAAGAATATGGGTTCATCGCTGCTTGTGGTTTGGGAAGTTTGAAGGCCCGAGAAATGCGCCGAACATCAAGTTGCGCTGGAACACCATTACTGTCCACGATGTGCCAAACATCAATGAGCGTCTCTGCTACTACTGGCCCGGTAGAAAAAGTGTTGATCGAGGCATACATGTTTTCCCCCTGATAGTGAACAGCACCACGCCACGCAGCCCACGCCCAAGAAGGCCACGGTGATGTGCCTTCGTCGGTGAGAGAACGACGAACCTGAGGAACGTGTGGATGATGTTGCCAGAGAAGCGCGTGATCGAGTTCCATCAATGACATTCCAAAGAGAAAGGCTCTGGCAGGGTCACCGCCACCAAGCTCAAAACGTTTTGCCAGGGCATTCGTCAATGCAGTGATAGCATCTACAATGTCTGACTCCACGGTGAGATTACGTCGCGTATATTCCGCAATGGCAGGCATGTAACTGCTCATGTATTGATCTGTTTTCCCAGGTTCCCCGCTGGTGAATCTTCCTGCGCCTTTATACCGCAACGGTGTTTTGGACGATGCGAGGCGCTTACTTTCAGCGACAAGATCTTCGCAGAAGATATCATGTCTGCACTCAAAGTAGACTTGGTGCCTAGTGAAATATATCCTTCGTCGTGAGAGCATAAGCTCTTGATATGTCCAACCACGCGTGCTCCATGCGGACGAGGTGAGAACCTCCCTAGGCGTCGGCAAAGGCACAGAAAGATGAAGCCCTTGAACGACCTCGATGTGCTGCTCCAGCGTTCTAGTTCCTGGACGATGCCCTGGGAGAGGGTCCCGAGCCGAAGTGCCGCCAGCAGCATATATCGTGAAATAAGACTCTCCATAAATCAAATCCATGGCGTGTATCTGGCTCATCTTGTCCTTCAAATCATCTTGAATGATGCATAGAGTGTCGATCCATAAGTAACGCTCGCCAAGCTGTCGAACGAGTTGGATGGTATCTGCGATGGTATCAGGGAAGTTTGCCGTGTTCAACCCGCCGGGCGTGGACCGCTCTCCTATATTGTCCTTCGTCGTCCAATACTCCGCTCCGATGCCTCCCCATAGGTAACTAAGGGCGGCATAACGACAGGCAGGAGGTGCTGGTACCACAGCCATTGATACCACGTCCACCACTCTCATAAACTCCGGCAGTCTCCTGTCACCGGCCACCCACCAGACCTTTTCACATATATCTCCGTGTCCTTCCTCGCACAGTTCGATCCATTTCTTCACCAGGCTGACATCCACAGTATCGTTCACTCTGCGACCATGAAGGTCGGTCGGTCTGTCAAACTTGAAAGCGTCTTCTTCCATCACTTGAATGTGTAGCGTTAGCGCTGAATGCGCTGTCATGAGAGCTGAATGTATCTCTCGAGGGCGATGTGATGTATCAATGAGGAGGCGGTGGCATAATTTTTTGGGTTCGGGTCTGGGCTCCCGGAGACAGCCAGCCTCCATAGAGAACAGCCCACATTCAATCCCTGAGAGATCGAGGTCAGGAAACTTGTCCAACAACCATGTCCGACGGACGACCAATGATACGAGGCGGCAGAATCCGCATTGGTCGGATTTTTGCAAGATGGATAAGAGTGAGCCGAGCGGAATCGCATCTTTCATCAGGATTTCTTCAAGGAGAATCTGTCGTAGATCCAGTTTTGCGCAAACGGAACAGAGTGGTGCGTTGGGAGTGTTATCCCTCTGCTCACCCTCTCCGATGAGTCTGCTGCGCTGATAAATAGGGACACTGTGTTCCTCACCTGAAGATCATTTCGTGTTTGATCATGCTTTAGGAGGGGGTCGGATTTGGAGGTCCCATCAGGTGCGATATTCTTTTTGCGTTTGTGAACGACTAATAGCCAAAAACCGAAATACCAAGAGCGCCACCTCCCAAACCCCCAGCGAGGGCCAACCCATGTGCAGACACCAGACTGAGCGCCTGAAGACAACGGGCAGAAGCGGTAAAGAGTGAAATTTGAATGGACTGTAAGCCCTGCATGGTTACTCCCTGCCAGCGCCAGTGTAAGAGAGTGTAAGTTAGCCTGTTTCATGACGCGTCGCTCATGACAGGAACGACAAACCCAGTATACTCACTTGAGATGCACCCTTGATAATCTATCTGTTCAATGGGGTCCGTGGAAACCACAAGGTCATCTGGGTTGACTCATTGCAGTTACTAGTGGGTGTGAAGGAGATTATGGCAACGACTCGGAGAAAGGCGACTGTATACTGTGCCATGCTTCATGCGCACGGTAGTGACATAACGGCGCCTGCCTGGACCCACCGATTCGATTTTGAACAACTCACCAATACGACAACTTCTGAACATCCCTCCGTGATGTGGTTGCCGGTGATCTGAGAACTCCGTTACACAGCTACCTCTGGCACTTGGACCTTGGTCGAAGCTAATAGTCTTTTTTTGCAGCCCAAGTGACGAGTTACAACGAAATAATCCACCAGATGTATATAAAGGTGATTCCTTTTTGCAGAGTCGTATCCTCGTATATATATATAATACGAAGAACACGCAAGTCAAATCATTTTGTTCCCTGTACTGAATATACATGCGACAAACTTCGAGCTATGGTGATGAGTGACACAATCATGCTCGTAGCATAAAATATCTAGGAATCGCATCGTGAAGGTCTTGGACGAACTTGCTGATTCGCAGACGAAAGTTTACATCACATTGGGCGTGATGTAGACTCAGGCCAGGACAACCGTTCACAGCAAAGACTTGCAAGTTTTGAAGAAGCCACACTCCATACGGGGAAGAAGCATCGGGCTTCAACGATGAGCTAAGCCACATCCGAGATGCATTCTCGCAACCAGCGCAAAGAACTGTGCTGGGTTCGCATGTCCGCTCGTCCGCACCAGACAATATCGCGCATAGATGATCTTGAAGGTGTTCTCGTCCGACTATGAAGCACCGAAGGTCTGCTGGGGATAACAGGAGGTGGCTTTGGCCGCCGTCGGCTAGATGAGTCCAACGCAGTATCGAAAGCGCATAGAACGAGGCAGGAAGAATTTCAGGAAGATTACATTCTCTTGCGAGGCATATGGCCTCTAGGGAACGTTTTAGACCGATCTACAGGAGAAAAGGGAAGCTCACCAGCGGCATGAGGAAATGCGGCATAGGTCATTTTGGTGAGGTCTTGGGGCCATCGCAGAAATAACTGACGTGTGCTCCATTGACGGAGGTCTGCGATGTCATATTTGTTGGATAGTCGTAGGGCTCCGGCTGTGGTATCAAAGATGACAGTTTGGTTATTGAACTTGCTAGAGACATGTCGTCGTATATCATACATCATTTGACAAATGGGATGACAGCTTACTCGCGTTGGTACATCCACATCAGGACGACTAGCCAGTCTTTCACGGAATCTTGCCACAGACTGACCAGAGGGCATCCATGCATTCTCTCGATGTCGGCCGGCTGCGGAAGTTCGAGCATGTCCGCAAAAATAACAGAACACATAAGTTTGCTGCGGTGAATCTTCCATGATTGTCCTTCAACGCTAATCACGATGTCCCCGTCAGCAAACCAGAACTGCGATTGCTCGATTGATGGCTCGGATGTTCTGCGGTGGCCCGTGCGAAGTCGTTTCGCTGGGTGATGTCCGCATATCTTCATCGGAACGGTGCATCGTTGAAGAGTTGTAACTTTAAAATTTCCAAGTCCAAGTCGTGTTGTGGGTGTCAATGTGTCATTGACTAGTAACAACGTCGGTGGCGTGGAAATTGACGCGTCGCAACGCGTCTGGTACACGAATTTATTCTATGTGCCATCATTCCACATCACCACCACCACCAGCATTATCTCCCGCGATTTCAAGTTTCCGTTTACGCCCAGGCAGTTCAGCACCGTCACCGTACCCCACGCCCGCCTTCTTCCGTAGTACTTCTATGTCCTGCTCAGCCTCTTCCGCCCACTGAAGTACAAGATGTCTCCCAAGCAAATGCGTGTGTCGTAGTGCAGCATATGCGTTCTCCGCCTCGTGCCGAGTGAGGAACTCCAAAAACGCGAAACCACGCGAACGCGAGTCGAACTTCTTCGGAAGACGTACAGATTTGAGATGGCCATGCGCACTATATGGGAATGGGTTTGATGGGATATCAGACACATAGGGGGTAGATTGTACTGACCTGAACAGCTCCCTAATGTCCTTCTTCGTAGCTTCGAATGGTACATTCTTTACAATCATCTTCGTCGACGTGCTCTTGGCGACTGTCTTGTCCTTGGGCTCGTCTTCCGTTCCGCGCCCAGCGAACTTGACGTGCAAAGAATGCCCATCAAGTGTAAAGCCCTGCATACTCTTCATAGCCTTCTTCGCATCTTCGGCAGTCTTGAACCCCACAAAGCCATACCCCATACTCAGCCGGGGGGCTTCAGCGCCCGGAACGGTAGGTCGTTTGGGGTCAGGCTTAGTCTGTACTCGCGCGAACGAAAATCCAGGAAGATTCCGGAAGACTTGCGTCAGACGCTCTGCGGTGGTACTGAAAGCCAGATTCTTGACGAACAAAGTCATCCCAGCCGACAAAGTAGGTTCGTCCTCATCAGCGCCGCTGCCAGCTTCCTGCTCGGCGATAGTAATCGGCTTGAACGCAGTTGTTAGTGTACGGCTGGAGTTTCCTGCTGTATCTGAAGTCTCTTGGAACATGCCCATTGGACCCTTCTCCAGGTAGACGACACTACTTCCGAGACGTCGGTAAGCTACAGCTCGAAAGGCCTTGGCGGCTTCATCTGCCTGTCCAAATTCTACCACTGCCATGGTACCTGCCGGTGGTACGATGACGCGGCTGAGTTCCCCGTGTGACTCAAACATCTCACGTATTTGCTCCGCGGTGGTACCATAGGGAATGTTCTTCACGAGTATGGTAGTGTCAGATCGTGCCCGGGAAGAAAACGATGATATGATGACCCCCTGGGACTCGAGGTATGACTTCGTCTCTTGGATAACATGTGTCTCCGCAAGCGCAAGCTTCACTGCCGCATTATCTGACTCAGGGTTGAGGATATCTGCCTTAGCAATTCCCATTCGATCGGCGATAGACGATGCCACTGCATCGCTCTGCACATGCATTGCATGAGATCTCGGTATATAATGTGTAACATGACAAGGGCTTGACGAACATTCATGTACAACATACTCCAATTAAACTCCCGCCCAGCTGCGGCCTTACGCTGAGAACCTCTCACATCTTTTAACGATTGTTTTTTGCCCTCACCCTCTACCACCTCAAACTTGCCTTTACGGTCAACAGCAGGAAGGATGTGGAGAAGACGACCTTGGAAAGATGTGTTATCCAGCGCCTCATACGCCGAGAGGGCAGACGTCGGCTGCTTGAATGTCACGTAGGCTAAACCCTTAGGCTGCTTGGACATGGAGTCGATGGGTATATGAACCTAGCGGAAAAGGAATAAGTCAGCGAAGTGCTCAACGACACAGATAGGTTGTAAAATAGGAATGAAAGTCAGATAATTTTTCTACTATTTGGTTCCCGGGGATCAGCATATCCATGAAGAATCAGATGTCCCTAAGTGTTTTATCATCAAGAAAAGTGGAACATATATATATATATAAAGATGAGGCGACGAGATGCTCACCTGATCAACTTTGCCGAATGGTTGAAATCGCTCCATTATCTCGGCTTCCGTACACGAGAAGGCAAGATTTCGAAGAAATAACCGAGACGTTTGCATAATCGTGGTCTTCGCTGCCGAGTCTTCCTTGGGAGGAGTGCTGTGGTTAACGTCGTGCTCGTCGTCCGATTGCTCGAAGACTTGATCGGGTGGTGGGTCTGACACCAGGTTCATCCGACGTCGCATCCACTCGAGGTCCGAGACAGCCTCTTCAGATTTCGTTCTGGTCTCAGGAGGGTCGACGGGTAGGACTGGATGAGATTCGTTATTTTCGTTTGCCCATGACGGGCACTTTGTTGTGCGAGGTTGCATTACCTCCATGAACTGATCTAGCGGAGAGGCTGATGTCGAAAGGGCTGGTGCGCTTGTCTTACCAATCTTGTCTACCTTCTGAACATGAGGTCGCGACGAAGGTCCTAGGTCTGCAGCAGTATCTTCTAGGCGCCTTCTCTTATTTGGTCGAGGAGCTGGAGCATCTTTCGCGCCCTGAGTAGATGAGACAAAAAAAAAATGCTGACACTGAGAAAAACTTACTTCGACAACCATAACATTGATTCGTGTCGAGTCAATAAACGTGCGGTCGAACCAGTCCCTTACAGCGGTTGCTTCTTGATCTGTCTTGAAGCCAACAAAACCGAATCGTCGCGAAGTGCCATCTTGCTTCATCGAAATTTTGACATCTGTAATGGTTCCAGAGGGAGCACCTCGTTGTTCGAAGTGCTTTCTGAGGCGATCCGGCGTCAGATATGCTGGAAGATTTTTCACAATCAAGCGCGACATCGTTGAAAAATCTGTGAGGATAAGAAGAAAAATCTTCAGCTATATACACCAATTCCCATTCCGCCCGGAGTTGTCCGTCCCTCTTGATCGTCATTGCGCGACCTGGAAGTGGGGAGTTCAAACGTTCAAGACTGCAGTCTCCACGACCATGTCTGCCAAGTCCATATTTCAAGAAGAGAAAAATCCACGGGGGATCCCAAAAGCTCCATTCATCGTGTGTATCAACAGAAGTATATAAATGCTCTTCCGCTCCTGCTCAATAATGCAGGCAAATGTCGAAGAATATCTGGGCGGCCCAGATGGCGCGGTCGAGGCTCCCCTGAAAAATTTCCAGGATGCTATCGCGTATGTTTGAGCTGGAATATACTCTGTGATGATCTTGAACCTAAGGAAGTCCAGGAAGTACCGACATATGGATGCCAACCTAACACAACGACGAAAAGGTCTTGAAGACAAGATCCCTGACATCAGAAAGACATTACATATGGTGGAGTTCTTGCAAGAAAGAAGAGTGAGTCGATCGTTGCGAACAAACACGTTGTGCATCAACATTATCTGATGATCGTTTAGGAAGGCAAGAACAAGAATGACGATCTGGAGGATGATCTCAGCGACGAGGAGAACTCCGACGATCTCAAAAAGCCGCTTACCACAACGTTCGAACTAAATGACACGCTTTTCGCAGAAGCAGAGCTCGAGGACACTGATACCGTTTATCTATGGCTAGGGGTGAGCTCAGTTGTCCTCCGTGAGTTTCCCGATGATATCTGATGTTTTGGGATCAGGCGAACGTTATGCTATCGTACAAGTTGGAAGAGGCTGCATCGCTCCTACGATCCAAACTGGATCTTGCAGAGGCCAGCTTAAAAGCTACGATCGAAGACTTGGAGTTTTTACGAGAGCAGTTGACGGTGATGGAAGTCAACACTGCTAGAGTCTATAATTGGGATGTTAAGCGGAGAAGAGAGCGTCGACTAGCCGGAGAAGCTGATGGAAAGAAGGGCAGCTAGGATTTGTTATCGCCTACACTTGTTAATTTTTCGGTTACCCTTTAGCGCTCTGACGTCAACTTTACTTTATGTACTCATACGAGCTCAGCGGCGCTCGTTCACTCCCATCTCGAGCTTTTGATGACCTTTTCAACTTGTCGCTGTGGGGTATTGGCATTCCCGCTACCTGGGATTGTTGTGCAAGACCGACTGTTGTGTCTGCACCATCGCTAGGGCTACCCTCTGTCCGACATTGTCTTATTTCTGAAGATCTCATACTACAGATAATCTCACCTTGGACATCTCGCATTGACTACTCATCGATGCATCTTGAAGCATCTTGAAGCCAGGGTAGCATAAGCATGCGATGCGACCTTGGAGGCGTGGGATTCCAGTAGTGCTTATACACCTATCTGAATGTTTGAATAGGGGTATTTGTTTCGACTACGGGTCCGCGGATGTTGGATCCGCAGCCCGGTCAAATAGCCACGTCACGAGGACTCGTTCCACAAAGTTCGCAGGTACGTTGCCATGTTGTATCGTGATTTGAAATTTCTTACTGAGTTACAGGCGCGTGCAGAGACTCTATTTAAATAGCAGGGTTTGGGGTGGATCAACATATTATTCGCCACTCCCACACTTGTACTAGTACTGTTTACTGCAACCCTCGTTCACTGACTTCCTTCACCATGTCCGAGTCTGCCAGCTCGATAGGTGCTGAACCGCGCTCCAAATCCGCAGATTCTGTTTCTTCCCCATTTCCCGACGTATTTCCAGATACCAGCCCAATTACAGGCCCTGCAATAGATCTTTACGAAGATGGCTACAATGATCCAGTCTATCAGGCGAAAGCTCGCATCTTAAATCATGCAATACAAGATATCGGCATGGGAAGATACCAGGTTAGTAGCAATCTGTGATGAACTCTACAACACAATCGCGAACTCAATGATAGTGGTATCTTTTCGTGGTCACCGGCTTTGGCTGGTTTGCGTGAGTTGTATCGTGATCACTTCCTGTATTCTCTCTGATGCAAACGTGTGTCCCATGCAAAAGTGATTCGGTTTGGCCCGTAGGTTTATTTATTTCAGGCATGCTTTCAAGACGACTGAGTGGTTGGTTGTAGCTTTTGAGCGGACTCATCCTCACACCTGTAGTCAATGAATTCCACTTCAACGGGCCTTTCCTATCGTTAGCTTCGAACCTAGGTCTTCTTGTCGGTGCCGTATTTTGGGGTCTTGGATGTGACATCTGGGGAAGGAGGTACGTACGAATAAATCTGGAACTGTTTAAACTCCATACGAAAACTCAGGTGGTCTTTCAACGTTACACTGTTTATCGCTGGAATATTCGGATTAGCATCAGGCGGAGCTCCTAGTTTTGTTGCCCTAGCCTCTTTGATCGCTATGGTTGGTGTCGGCGTGGGAGGTATGACGTTTCATTTCTCTCGACAATCTACGCTTTATGACAATGTTACAGGCAACATGCCAGTGGACTCTGCTGTTTTTCTTGGTGATAAGCAGTTTACATATGGACGTACTAGATAACTCATCATGATCCTGCCAGACTTTGTCCCAGGTTCCCACCAATACTTGCTCACTATCCTGTCCATCTGGTGGTGTCTCGGACAATTGTTGTCCAGTCTCGTGCGTATCACACGTCTCCTCGTCCGCGCGGTTTGCTAAAAAGACTTCAAGGTTGCTTGGCCCCTGATTGCTAATTATTCTTGTGCCAGTGCCTCAGACTGCACCAAATCCAACAATATGGGATGGCGTTATCTGTTGCTCATCCTCGGCGGAATAACTCTTTTCTTGTGGGCCATTCGGTTCTTCATCTTCACGTTGTTGGAGAGTCCGCGTTTCCTCTCTGGCATCGGTCGTGACGCTGATGCCGTTGAGATCATCCACAAATTGGCAAAATTCAACGGAAAGACGTCTACACTCACTGTAGAAGAGCTTGAGGCTCCCGGCAGAACAATGACAGGCAGTGGTGCATCCTCCGGGGTAAGGTATAAGATATTGAGCAAGAGTTCCACGTATGGCACTGGACATATCAAAGCTCTCTTTGCGACTCCCAAGATGGCTTGGTCGACTAGTCTCTTGATCGCTATCTGGGGTATGGATGTGGTCATCATTCCGCGTGCAATGGCTAACGGAACACAGGTGTTATCGGACTTGCCTCCACGCTGTACAACAACTTCCTGCCATATTTGTGGGTCTTCAAACAAGATATATAGCATTTGTTTGTCTCATGCCTCGCAGACTTTCCAGCTGTTACGCTCGGCGTCACAAAGACGTCTGGTATCAAAGATCCAAGTATAGTTCGATTGCACAAGTAAAGCTAGAGTCTGCAGGCCCTGGTCTGCGTAGGTCAAGTTAAGGAATACATGCGATAAGTAGAAGGTTTAAATAATGAATGAGACGAATGTTCAAGCGGAGCTTGTAAATGAGGAACCAATCAGAAAAGAGAATGAGAATCGTACGATAGAATATGATAGAAGGTGATGGAAACGAATAGAATAGAAGGGAAAAGAGCAGAACTGTAACATTACCCCCCGTTTTAAGGGAAGTAGTATGCACCGAATACTAAATAGAATGTCAAAGGTGGTGTGCGCGTTTATATGCAAGTAAAATGTCAGAGGCGTTACCTAGTTGCCTTTCTGTCATCCATTCGTTCTCGGAACTCGGGAAGCCTTTCCAGCTAACGTTGTAGGAGCGTCTAGAAGATGAGCCACGATGACCAACGATGGCTTCAATCTCTTGTTCTTCTTCGCCGTCAATGACATCAGGAGGTGGTGCGATATAGTTAGGACCATGAGTGTCGTTTTCTTTATAGGGAGATAGGAGGGCGGCATGGAAGACGGGATGAATACGCCACTGTGCGGGCAGAGCAAGTCGGTAAGTGACTGGGGATAATACATCGGTGATGGTAAAGGGTCCTTCGCGTTTAGGAGCGAGTTTGCGATTAGGGTACCCAAGGTGAAGGTTCTTGGCTTCGAGCCAGACTTTGTCGCCTTTAGCGAACGGGGTGAATCGGGAGGAAATGCGCTGGCGCATAGTGTTTCGTGCGAGTTCGTGAGCGGCTAGCGCTTCGTCACGTGCTTTGTTAAGCATAAATAGACGTTGTTCGATATTAGGGATGTCGGATTTGGGATGAACGTCAGGGAGATGTTTCGGGTGATAACCCATCATGAGGTAGAAGGGGGAAGTGCCGCGAGCGGAGTGATGACGGGAATTATGGACGAATTCCGCTAAAGGAAGCATGGCGGCCCAGCCGGTTTGGTCATTGCCGCAAAAGATCCGGAGGTAGACTTCGAGCTCTTGGTTAACTCGTTCGGTCTCTCCATCACTCTGGGGATGAAACGCAGTGGAAAGGGAGTTCTTGTATCCGAGAAGTCTTCCGAGTTCGATCTGGAATCTAGAGGCGAACTGAGGTCCGCGGTCAGAGATAATTTTATCGTAAAGTCCGTATCTAGAGAAAACTTTGGAAAAGAAAATGTTCGCAACGCCTTCAGCGTCGATCGTCTTGGTACAAGGGGTGAAAATTACCCCCTTCGAAAGGCCATGGTCCACCGTGACCATGATGCTATCAAAGCCGTCGGAGGGAGGAAGGTCGGTGATGAGGTCGACCGAGACCTGAGCGAAAGGACGGTTGGATAGGGGAGCGGGAATCGGTTGTAGAGGAGGGGAAGACGGGTGCGTGTTTACTTTGTTCTGTTGGCAGATGCTACAGCCGTCGACGTAGTTCTTGACAAAGGTAGAAAGGCCGGGCCACCAGAAGTCGCGAGAGAGTAGTTCTTGTGTCTTGAAGCGACCTGGATGACCGGCGGTGGGGGAGTCGTGGTGGAGGGAAGTGATTTCGCGACGAAGGTCGCCTGGAGATATATAAGTAAGTCCTTTGTACGTAAGGATGCCGTCGCTCAATTTCCAGTCGGAAAGAGCCGAGCGGAGTGGAGGAGGGATGGTGGGGTCTGTGAGCGCTTGTAGCGCAGTATGTACTACCGGGTCAACCGATGATGATATACGTAATCTGTCTGTGAAAGAAGTGTCAATGGCGTTGATGAATAGTGAGTCGGGAAGGAGTTGTATCTGTAAATTGTCCTTTTCGACGCTGTCGTCAGGAAGGTGATCCGGTCTACGAGATAATAAATCGGGTATGATGAGGTCTTTACCCGGTACATGTTCTATACGTAGTTCGAACTGGGAAAGGAAAGTTTGCCAACGTGCTTGGCGGCGATTCAAGTCTTGGACGTCTCTAAAATATTGAAGGTTTTTATGGTCAGTTTGTACGAGCACGGGAAAAGGGGATCCGAGAAGGTAATGTCGCCACGCTTTCAAAGCGCGGACGATTGCGAGTAATTCGCGGTCGTAAATCTGATAGTTTCGTTCGGCGGGGTTGAAGGATTGGGATAGGAATGAGCAGGGAAGCCAACTGCCGTTGGAGTCTTTCTGAAGGAGAACTCCCCCAGTTGCGTAGAGGGAGGCGTCGGTTGCGATTGCGAAGGGAAGATTCTTGTCGGGTATTTGGAGGATAGGTGAGGACGTGAAGATTTCTTTCAGCCTGAGAAAGGCGTGTTCGCGTTCTGGGGTCCATGAGAACGGTTCATCTTTCTTGGTTAGATCTATAAGGGGTCGTGCAATAGATGAGTAGTTAGCGATAAAACGGCGGTAGAAATTAGCGAATCCGAGGAATGATCGGACTTCCTTGACTTTCGTGGGAGTCTTCCAATCGGATATGCCGTTGAGCTTTACTGGGTCCATGGCGACGGAGCCGGGTTTGATGATCATGCCGAGGTAGTCGATTTCTTTTACGTTGAAGGTACATTTTTCGGGTTTGAGGTGGAGGAAATTGTCGCGGAGTCGTTGAAGTACTTTGTGGGTCCGAATCTGATGGGTTTCGTAGTCTTTGGAGAAGATCAGTATGTCGTCCATATAAATGATGATCCATCCTTCCTGGATCATGTCTCCGAACAGTTCGTTCATCATAGACTGGAAGGTGGCGGGCGAATTGCACATGCCGAAAAACATTACCAATGGTTCAAAGAGTCCTCTGGATGTGGCGAATGCCGCTTTCCAACAGTCGGAGTCTTTCATACGTACGTTATTATATCCCCATCGGATATCCATCTTGGTGAAGATCTGAGCGTCCTTGAGTTTATCTATTAAATCTGAGATCAGCGGTAATGGGTAGTTATTCTTAACCGTGTGTTCGTTCAGATAACGATAGTCTTGGCATGGCCGGAGAGATCCGTCTTTCTTGCCGACGAAAAAGAAGGGTGATGATTGTGGGGATTCGGAGGGTCGGATGGTACCTTTGGCGAGATGTTCATCAATGAAGTCGTTCATGGCCTTCTCTTCTTTGGCGTTAAGCGGATAAATTTTGCATTTCCGCGGTTCGAAGGAATCCTTGAGGTCGATCTTGTGATCAAACTTGCGTTCTGGTGGGAGAGTTCCATTAGCTACGTCACCGAATACGTCTTTATACTTCTGGAACTCTGGTGGAACGAGTTCTTCGAAGGACTTCTTGGGTTTGGCGGCGTCCTGGGCGAGGGTTTGGGAGATGTTGTCGGCTTTTCTTACCGACACGACTACTTCGTCGTCTTCGTCGAGATCTAGGAGGTTAGGGAGGTCGTCATGAGAGAATGGGTTTTCTGGAATACTTTCCACTGCGTCGTAAAAGACGTCTTCTTCTTCCGATTCTGGTGCGTCATAAAAGACGTCTTCTTCACTGGTTTTAGCAGCGGAAATAGTGCGCTCGTGAAGATGTACTTCTTCGGCGGTCCAATCTATATTGGGATTTTCTTGTTTTAGCCAAGTCATTCCCAGAATAGCGTCCTCTCCTCCTAAAGAGGTTACGAGGAAACGCGTCTTCATGGGAAGATTGCGAACAGAAAAGGATAGATTACAGTACCGTGTGATTTTTCCATTTTTGTTGAGCGTGCCATCCACGTTGCGTACGGGTATGGGCTTATCGAGAAAATGAGTCTTTATGGAGTTTCTTCGGACGAATTGCCAGTCAATGAACTCCCCTTCTGCGCCGCTATCAATTAGCGCGCTTGCTTCGGTGGTTTTGTCGGTCCTAGATGATTCAATGGTTAACGGAATACGAATAGATTTCGAGTCGCCAATCGATTGTACTAGGAGTCCTATTCTAGGGGTATCTGACACCGGTGCAGATCCCCGTTCTAAAAATCCTCCTCGTCGCTACTTTCCTCCTTCTTTTCTTTACCTTTACCCTTCTTCATTTGGCGGGCTTTGAACGCTTTCCACTCTTGGAATTCGCGGTATTCTTCGTCGTCGTCTTTGACGGAAGTCTTCTTCGCTGCCGTTACCGTTGGATGGTTCGGGCAGTCCTTGATGAGGCCTTTCTTGCCGCATTTGAAGCAGAGGCCGTTCTTCTTCCTGCGCTCGCGTTCTTGAGGCGTCAGGTAAGTCTTTCGAGTCTTCTTCGTCATCTCACCATCGTCATCTTCTCCTACCTCCGCCTTATCAATATCCATCGCGTAAGGGTCTCGGCCCTTGGTAAACGTGGGCGGCGCGATGAGCGTCTTGCGTACTTCGACTTCGAGGGCTTTGTCAAGCCACCCTGCGAGGTCGGTGGGGGTGTTTTCGAATGCAAGGATCGCAGCGGAGATCTCACGCTTTAATCCATTGCGGAAGAACATGGTACGTGTGACTTCTTCAGTGATGCCGGTGTCGGCAATGATGGTGCGGAATAGAGATGCGTAGGCAGCGACGCTGCCGGTTTGTTTCAGGGTGGAAATGCGCCTAATGGCGGTTTGAGCCGAGTGCTTAGGGTAGAAGGTCCCTTTGAATTTCTCTACGAACTGTAAGTAAGTTCCGTAGTCCTTTGCTGCGGAGGCTGCTTTAAGATGGCCTTCGGCCCACTTAGCTGCTTCGCCCTTAGTCATACGACTCAGAGCAAAAATAACTTTCTTCTTGTCAGTGTCGTAGACACCGTCGTTCATGTCAAGATAGGCGTCGAGTTGGAGGCCCCATCCTTGAGCGGTTCTAGTGTCGCCATTGAAAGGCGCGGGAGGAGTGCCGATTTCTTTGGTCATGTCGTCGTCTGAGTCGTCTGGGGGAATGTGAGATGGTTCGTAGGATGCGGTCCAAAAGTTCCAGACGTGTCCTGGAGGTGCGTTCTCTTGATGATAAGAGCTCCACTGAGCTAAGTTCCAATAGTTCCCGTCTTTGTCGATAAGGACGTGTTCTTTTCGTTCGTCACTCCAGATGAAACCTGGAAGTACTTTGCCGTTGGGGTCCGTAGTGCTGGTTCAGGGCGCCTGTTCGAGTGAACAGCGCAGTAAAGAAGTAACTTGACCTTTTGTTACGCTCGGCGTCACAAAGACGTCTGGTATCAAAGATCCAAGTATAGTTCGATTGCACAAGTAAAGCTAGAGTCTGCAGGCCCTGGTCTGCGTAGGTCAAGTTAAGGAATACATGCGATAAGTAGAAGGTTTAAATAATGAATGAGACGAATGTTCAAGCGGAGCTTGTAAATGAGGAACCAATCAGAAAAGAGAATGAGAATCGTACGATAGAATATGATAGAAGGTGATGGAAACGAATAGAATAGAAGGGAAAAGAGCAGAACTGTAACACCAGCCGTGGCGCTGTCTTCGGGGATGGATCCCTGTACATTACCTATCGCAACGTACGTGTAACAGTTTGTTCTACGTTTGATAGCTGAAGCCGGTGTGCAGCAAGTCATATTAAGCGTCATGGGTGTCCCCGCTGCCTTGCTCGCTGGCTGGGCAGTGGAGCTCCCATACATTGGGCGCAGGGGAACTCTTGCCATTGCCTCAGGCAAGTAATAATGCTATCAAGCGCTTCCATTACTCAACGACTTCCCGCGAAATAAAGGGCTCACTGGCGCGTTTTTGTTCGCGACCACCACCGCCCAGACATCCAACCAACTCCTGGGGTGGAATTGCGGATATGTGTTTTTCAGCAACGTAAGTGAATTACTTTGTCTTACTGGAGACTGGGTTAATTGTGAATAGATTATGTATGGCGTCTTGTATGCTATTTCTCCTGAGATTTTTCCTGCGAAAGATCGCGGAACGGGGAATGGTCTGACGTCCACAGCGTCGAGGGTATTTGGTGTTCTGGTGAGTTCACTTGCCATCTCACGCTGCTTTTTCTTATCGTGTTCTGAATCATAGGCCCCCGTCATTGCGCTTTATGCTAATCTTGCGACGGCGGTACCTGTATATATCGCTGGGGCTTTGGTGATTTTTGCTGGTAGCCTGGCTGTCTTGTTGCCCTATGAGCCCAGAGGTAAGGTTTCGATCTAGAGTTTTTTTTTACTTGAAATACCACGTTTCGATTGCTCGTGGAACTTGAATTGTAGGTGATCATAATGTATTAGATACAATAAAATATCCAAGGGATTGCTCTGGTGCTTGCTCAACTGTTGCTTGCTCACCGTCGGATAATAAGATCTGGCAGATTGTAAGACAAGTCAGTGCTCTGGGAATTGGGAACGGAAGAAAGCAGAAGGGATTGTTGGATACCAAGTCTAGTCTCAGCTTACTGTTTCCTCTTGGGAGATCCGCCAATTATATTCAAGTTGTTACTGGAGTTAGGGAGGTAAGCTGAACTTCAACATTTCTGTTCTGTGCGTAGACATCGACTTGACGCCGCGTGATTGCTCAAGCGCTCGGAGTCAGCGGCTCACAGTCAAGCTGTGCAGTAATTACATAACACGTGGTGGGGACAATAGACATGTGATTATACATACGTAATTTTCCACATCCCATTTTAGGTAGCAGAGCACCATCATGATGGCCAGTGTGCTTCACCGGAGGGCACGAACGGGGTGACTGCTTCAAGCAAATGTGCTACAGTGAAGAGACAGCCCAGGGTAGCCTGTGGAAGGTCCGCTACTCTCGGAGTCTCCCGCCGCTGATTTGATTTTATATTGTTCATCTGATTAGTACATACATGATCACGATTGTGGACGCACCTTGAGTGCCACAGCAAAATCCACATTCCGTGTGGGAGGTATTTATTCTCTTTACACCTCTTTCCATCTTTCCCTCCACTTGTATCTACCTTGTATTACTGATGGAAAACATCATCCCCCCTGCCCTCGATAGTCGACGAGTCGTCTTTAAACTCGTTGACCAGCTTTCGAGTTCCTCTAAAGACCAGTTTCTACACGGTATAAATGACATCTTGAAATTCGATCAGTCGGATGACTCCGTGATACTGCGCTACGGCCGAAAGGTACATGTTTACTGTTAATGATCTTTTATAGTCAACTGACGATCTTTCCGTGCAGATTATCGCACTCGCTGAGGTGGCGCGCGGCACTCTTAGACGTTTAGGCGCAGAACCATACCTGTTCGTCGTCTGTTCACAGGCTCTCGTGCCCTACAAATCCGCATACTTCAAATTATTGCTATTTATCCAACGCCGCAAGGGTGCATTTACTCATGACGGTAATTACCAGTCGCTCTTTTGTTGTATCCTCCTCACCGTCCTTATAGACAGGATCACCCGGCTCTTAAGTTCTCTTCGTACAACTATGGTGGTATGTGGCGGGGAAGTCGATCCCCGTGCCCAGCTGGGCCTTCGGGGATTACCACCCCCTCCTAAGATCCCAGCTGCTTGGACAACCGACAGCAAGCCTGAAGCGCTTGTTGTTCTCTCAGCAGCACAACAAACCAATGAGACATCTATTTATGACATTATGCCACGTATGTGAACCTATTGCGATATTCAAGGGACCTACATTGACAATCAAACTTTAGCACCGGACGCTTTCGCGAGAAAAAAGCAGAAACTCGAACGGCTGGGGGGATTCATCAAGGAGCAAGCTGCGTTGAAGAAGGCCCAAAGCCTGAGACGTCGTTTGCTTAAGCAACGTGCGGGAAACCCGGGCGCACAACTGACTCAAATGCCTAAACAATATCCTGCGGGCAACCCGGCTGAACAACAGGCTCGGATGCCCAAACAATATCCTGCGGGTAACCCGGCTGAACAACAGGCTCGGATGCCCAAGCAATATCCTGCGGGAAAACCGAGCGATAACAGGGAGCCTTCTCGCCCTCCAAGGGTGTTGGTTCGAACAAAGACCCTGCCATTGCCAGCTGAACAACAGGCTCGCATGCCCAAGCAATACCCTGCGGGTAAGCCGGGCGACAACAGGGAGCCTTCTCGCCCTCAAAGGGTGTTGGTTCGAACAAAGACCCTGCCATTGTCAGCTGAACAACAGGCTCGCATGCCCAAGCAATACCCTGCGGGCAAACCGGGCGACAACAGGGAGCCTTCTCGCCCTCCAAGGGTGTTGGTTCGAACAAAGACCCTGCCATTGCCAGCTGAACAACAGGCTCGCATGCCCAAGCAATACCCTGCGGGTAAGCCGGGCGACAACAGGGAGCCTTCTCGCCCTCAAAGGGTGTTGGTTCGAACAAAGACCCTGCCATTGTCAGCTGAACAACAGGCTCGCATGCCCAAGCAATATCCTGCGGGTAAACCGGCTGAACAACAGGCTCGCATGCCCAAGCAATATCCTGCGGGCAAACCGGGCGACAACAGGGAGCCTTCTCGCCCTCAAAGGGCGTTGGTTCGAACAAAGACCCTGACATTGTTTTGATAATATTTGATAGGAATAGCTATCTGCATCTCCGACACTTGTTATACCAGTGTCATGAATATGGACTTGATCTATGTACTTTATATCGCATCTGGTGCAAAGAACACCATTATCGCCCGTTGTACTTGTATTTTTGCCTGCTTTATTTATATGGTTGTCCTTTAGCGTTTCATATTTGTAATATTACATTCCTTCCCCCCCAGTCTCAGTTGACGAACAATACACCATCCTGGGCTGCTGGACTACTGATCGTTGAAGTCTGGGGCTCTTAGCCTCCGCCTGCAAATTCACAATTTTCTCCATCCCCGCCTTCAAATTCTCTTTCATTTGTAACACTCGCGTTGGGATGTCGTTCCTCATCGATGACAGTCTTCATTACCTCTCTGATAGATTTGTTCCGACTTCACCAAAACACGCTCAAATAATTCATATCATAAAGCTGAATTCGTGATTCAAACCTGTATTTGGCACGGACACAGCTCGAAAGGTTGGACGCGCGCTCCGGGCTGGAAATTCTCTCCTCGGGAACGGTGGCACGGAGTCTCCTTTCTGACCCGGAAAATGGATAGGTAGAACGGTGGCATCGAGGGACTGTTAGAACGTTTGGTGCAGAAACGACTCCCATGAACAGCCTAAGTGAGTTCAAGTAACTTAGGGAGTAAGGGTCATGGCTAATACCGAATCACCGACTCACCTTCCGAATCCCTGGGACTGCTTCCAATCGCAACTTAACGGCGTACCTGAAGAACCTGCTAAGTCAGTACCCCAGAACCCCAAGTTCCCCGGTTTCGACATTTTCAGATATATAGAAAAGGTACAATAGACGTGCCAGGCGTCGTAGCGAAGTACTGCCGATAGCATGGATGGCGAATGAGACCAGCGATCTGCAACAGTGTCAGACGAGGGATCGATGAGGGCCTTGTCGGCCCGAGACTTGTGTACGTTTGAGAATTTGGTGCTAATGACTGCTCGTATCATGCGAGGACCTACAGAGTATTGTCGCGAGCGTGAGTGGGAGAACAAGAGCTGCTCGAGCCCATGCCTACATCGAGGAGCAGGCCAGTTATGAGTGCAGCAGTGATCGTCTCACCGAGGCAGCTTCTTAGGCACTGTTCCCAGTCGTTGACGATCGGCAAGGTAGTCGCGAAGATGTGGGTTACACACCTGTCTTCGTCAGGAGCCCATTCCCGCTATGAAGCAAGAATTTTGCTGAGAAGCGGACAGCGTCTGTACACCGGCAACGCGACTTCGAGTATTTTGTTTGCTTCTGAATAGGACTTTGCTCACCCAGATCAGCTCGAACTATTAGAGCATTCTCAGTGAAATGGTTGCACAGGCCATGACATCAACTCACCTCTTGTACGAATGTGCATGCTTGGATACCGTTTGCATATTAATGATCGCCTCGGAAAGTATTATCTCGCTCACCCCAATCATATACCACCACAACAGAGGATGCAACTGTGAGATCACAGTCAATGATAGTGAGACGTCAACACGTCATTCCCACTTATTCTCCACGAACCTACAAAATAGGTAGAAAAACGAGCACCGGTAATGAGCGGCCACCAAGCAGGATCAGTTGAGACGTACTAGTAGTATGTCATTTCGGGATGAGGCGTATGGGAGTCCGCGTTCGCATATGTACCGCCCATTCAACGCTTTTATATTGATCAGGTGATGTAGTTGCGTGAGAACTTAGAAGCCGTTCGAAACAAACTGCCCGTGGTGTGAAATTTGGATGCCAATATCATCACATCAATCTGTTCAGAGGCTCTGCATATCTGCTACACACCAGTGACCTTGACTGAGCTAAACCCAATCCGAGTCATCCTGCCTGAGGCCCCCCTGCGTCACCGCATTATGGCCAGATGATATGTGGGAAAGATCATCGATGGCCACGTCGAAGTATACATCGACTCAGGCATTCCTATCAGTCAGTCTCTTGATCATCGAATGTTGCAAATGCCACTGATTGCGAGTTCATGGCAATGTTTGAATCGAAGGATCTTGGAAAACAACTGTTCGATCATCCAGAAACGAATTTCACATTGTTTGAATTTCTGTTTTGGCTCGATGCCGTTCCGCCCGACGCTTTATCTGCACCAAGAAGTCGAGTAGTACAGCATGGAGCGCGTGGAGGGCAGCAGTATTTGTGCATCAATAAACTGATAGTACGTGGTTCGAAGCAGTGGGTCACTGTGGGTGACAATGCTCATAGACAGAGATGCACTCACACCATTATCACCTCGTCGAGTTTGATATCCCACAGAGAGGCCCATCAAAAAATTTGTCGTGGGACACCTCCACGAAAGTAAGATATGTTATCACCTGGCACCTGCACATCCGAAGAAGGGTTTCGCCGGATGATTCGACTTGGGCATTGAATGTCGCTACAACTGTATGTATGCTCTACTCCAGCCACACTTTGCAGAGGCGCCGACTAGGCGTGTGATTGCGTTTGCATGTTCATTACATTACATTCAAAATAAACTCTGGCCGGTGGTCCAGGTGTCTCGATCTATGTGTTCTGACTAACTTTTGTGGTCAGAGAAGAATATATCAGATTGATTCGTAATAAATACAATCTGAACTACGAATACGAAATGAATGCTGCATGTAGGTATTTGGGCAAAGCCCCGTAGGGGCTTTCGGCCAGAAACATCGCCCCGGACCTAATAAATCGAGATGAGCCGTGAGGGCGGGCTGGGCAAAAGCAGCAAGCGCTCGGGGTCATGATAGATATATTATGTTCGTGAGGGATGCGTCGAGCAAAATTGAAATATTAGTTATAATGGTGTGTGGTTGTCTTAAATTGTAAACTTTTAAGAGAATTTGCGTTTTATAGAGTGGATTCTTGCGAGATGCATGCTGCTAAAAGGGTGCGGTGGGCAGGGGCGAAAGTTCGAGTAATACGACTAAGAGTCTGAGAGTCTGCAAGTAGTAGTAGTACGAAGCAAAGAAGAGATGTCCCAAAAAGGACATCTGCCACATAGACAACATTCTACGCTCCACCTCAGGCAGGACTTTTCGGTGCCTATAAGGGGTCTATGAGACCCGGTTTCTATGATATGGGAAACCCATCTGCAAGACCCACCCTCCCCCCATCTAATAATAGCTTACATTTACTTTTAGCCCCTGCACCTCCAGCGACCCTCCCACGGGCCTACAGCACCTCCCGCTGACCTCCCGTACCTGATTTTGTAGCTCCAGCGGTGTGCATGATAGTCTTGTAGGGTCGCCTGGTAGGCCCGGGAGGTACTGTTGGTAGGTTTGAGTCTATTTATGTATCATAACTGATAGTAATCGAAGTACTTGGCATTGTCTGGCGTCTGCATAGTCTTTGTGCACATGCACGTTGACGTGTCCTTCTCGCCATGGCTCCAACTAAATCCCTCAACACTCGTAACGCTCAGCTTGTTTCCTTTGGCCTTGGGCAACACTTCGTAAGCCCAAGGAAAGCCAGAGATAAGAGGAAAACTCAAGTACTTGTTGAGTTGCCTGGCGCAGAACTCAAGCGCCGTCGTCTGCTTGCTCAAATGCAACAAATCTTGGATCACGCACCCTCCCAAACGACGCCTTCTCGTACCGTGTTGGGTGGCCACGCTGGTGAAGTCGCCGACATAAACATGTTTGATGACTCGGATTTCACAGGCATCAATGTTGAAATGCCAGAGGAAATATTTTCTACTAGGCATGCAGACTCGGGGAGCGATCTACACAATCGGCGTGTTCTCCCCGATAACCCAACCAATATATTATACGCTAATTGGCAAAAGCTCATACCCACCCTTGTGGACCCGCAGTTGAAGTATTACGCCCGAACTATTGGCCAAGGCTTGGAGAAGACTAACCAAGTGATCTCAGCGTGCGCAACTCTCTCTTGCACACGGAAAAAGACCAATTTATTGTGCCTATTCTTCGACAGTAAGTACTCATACTTTCGGCCCATCGGATGATCTAACGAGTGCAAAACATATCAACAGGATTTGAATCAATTGATGTACTGAGCTGTGAATGCTCCTCCAGCATTCCACAGGTCCTCCTTCATCATGGGCTGTTCCCCACTGCGCCTTCACAACCCCGTATGGCGGTATCCGTTGAGCTACTTTCATTTTATCGTGCTCTTTTTGAGCGGTCTTGCGACGCAATTAATGCTCTCGCCTCGGCTCTCAAAACGCACTATTCACGCCGAGGTTTTCAAGTGACTGACTCGCGGGTAAGATATATCCATATGAGATATCACCTTACTAAAATAGCCCAAAGGGTGATATCGTGCAGGAACCATTTCGTCGTGGTCTAGGCTATGCCGTACAGTGGTACGACATCCTACAAGTTCAAATTGAACAGCAAGTGGACGCAGTCCTCCAACACAGTCGAGACTGCGTGGCCAGTCACCAATCACCCCGACCGCCGACTGTAACCAATAATGAAAGTGCGGCATCAACTGTCTTACACTCTGGCCGATGTGCACCACTTCTCGCACAGCGCTGCCCAGCGTGTTTTGGCGGGACACTGTATGGCAGACCCATTGATCAAGGCGGGGACATACACGTCGCTACCGACGGAAATTTCCATCATCGCCACAGACGTTCTGCGGGTGATTGTCCTCGTTTCTATGAACCGACTTACTTCCTTTCAAAACAGTTTGTTGACGCAGTCGGGCGCCGAATTGATGCACAACGTAAGCGACCTCCGAAGCTACATAAATCCGTCGTGCCTGATGAAGCTATCGACCAATGCGAGAATGCATACGAAGCCGCCGACGGGAAGAAACAAAAAACTGCAATGGACAGCTTCGACGACACAGGAATAATGGCCCTCATCTGCCGGCATGATATACCCTTATTTTTTGCCAACATCGATTCTCCCGGTGAACAGCAGAAATACTCGGTAGCGCTGATAGAACATCTGTTCACATTACTCCCTCCTCAGGCCACGGTTGTTACCCTGTATGATGTAGGCTGTGTTCTCGCTCGGTCCCTTTCAAAGGTATGTACATGATTGTAGTCGAATTCATTCGCTAATTAGTTTCAGTTTGATATTCTCCCCCCTGATGTTGTATCACGCCTGCGGTTTGCGACTACGGCTATGCATGCCTACGGGCATGAATGGGCCTGTCAGCTAGTGCACAATCCGCGTATGTGCATAGGGCTTGGCTTATCTGATGGCGAGGGGACTGAGCGGCTGTGGTCGCGGTTTGTTCGCTTGATTGGTGTAGAAAGGTCATCATCGGTACGTTACATTATGTTCCCTAACAACATACTAACTACTTTGAGTCATTTAGCGCCAGCGCCGTCTGTGGTTAATTGATCGTCAAGCGGCTGCCATAGGATCGGAAATGAAAACAGACCTTGGAGAGTGGATTAAAAACCGTCTCAAGCGGGGCATCAAGGCCCAGAGCTCTGCTGCCCTCGACGTCATCGATCACTGTGAAACATCTGTGGTGGACCTACAAGCTCAGTGGGCTGACCAGCGACAATCCCAGCTTTCGATTCGCGCGCTGTGAGCAAGCCCATAATATGCACACAACGAGTACTTACATTGGACATTTATAGATGCGCCTGCTCGTCTCAAGAAGGAGCTCGATACAGTACTCGTTCTACAAGCTGACTTGGACACGTCAGATCGAGCCCTGCAGACTACCAAGACTATGCTGGAGAAGGAGGCAGCATCCGATGACACCCTCGATGTCCTCGAGAGCCTCCAAAGAGGCCATGATCGTCTCATGACTAAAGTCGAAGCGTTATACTCTTCTCTTAACGTCCATGATAAATTCCCCGAGCTCAACGGAGTCAATCTTGACTTCGTCCGTGTCCTTCTTATGGCACGTGATCTTAAGATGAATGTTCGAAAGCGCGCTATTGCCAGCTTTTTCGAATGGGATAAATTGGATCGTGCTGTAGGCGGATCTCACCAAGCATTAGGTAACTCTTCATGTGCTACTGTCCCTCCATTCTAACCTTATTGCTCAGGAACGAAGCTTCATCAACACACTCGAAAAGCTATAGCAAAACGCCAACCTGCGCTCATGACAGCAATCCGAAAATTCAATTCTTATTGTGAGCGCTTAGACTCGCTCTACAATCCTGCTTGGAATATTCCACTTCCTACTCCCCTCCCGACAAAATTAGCTGAACTACGTAGCGACCAGACATTAATGCAGGACGTTTGGATTACACCCTCGATTGGGGAGGTACCTCGATGGTTGCAAGACTCAGACATCAGGGATGGAATTCGTGCCATTCTTAAGCGTGACCGGTGCAGGGAGGAGCAGAAACGCTTAGGGATGGAGGCTGATAATTTGTGTCGCTTCTTTGAAGAAGAGCTGACGGCATTGGAGCTTTCAATCCGATTGCCTGAAAGTAAGTATGGTTCTCACTGCTTATTCATTCAAGGTTTGATTGACGACATTTCTTATATATAGATGAGCGCCTCCTCGTTCCATTACAACAGAGGCGCTCACATTTTCTCAGACTTCAGGTGCGATGGGCGAATGCACTAGCGTCTTCGGTTCGGTTTAGCAGTTGCGCAAAAGAGGCGCTAGCCAGGGCTATAACCTACTCTGGAGGTACTCACGGTATACCTCTTCATTTGGTGAGTGTGACGGTGGAGGATCATGTTCCCAAGGACGAGCCAGTGCTGCCCGAGGCAGATGACCCCGCAGAGGTCGGACCCGAGCAAGCTGCACTTGCCGATATTCTGGAGGGTGATAGTGCTGGAGCGGAGTTCAATGAGGATCAAGACTTCGTGTCTAATGTTTGTGCTGACATGGTGTGGGATTGCCCCGAGGTGCGTCAATATCATTGATAGGCCAAATATCACTAATGTATTGGTAGGGTCTCCTAATCGATGACTTCCGCGTCCCATCTCAAGACTCGCATGTCATCGTGCCTGGACGTGTAGCTACTAGAACCACATCGTCAACTGGAGGCTTCCCCTGCCACGTATTCGAGCCGAGAGACATAGGTTTTCTCGCTCGTCCGACAGCGTTCCTCAACGACGTATGTATCAACGGTTGTGCCGTCCTTCTGCAGAAGGACATGCCCAATTCTGCTGTGGCTGTCTTCTCTACGTACGATCTTCCTCGAATCCGCTATAATGCAGCTGATGATAGGCTCTGGCGCAATACATCGTGGACGCGCTATTGGGAGAAAGATGTGTGGGTTCTCCCGATTCATCGGCCATCTGATGTTGGCCATTGGGTCGTTTGCATCATTTACTTGTCAAGAAAAGAGCTTCATCTCTTTGATAGTCTAGCTGAACGGAGACCTTGGAAACAGGATGTCAAAGTTGGTTCACTTTAACTTGCGTGCAGTGTTCATTTTAATAAATTTACAGGATGTCATGAAATTTGTTTGTCGACTTCTAATGGTGGCACGTCAACGAGATAAAAATGTTCACATTGATATGGATGGATGGGTAGCTCGCCCATTGACTGTAAGTCAACGACATGTCTCACATCTAAGCCCTCCGTTGACGATTCACGCAGCTCAAACCTCTTCAAACTAATGGTTATGATTGCGGCGTATGGGTATTAGCAACAATCATTGCTGTCCTACGTGGACGACAACTTACACAACTCCGAGAGGATGAAATGAGGGATCTTCGATATTATCTACAATGTCGTGTACTTTCCATCCCAGTATTCTAGTGCGCATGTCTAGACATATGGATTCTTCCCAGCAATTAGCGAGTCCTTCTCCGTTTGATAAACCACGATCCTTCGTGCTACCCACTGGCAGTGGCATTCAGCCATGATCTTGTGTCTTGTGCATGCCTGCAAGTGTGAGACACAAGTATGAAGCTCATCCCAGCCTGTAAGTAAACTCTTTTGCGCCTCTTGAATCTCCTCGAGAACTCTGTCACTCTCTCCCCTGTTATACATGGCCGTGCGTTGTGCACAAGAATCCCTTTCGATCCGCAAATGACGTCCATGCATCACATCGACGATGTTATTTGTAAAACGCTCTTCCTCTGGCGAGTCGGGAGGATTGGGGAAATCGTAAGGAGGTGGTTTAGTCCCATTGCAAAAGGTCAGATTCGTCGATCAAGTTTGAACCGGCAAGGGATTGGCGAAAGAGATAAGAATCGGGAAGGGGGAGAGCCGCGAATTGCAACAAGGAAGACGTGAGAGGTGCTTCAGACATGATCTTGGATGTACGAGGTCCACGTCGACCATGACGCTTGGCGTAGTAACGAGCATTCTGAGCTTGCCTCACTATTTTACCTCTGTGATAATGAAAACATGTGAATTAAAGTTGGACAAGAGACATATAATGCTTACCTTTGTGACTGAGAATATGATTCTCTATGTTGTTGTGAGGCAGCTGCTTTCTCATCTAATGTGAGGTATTTTGCTCGCCGGCCCATGATGAATTATGACAGGGGAAAGCAGATGAATTGTAAAAATGGTACCTAACAAGATCACAAGTTGTCGTGAAGTTCGTACTGCTATATTGCCCTGTCAGTTGGAGAAATACAATACAGCCATTAACTGTAGCGTCCCTGTTCAAAATTTGGTGTTAGCACAATGGGGCGTACTGCTGGAGCCCATGAGGCTGGTTTAGACACCTTGAATGCTAGTGAATGTCCATATGTTTGTCTGTTTAATTCAGTACGAGTTATATGCTCGAGCGCATTGGCTCACAGATGTGATTTTCACCTCGCAGGAGGCCCGCAGTAGCCTCGACAACCCTCTTGAGCGCTTGGTGCCAACACTATGTTATGAATTAAAGTTCTGCGCTCATTTACCAGGTTTGGTAAGTCATAGCTTCTTGGCGCTATCCTCATTCAATGCTTTTTTGAAAATTACCCTGTGACATCCCAAAGATTTCTATGGCTTCTCTTGCGTGTTATCGATTAACTGCATCTACTCTCGTACCTTGTTTGTACTTTGCAAAATGACTATGACCATATCCAAGCCCTCGCACCTTGTTGATGCCGCCACGCAGACAGACTCGCACTCTTTTGTAACTACTCACCTCGTAAGTCCCCAGTCAGTTTCATATCCGTTCTGCTGATCGCTTCTAGCTCGTGGATGCGGCGGTGTCGACAGAGGGCCCAGGAGTTAGTGAGGTTACTGCCAGTCTACAAGTTCACGACTGTGGATGGAAGGCCCTTGATGGTATTCCTTGCATTATGGGTGGCATAACGGCGCTTGCTGGTAAGTTTCGTCAGTTCTCTTTTACACTAATCTTGACTTTCTTTCAGCTTCTGTTGGCGGCACGCTGCATGGCCGTTCCCCAAAAGACTTCCCCTGGAAAACCTTGCCCAATGAACTAGCTCGGCTCGGATGTTGCCTCGTGAACTACCCTGAAGAGACTTTGATGCCCGGCGAGATTCGACCCACGCTCAGGCGGACCAAAGGCATACATGATTTGACCATCCGTCATCGTGCTAACCTTGTCAACGCTCTCAAGACAGGCACCCTCACTATCCGAGCCATCACGAGCGATGCTGCCCGCTCACGCCTCTTGACTTCCAGGGACCCAATTATCATTGGAGAGGCACCATCACATCGCTCAAGCCACCCTCGTGGGCGACGTGCATTCGCAGATGGCAACATTGACCGAAAAGGGCCTCGTCGTCTCCCCTCACCTCCTGCTACACCAACTACTCGCCCTGCTACACCATCTACTCGTCCTGCAACACCTCCTGCAACACCTCCTGCACCACTTCCTGCACCTCCTCATCCTACAACTTCTGCTATTCGTCGACATGTCCAAGTTTTTGTAGAAATATCACGTCCGCCACCCCGGCCAGCTGTCGTAGCAATGTCACGCCCGCCACCCCGGCCAGCTTCTAGAGCTGTGCACAAATCATTTCTGCCACCACACCCTACTCACACCGAGGATCTCATCCCACCGATAACTTCTGTCACGCGGTCTTCGTCCACTTCTGAATATGATGATCAAAGTATGACTATAGACGACGAGTTGTCTGAAAGCGATTATCGGCCTTCTAAACGTCTCAGAGGTTGACTGGATGTAGATAACATGTTAGTACCACAATTCTTTTTAAAATTCTACATTAATTTCTGATGTGCGGTATCAGGTCTCATTTGATTCCAACTCGGTAGTCGTACCTCATCGTTACGAGGAGTCTCGCCTGAAAGCGATCATTGGCCTGCTACGCGCTGACTAGTATAATAACAACCAATGGAATGTAGATACCATGTTAGTACCACAATTCATTTCGAAATTCTACATTAAATTCTGATATGCGGGATCAGATCTCAATTGATTCCAACTCGGTAGTAGTAAGTTGGCGTTACATTGTTATCTTTAGTCACAACAATTATTTTGCAGTGTAGCCTCTCGAGCATCCCCATAACCTCCTCTGTCAACTTCCCCACTCTCTATACCCTCTTCAGCGATGACCAATGTCTTGGGTCACAGTTACCGTTTCTGATTACCCTGGTGACCACTTCGATTTGCCAAGACTCGAGAGTCATTGGTCGCAAAGTAAGTCACCTGTGATTTCTAATGCTCATTTCAGCCTCTCTGACATGATGAGACCACCAGTCCAAGCCCCTGGCCGCAAAGTAAGTCAACTTCCTCATGCTCAACTTTATCTGTATTCGCTGCTGTCTAAATTCGGGTCATCCTCAATATTCTTTCAGCCTTTCCAACATAATGGTACTGACAGTGGGTCTAGACCGTATCTTCGGCTGCAAAGTAAGTCACTTGTGCTTAACGTTATTCATATTAGCATCAATGTGAACCTCCCTCTAGCCTCCCGAGCCTCCTCAAACCCTCGCTCACACCCTCCTCAAACCCTCGCTCAAACCCTCGCTCACACCCTCATGAGCTTGTGTATCTCGGCCATTAACCCAACAAATTTAATCTTGTACGTTTGTTTAGCTTCTGTTCTACCGCTCCATTCTAAATTTTTTAGTCCGAATGACACCATGGATCACCGTCGCACAGAGGGACCCATTTTAGCTCAAACCAGCCTCATAAGTATCAGAGCACTGGTATTTTTTTTCGTGCCCCTTCCGAATTACCATCAGATTTGCTCTCCAGTATTTCACATACAGGTAAGTAGGCGTGCACTCACGTACTTCTTCTATGGACAACTACTGACTACATACTGCAGAAATGACCCAAAACATCCCTGATATCCCATCGTCTCCTCACCCAAGCTTTGCGGCCTTATCCACGGATACCTTCGATTATATGCAAGAACAGTTTGGTGGTGGTCGTCGATGCGCAACACCACCTGTTGAGCTGACTCCCTCACGACTGAGGAGTAAGCTTAGGGCCACAGAGCGGGATGTTGGCCTCGTCAAAGGGGCATCTATCCGCCGCCAGGCCTTTCAGAACCCCACTATGGGAGATCAAGATCCCGTATCTGCGCAGTCTGGTGCACCAAACTTCGCCCATGTGGTGCCAGACAGTACTTCAACAAACAAAACGTCATCGCTAACGGTCCGCGCGGCTAGTAGTCGACACGCCTCACCATTTCCCGCTCCACATGCTCCTGCACAGCTCCAGGACATTTTTTATGGTTCTATGGGCGAACAACCATGGATGGATCCTAACTCCACTGACGCCTTTAGCATGATGGATGCTCAGTCATTTTTACCTGGAGGATCCCAACATCACCTCCTCACGCAGGAGTTGAACCGGTTAGCACCGCCACCAGGTTTTAGTTTTCCTGCGAGTTCATCGGGTCAAACAATGGCCTCTCGCACATGTTCCTTAGAGCCCCACGCTACATTCATCCTCCCATCATCATCGCCTCGAGAGCACGCGCCTCCCCTGCCAGCAACAAACGTCATTCCACCAACGCCGTTCCAGACTAACACTGCCCCCTCAACAAATGCCATTGGTGCAGCCACTGCCTTTTGCGAACACTTTCCCGAAGAGCACGAGCCGGTGACCCATCAAGAGGGACATACGGTTACTGGACGCAGGTCTGCAGAGTTGAATGCGGCGCTCGATGTTGGGTTTTGCTGCAGTCGAGCAATGCTTTCTCAATCTATCTATGTCTACCACATTCCCTGTTTCCCAATTGATCAACTTGTTCTTGAAAAGTCGCGGACGCACCATGAATGGTACTAACTATTGGAACTTGTATGCCAACTACTTCAAAGAGCATATCCAGACAGAACTTGCACGCATTGGCAGGGAGGCCCCAGCTGGAGGCGGCACACCTAGTGAGTACCATATTACATCTTGTTCCATAGGAGATTTATATTCCTTACAGGTGCAACTGTGCGCACTCAATGTTACGACAAATTCAAAGAGGCCTATCCCGATTCTTACCAAGACCTCCTGTCAATGCATGAGGAGGCAGCGCTCCTTGGATCATCTACTCAAACAATAGCTCAGCGCGGACAGGGATTCCAGAAACATTATCGAAGGGTAATACAGATTGTACGTTATCTCGCCCGAAGTTTTGTCATCACCCATTTTGTTATTGTAGCTCGAGTCTGCTTCCGCTAAATCTGGCTTTGAAGCGGCCATCGTCCTCTGTGGCAAAGTGGTCAACGAAGACGGGTCACTTGGCCATTCATATTGCACGCCAGGTGCTGCAGGGGTGAGATTTTTCGTCGTCTAAATCCTCACATACTTAGCAAGATACAGTTCTGGCAGACACGATGCCGTGCTAGCGATGATGCCATCATCGGTCATATCAAGGCACATGTGTAGTAAGTAAAAATATAAATATAACTATGTTTGTGATACAACTGACACTGTATCTTCAACAGTAACATTTCATCCTTGGCTGCGGTGGATGAAGTGTTCCATGACGATGCCCACAGCGACCCATTGACCCCCCACTCGACTCCAAATGATGGTCGTGATCAGTCTCAGGCTCCTGAGGGGCGGGATGATGGTCTGAAGTGGGTGAAGCTTGAACTTATCAAACAAGTTGGTATGTCGGAACGTTGCTGGTCTTTTGATCCATTTGACTAAATGTACACCAGCCCAGCTTGGGGGGAAGTGTGCTTGGGATAAAAACTTCCCTTGGAAGGGCATGTCCAGTGCGCTTGCTGATGCCAATCTCTGCATCAGAGGGTATCCGGCCCACAAGTGCCTCTTGCCTGGTGAAGCTCACAACGAGAACTCGAAGAACAAGGGCATCGGGGCGTTGACACAGAAGGAAATCGCGGTGCTCGTGGAGGCATTGAAGTCAGGAACGATGCAAGTTGTCAAAGTCGACAAGGCGCATCGAGGTAAGTGTCAATTATGTTGCTGTAAGAACATTATGATTCTAATGTTATGTTGAGCATCCGTTATGGCCTCTGAGAGGCCAGTCATCACAGGCATAGCACCTCCGTCCGACTGTCCCACATGCCGGTGCTCGACGACTGTTTATTAATGGCGACACCGACTACCACGGCCCAGCTCGTCTCAAGCCTAGCAATGCAGCTACCAAAGTGAAGAAGGCCGATAAAGTGACGAAGGCCTCTCCACCACCCGATGATTCCGACTCCAACGCTGACTCAGATGACTATCATCCAGCGGTACCTTGCTGTTCGCAAGTTCCGAAAACCTACCATGCGGGTAGAGAGGTCGTTGCACCACCACCATCACGTCCATTTAAGGTTGTTGCACTGCCCTCACGCCCAGCCAAATCTGCTCCAAAACCAGAACCGACTGCGGCACTGAGTGAAGTGATCGAACTTTCTTCAGCCACGGAGAATGCTGCCGCAGAGCCTGACACTGACTATGAAGAAGCACGCGGGAAGAAGAGGAAATTGAAGTCTACGAACACATCGCGTGCGTCAAAGAAGCTAGCCCCATCCAACGAGAAGACTGACACTTCGAAAGTGGGGAAGAAGGCTGCACGACCAAAGCAACCCAAAGCGCCTGCCGTACCAACTTCGACAACCTCTCCAATGAAGGGCGGTCCTCTGTCCCCATTGACAGTGGGGTCATCAAGTGTGGCGGCATCACCAGAGCTGGAATCTAAGGGTACGATGAAACGTGCTCTTCGCATGGTGTACAGCCCCTCGGATGCATCTGGAGTTGATGAGGGCGAGAAGATGGATGCGGCTGTGAAGAGTGTCGTCTCCCCTGCTTTAGATAACGTCCCTGTGGAAACGTTACAGGAAGACTTGCCTTCGGAGGTAATGCAGGATGGCAGGCCAGTAAGAGATCAGCCGGAACCACCTCAAATCACCAATCCCATTGCTGTTCGCGACTCTCGCGACTCTCGTGACCCTGCAGATACCCCACACCAAGCTCATGACGAGCTTCCTGTCCCTCATGACCCTCACGAGGGTAACCAGCGAGACTCCAGCGAGGGCATCCAGGGAGACTCCAACGAGGGTATACGCCACCCACAGGAACCTCACCATGAGGTTGTCCACAACCGTCGCAACGACCCTCATGAGGATGACCCTCTTCGCAATCTGCAAGAGCCTCGTCATGATGTCCTCCGTGATCCTCGAGACACTCTCCATCATGCCCTTCGCGACACTTTGCATGACCCTCGTCAGCCTCTTCGTAGTTATTCTCGCGAGCCATGGTATATGCACGACGCTGTGCGTCGTCGTGAGGTCCATGAAGAAACCCCAATCATCGAGCATGATGCTCTCCACCCTCGCGATGCCTTCTATCACCGTGACTTTCACAACCCCCGCTATACTAGTTTGCAACCTCACAACCATTACGGACCCAGCGAGCCTCGTGCCAACAGTGACTTCACCATGCGGGATAGCCCTCCGGCCTTGGAGGTACACCGTGATGACCATTATGCTCGTGGTGAGCGCGGACATGCATACCCAAGTCGATACAGTCCCGTACTTGGTCCTGACTATGCTCGTGAAAGTGGATACTCTCGCCGCGATGATCTTGATGAGCGGCGGGCATTTGGTGGAGGAGCTTACCGTGACAGTGGGTACCCCCAAGGCAGGACTCGATACCAGGATTCCAGATGGACGGATCGCGTCCGTAATGCTCCATCTTCGGACTATGCCCATCATGACACTGGACGGCGATCATTCAGTCGAGATCCAGTCAACTCTCCGCACCCTGGGCCTTCATCTTAATTTGACGTTTGATATGCGCTCATACCCTACTTATGTTACTATGGACCTTGTTGTTTACCTTGTTTTGACAATGTCAGTATAGCAGCTCCAATGCCTGCTCTCGTTTACTTCAGAACATGTTTGAAAATGCTATGAACCTTTAGAATGATGATATGTTTCATCAGAATAACATAAGTGCAAACTACAAACATAACTCCGGCGGAAAAAAAACATGAGGTGTGACGAGAAAACATACAATAATATAACATAGGTGAGTAAAAACATTGGAGATATGACATAAGGGCAAGGGGAGAACATAATACAAGTGCGAGGAGCACCAGAGGCTCTAGATTATCTTGAGGGCGACGGAAGCCAACCCTCCGACGAGGGTGCTCTGGTGGCTCGAGGGCGGCAGGACCCATGATAACACGCTGGAGGCTCTAGGACGACAACCAGAACCAACCCTTCGACGAGGGTACTAAGGTGACTCTCGAGGGTTTGAGGGAGATCCTCCTAGGAGAGGGTTGTCTCAGAGACGTGTTGTGTCCTGCAGAAGAACCGGGTCTGACAGACCGTGGGAAGCACTGAAAAGTGCTGCCAAGGGTGCTATGCTCGTCCTCGTGCCTCGGACTCGCTTAGAAGACAATCTATGTGTTCTGACTAACTTTTGTGGTCAGAGAAGAATATATCAGATTGATTCGTAATAAATACAATCTGAACTACGAATACGAAATGAATGCTGCATGTAGGTATTTGGGCAAAGCCCCGTAGGGGCTTTCGGCCAGAAACATCGCCCCGGACCTAATAAATCGAGATGAGCCGTGATTCCCGAAAATTCTAAGGAGCCCAGCGACGCGTCAGGCGCAGCTTGGACTCCCTATTTATAAGGAGCGGGGTGAGACATACCATTGATTTAGCGCATCACTGGCATGGTGTATCGCGTGAAGGGTTCAATGATGGGAGTATCTTGCAGGTATGGGGCCATGATGAGGGCGTGATCACGCAGGTAGATGGTGAAAGCTTCACTCGACCACCTTCCCATAGACTTGACGACGTCGAATGGAATTCCGCGGAGCAAGTACTCTAACGTCCCCCCAATGCGAATACCGTGTCCTTTGAGGTCAGGACACCCTCCTTGTTTCGCGATGCTAGCGATCCTTTTTAAGAACGCGCCTCGCGTTAAGGGACGCGGGCCTTTGGGGTGTCTCCACGTGAAGAGGTGATCATTGGGTAAGGGCTCATTGATTGTGAAGTGTTGGATTAGAGCTGCTTCAGGATCTGTGCTGTCTGACTGTCGTGCCCAATAGATATCTTCACCTGTAGTTGACGTCTTCGTGCGCGGTACGTGGATCTTCGAGACCCGTAACCCATTTCGATCTTCGCAATCCATTCTAACGTCTGCTCGTTTCACGTGCTCCTGAGGCGTGAAAATCTTGATGGATTTGACAGTTAGTTCTCCGAGCCGAGCGAGAGAGTAAAAGGCGCTAGTTAGGCATGCGAATACCGCTGTATCAAGAGGTGCGTGGAGGTCTAGATGCGCTCTGATTTGGATAATGGAATTGATTGTAAAAGGTTCTCTCTTAGCGCGCTTGGAGTCTGGGGGGGCCTGAATTGCTGCACCGTCCAATGCGGACTTTAATTGGTGTTGTTGAATGGCCCACGTATGTCCATGAAGGACATGCCATGCGCGGATAGCAAACACATAATTCGCCAAGGTTCGTCCTGCGTAAGCTCCGGCACAGCTCGCAACGAAAGCGAGGATTGTGAGTGTGTCTGCAGGACACCTTTGAAGTTCTGGGACGCTTCTCGTGTCACAGAAGACGTGATAAACCAATAACCCGGCACCATACGATTCTCTCGTGCTCTGCGTCCACGCTGAATTCATCACTGTGAGGACGCGTTGTAAGTCTTCGTCCGTTATTGCGAGAATCTTCCTGTCAGCGTTCCTTAATGATCTGCTTTCAACTGGGCGCCACAGTTTGAGCCGATCCCTGGCTAGGCAATGAGGACGCAGTACCGATGTAGCGGGGACTAAGCCTTCCTTGTATGGTGCTGGTTTTGATAGCGAGGGTGTGACAGTGAGTGGAGCTGTGAAACGGTGTTTGGTTCTATGGTCTGATGCCCGTTGAGCTGTGTTTTCGTTAGCTGGAGGAGGACTTGCTATCTGCGCACTGGTTGGGATGGTGGAAAGCAGGTAGGAAGGAGCTAACGCTGGCTGCACTTCGTCACGCTGACTCGAAGGGGTCATAAATGAAGGAGCACAATGGGAGGGGGATAGGGATGGGTGCGAGGAGGAGCTTAGGGTCTCCATAGATTCCCCGGGAGGGAGGGTCGGCTGGATTGAAGTCGCTGGCGATATATGTTGGGTGGAAAGAGTATGTAGATGGTAGGTCTTGTAGGACTCCGAATATCCGCCGGAAAACCTCGTTGACGGCGGTATTGCGGCTGCGTCCGTTCTTCCAACCCTCAATGACTCCCTGGTTGTCACCGTATAGGCTGTAGTGTCGTTCTGGTCGATCCAAGGCGATAATGTATCGAACGAGAAGCTCGAAACCGACGGCTTCTGCCCATCCGATATCTCTCTGGCCGTCAAGGGTCGTCCAACCTGGGTACAGTTTCCATGCTCTCCACCTTTCACCAATGATGATCGCGATACCAACTCCGGAACTTGCATCGGAATACGCCTTTGGGTTGAATAGGGTAACTGGTGCTGGGATACGGCGTCCGACGAAGGCATTCTGCAAGACGTCGGTCCACCATTTAAGGTCCTCCGCGAGACCTTTAGCCGGACGATGTGGTAAGAAGGGGTGCGTGTGACAAATCCGCAGCATAACCTCAAGTTTCGTGAGGTATGCTCGTCCTCGTGGTAGTACCAATGACACATGCAGAAGCTTGCCGTGCAGCTTCTGTACGTCAGTAAGCACATGCGTAGCGCGTTGCCGCCATTCTTCCACTGCGCGTAGATACTTAGTCTTCTTCTCGTGTTCAAGATATACCATACCGTTCGCGAGATCCCAAGCGAGTCCAATGTATGGATTGCAGTACGCAAAAGGGGAATCCTTTTGAAGCTCCCAAGGAGTTCGCGTGACGCGAGATATACGATCGATGTCATCAAAATTGAATGTAAAAAGGGAATCTTCGTGCGAACGTGGTGAAGCGCTCGAAAAGTCGACCAGCGGGAATCTACAGTCTTCATCAAACTCTTCTGTGGTGCCATCGTCAAAAATGTGCCCTCCAAACCATATCCTACCCCCATCCTGATGCTCGCCCTCCTCGATAATACTCTTGTGCCACTGTTGACGGCGTTTGTTGTACTCTTCGAGATGTTCCTTTCGTATCCGGAAAAAGAGGTGGTCGTCGACCCAGCGTGACGTGGGTCCAATGCCGACCGATCTAAAAATATCGAGCCCTGCATCTGCGAGGGAACCATATGCCCCCGCGGAAGGGGACACCCCGAAACAAGTACACATGTCGATGCAGAAGCGATCGTCGGCAATACGTACCACTGCACCTGGCCATTGTGAGTGATGTAAGGGGATTGTTCGGTAAGCTTCTGAAACGTCCCTCGTGGCGATCTGTGATCCGGGAGGTAAACGACTGATGAGAAGCTCGATGGTGTGGAATGTTCCCCAAGTACTGGGGAACTCATCCACATTGATTTGTGAATTAATGGAATCGTTTGGGAACTTAATGGTGCGCGAGTGAGGAAAGGAATAGTCTTGGATAACGCGAAAGCGTCCTGGTCATCCTGGTTTCGGGATGATGGATAAAGGGGAGGATTGAAACGGGCCGATGAGGCTTTCGATACCAGCGGCTGTACAGGGACCAATATATCTTTCTTTTTGAATTTCTGATTTGACAATGGATTGGAATTCATTTGTATAGACAACAATTGAGTCTTTGTTTGGGGGCGTTTGCGTGACTGTAATAACGGGAAAATTAAGATTAAAACCCTCGCGAAGACCTGGGGGTATGTGCGCATATCTCTCAACGAGTCCTGCTTGTGTAAGATACATCTCCCAAGCGTCAGCGTTGTACGGCGTGAGAGCTTTAAGCTTTCTGCGCTCGAGCGCACGTCTGCACTCCGTGAGAGGAGGCAGCACATCCAGAACAGAAGTGTCGTTTGTCGTGCGTGGTGTCGCTGCACCCGGCGACTCTTTGCCAGTCGCTGCATATTGGGCGACCATCCCACATGGTGAGGACCTTGCTGACTCGGGTGCAGATAGTATCGGCTGCATTGTCCCAAGTCTTGGTCGCTTTGCATTCGACGATTCGGTGGGGATGCCTTCCCAAACACACTGCGCAAGCGGATAGGGAGCTTCCACTTGCGCTGCTTCGAAAATCCTGCCGCGAACGCTTGTTCGGGTCGGGAGATGAGGGACGGCGTGCATTCCTGCCTGTTCTTGGGGACGTTGAGTGTTGGCGAGCGTCCCTCCCTGTTCTAGGTGATGCGGATCGTCTACGCGAGTCTCGTGATGAGCGCCAGTTCTCCTTGTTCCTGTGACTCTGATTGGAGGATTGGCTCCCAGTCATGAGGGCATTGATCTGCTGATCTAGCTGGTGACGTGATTGTCATGTGTAGCGGTGTGGCATGGTGTGGCATGTGGCAAGATGTAGCGTGTGGCGTGTATCGTGAGGCAACGTTGAAAAACGAATGCGTTCGATGTTGGTGTTTATAGAAAAGGGAAGTAAACACATCGTCAGTGTATGCTCGGTAATTCGAGTATGATGATTGGAAACTAACCTTGTAGTCCCGTTGATTGTCCTGTCTCTTACGCTCTTCGAGGTAGACGTTAGTCCGCGTACGTTCTAACAAAGTCTCATTGATGCGTGATAGATCATAGGCCCCTGCTGCTGACTTGACTGCTATATGCCATAGTTTCCGTTGCTCTGCTTGATAAACAAGCAGCGCTGTTTGGGCTAAGGGATCTCTCATCGAGCGGTACTCATGCACTTGTAAGTTCCGCCAGAATATGGCCATCATCTTGATCCGGTCGGCTGGCCAAGCTGCCTGTTCCATGGCTGTGATGATGCGGGGGCAGGCTTGGCAGAAGTCCTCGAAGGGAAGATTCTGGTCGTCGACGACAGTACTGGCGTTTCGCATTGACGCTGCTGCTACCCAAGCTGTCTCACCACCTGCCAACGTTGCCATGATCATGGCGTCGTCATTGACCGAGGTCTTGAGTTTTGCGTCGTCCAGACCTGCGTTGGTGAAGTACCATAATTCGACATAGTCGCCTTTGTCGAGTTTGCGGGTAGCATAAGAAGATGGGATGATGACGGGCTCTGTGGGTACGTCACGTTGTGGGATAGAAGTATACTTGAACTTGTTCTTCTTCTTATCTTCTTTCTGCGTGGCTTCGTCTTCTTCCATGCGATCGTGTTCTCGCCTTTCACGTTCCTCGTCGTTGAGCCTTTCCATGTGCTCATCTCGCTCTCTATCTTCGTCTACTTGTCTCTCCCATTGAGCTTTAGCGATGTTGTTGTCGGCTTGCCATATGTTCCTAAGAATTGCGATGGCTTGCTGTTCGTTTATGTTCTCATTGGTGAGTTGTAGCCTCGTGTCGGCGAAAGCTGCGTCTGCGTAGTCTGGGCAGATACTTAAGTTCGGATCACTTTGTAGACGAGGCATTTTGTTAATTGCGTCGTCGTCTGATAGAGGCGAAAGTTCGAGTAATACGACTAAGAGTCTGAGAGTCTGCAAGTAGTAGTAGTACGAAGCAAAGAAGAGATGTCCCAAAAAGGACATCTGCCACATAGACAACATTCTACGCTCGTCCTCGTGCCTCGGACTCGCTTAGAAGACAATATCTGTCGAACCTGGGCTCAAGCTTAAGCATACTCCATATCTTAGCGCTCGCTGACAAATTTAGTGCAAGTAATTATCAGACGGAACAAACCGAAGTGTAACGAAATTCAAAGCACTGCCGCCAACTTGTATTCTTACCAAGGTTGCCTCCAAGCAAATCTGAGCATCTAGCAGATCCGTTCATCATCACCATCTTTCCTTGCCCTCAACTATTGATTTACGCATTCCCGTGCCTGCCCTCGTCATCTCTTCTTGACATGCCCCGCAAAGAGGCCGAGTCAAGTACGTCAACCAGACAGAGAGAAGCGCTGTTAGACTCGCCAGCACGTGTTGCGCCTCTTCGAGCGGGAGCAAAGTATCCACCACCATATGGTGCACAGCACCGCCAGGATGCTCTTTGGGAAGGTGAGCAACAGTATTATGATACATATTGAGTGACCCATCAAGAAGCAGGCGGGAATGAAGCGCTCCCTCCTCAATGGCATCAGTTTCAGGTGTTGGTTGGTGAAACAAAATATCAAGACAACGCGCTTGCTATGGTTTCACGGAACCGACCTTTACCAGGAGTGCGACTAGGTGAGCGAAGAACGTGCCGCTAGGAGCAAGGAACTCATGGCTGAGCATAGATGAACCTGGACAACTCGTTATTGCTGGATGCGAATGGCACATCTCGCCACTCGGGCGGTCCTACTTCGTCAACCATGACAGTCGGACCACATCCTGGAATAAACCAAAGCCAGTGCGTCCGGCAGAGAGCTTGGTGCCGGAGTGCATCGTCGAGGGTCACTCTAGATGCATATGGAGCCTTGCCTGCTTGGGCACCAGTTGTAATATACTGAGTGCGTCGGATGACTGGTCGATTCGCCACTGGAAAAAAGACGGAGAGCCAGTAGGAAAGCCTTTGGATAGCGATGGTGGGGGGATATGCTCAATGACATTATCTCCGGATGAAACAATGGTCGCGAGTGGAAGTAAGGACGGTAGACTACGACTGTGGAACATAAGGAAGGGCATCATGGTCGGCGACCCGTGGGAGGGGCACAATGATGGAGTGAGGTGCCTCGATTGGTCTCCCAATTCCTTGGAGATAGCAAGTGGATCGCAAGACGGCACCATACGACGTTGGAACCCGGATACTGGCCGACAAACAGCGACACCAATAGAGACCGGTCATGGCTGGGTGGAAGCTGTCAAATACTCTCCGCAATGCGACAAATTCATGAGCGGCGGTATGGACTGTATAATCCGCGTGTGGTCCAAGGACGGGCAGTTGCTCATCGAGATCAAGGGACATGATTACTCGGTGACGTCATTGTGTTGGTCCAAGGACGGTGCACACATCTTCTCTGCGTCATGTGATCACACCATCCGAAAATGGCGGTCCAATGATGGAGAGGAGCTCGTCGTTCTTCTGGGTCATACCAACAACGTCAGATCCCTGTGTCTGTTGCCTGATGAAAATGATCTCGTTAGCGCATCAGAAGACTGCACAGTTCGCATTTGGGACCTCAAGACCAATCAGCTAGTCGGAGATCCACTCTTACATGACGACGGAGTTGTTGCTCTTGCCATATCCCGTGATAGACAATACATTGTTAGTGGTGGATTAGAGGCAAAAGTATATGTTTGGAGCATGGAGGCAGCGCTCAATCGGCGGGGTGGCGACCAAGTTGGCGTGCGTATGTGCATTGGCGCCTTAACACGTTTTTAACGGCTCTGGTTTAGAGCGTGGATGATACCAATGCAAAACCTGACGCGAAGTCCAAGGCAAGTCAACCCTGCTCCTCTTCTCTTTCCCTCTCGATCTCACCTTTTCCTAGGGGCATCCAGTCCGACAGAGAGATGTGCGCCGATCAGTTGTGATGAACCTTGTCCTTCGCTCATTTGTTTGTTCAGCACATCTCCTCACACCCAATTTTCTCCACACAGCACGCGAGTAACAAAGGCTCGGCGAAATATGTCAGTGTTGCTTTTCGTTCCTGAACTGCGTTCCTTGATAGTTTCATCGATTTTGACTAACTCCATCCAGGCTGATGCTACATCGCGTCAACCGCGAGAAGCATCGCAGACCGCTGGAGCTCCAAGTCGCAGAATTCCCCCAGGGTTTTTTGACGAAATACCACGTCATGTTGATGTACGTGATATCCGAGTGGCGTACAACAGTGCATTTGATCAATATGTTGTCAGTCTTCTACGTCCCGCACCCATCGCACCCTCTTTGGTCGCTTACCGACCGTCTTTCACCGCCGCCACTCCAAGCCTCATAGGGCAACTGGGCGGGACACTCAACCCCAACGTCGCCCACTCAGCTTGCCTCGAAATATAGTCTCTGGCATGCTACGCAGACGACATGGTTCAGACATCCAGTTGCGAGAGCCACCGATAGTCGAAGTCCCGTGCACAGCAGGCAAGCCTGTACGTGTTTCCCTTCATCATTATTCTTTGTCGCTGACTCTTTTTCGCGCAGAGAGACTATCACGCTAGAAAGAAGCGAGCTGGCAGCTCGTTTCGATTCTCCCATGCTCATACCACACAGCAACACAGCCCAACACGGGGCACACCGTCATTGTCACAGCTACCACCTTCCACTGCCGCTGGTGCCGTGGGGACGGTGGGAACAAACTCGAATCCCCATATCACCATAAGAGATGCTGGATGGCGTGCTCGTTTCATGGTCTGGGTTTGCTGCATGTCTATTCAGAATACAGATGGTCATCATTAAGGAAGCGACATATTGGCTTCCGGGTTTCATTGTATCTTTTATTGTCTCATCCCGTTTTTCATGACTCTGCCCTATGGTTGGGGACTAACCCTATACCATGTGCGCACATAGTACTAGAATTCACAGTGCCTTTTAAGAATATATTATCAGTTTTGCCAACCCATGATATCATGACCCAGATTAGTTCACAAGTGCCAACGGGCTGCATCAAATATCCAAAGGATCGCTCTGGTGCATGCTCAATTGTTGCTTGCGAACCGTCGGATAATAGGATCCGGCAAATAGTAAGACAAGTCTGCTCTGGGAATTGGGAACGGAAGAAAGTAGAATGGATCATTGGGTATCAAGTCTAGTCTCAGCTTACTGTTTCCTCTTGGGAGATCCGCCAATTACATTCAAGTTGTTACTGCAATCAGGGAGGTTAACTAAACTTCAATGTTTCTTCCTCTGTTCTGTGGAATCAGCGGCTCACAGCCAAGCTGTACAGTAATTACATAACAGGACAATGGACATATGATTACATACGCAATTTTCCACTATCACGTCCCATTTTAGATAGCAAGCACCATCATGATGGTCACGGTGCTTCACCGGAGGGCACCAACGGGGTGACTGCTTCAAGCAAATGTGCTAAAGTGAAGAGACGGCCCAGGGTAGCCTGTGGAAGGCCCGCTGTTCTCGGAGTCTCCCGCCGCTGTTTTGATTTTATATTGTTCATCTGATTAGTAGTAGTACATACATGGTCACGATTGTGGACGCACCTTGAGTGCCACAGCGGAGTCCACATTCCGTGTGGGGGGTATTTATTCTCGAATCTCTTTACACCTATTTCCATCTTTCCCTCCACTTGTATCTACCTTGTACTACAGATGGAGAATATCATCCCCCCTGCCCTCGATAGTCAGCGGACGCCCGAGCAATATCCTGCGGGCAAACCGGGCGAGCCTTCTGGTCCTCAAAGGGGGTTAGTTCGAACATATGCCGAATACTTAGACTCTGTGGGCAAACCGGGCGAGCCTTCTGGCCCTCAAACGACGTTAGTTCGAACATATGCCGAATACTTAGACTCTGTGGGCAAACCGGACGAGCCTTCTGGCCCTCAAACGACGTTAGTTCGAACATATGCCCAATACTTTTAGTAATATTTGATAGGAATAGCTATCGCATCGCGTCTCATCACGACGCTGATATATGCATCTCCGACACTTGTTATACCAGTGTCATGAATATGGAATTGATCTATGTACATACTTTATATCGCATCTGGTGCAAAGAACACCATTATCGCCCATACTTATATGGTTGTCCTTTACCGTTTCATATTTGAAATATCACATGCCTTCCTCCCCCCAGTCTCAGTTGACGAACAATACACCATCCTTGGCCGCTGGACCACTGATCCTTGAAGCTTGAAGCTTGAAGTCTGGGGCTCTTAGCCTCCGCCTGAAAATCAACAGTATTCTCCATCCCCGCCTTCAAATTCTCTCTCATTTGTAACACTCGCCTTGGGATGTCGTTCCTCATCGATGACACTCTTCATTACCTCTGTAATGGATTTACTGGTTTCCGGGTTTCATTGTATCTTTCGTTGTCTCATCCCGTTCTTCGTGACTCTCCTCTATGGTGGGGGACTAACCCTATACCATGTGCGCACATAGTACTAGAATTCATGATATCATGACCCAAATTAGTCCACAAGTGCCAATGGGATCTATCGCTTTTTAGCCTTCGAGCAAGACTCGAAACTGCGCAGATAAGTTGTTGCCAGAATTTGGTACTTGATGCTCATCGGACAAATGAAGAGAACGAATCGATGGTGAGAAGTGATTGTACTGGTACAGAAGCAAAATGACTTGATGCGTTCCTTCTAACTATGAATCGTCGAGCTCGTCTTCTTCCTCGCTGCCCCCCATCAAATCCTCATTCACCATGTCTACGACTGCATTGATGGTTGCTTTAGACATTCGAGGCATGGCACCCGGTCGCAAGAGAGGATGATGTGCTTCTTGGAGCTCTTCCTCAGATTCCTCGCCACTCTCTTCGCCATTGGCATCGCTTCCACGGTTGTCTTCCTCTTCCGAACCGTCACCGGGATGGCTACCACTCCCGACGTCGCTCGCCTCTGAATCTGATGAGCTGCTATGATCAATATCTTCCGAAGAAGCAATCTCGTAGTCGTCGTCGTCCGAATCTGAGTCATCCCACGCGGGACCATTGGCAGCAGTGTTTTCGCCAATAGATGGTTGCTCCTGAGTCGTTGCTTTCTTACCACTTGTAGCTTTGGAGGGAGGTGGAGCGGACCCTTTGCCAAACAGGTGCTTCCGCTGCCTCGCCCATGCATTGATGGGGTCTTGTTCTCGACCATCCACCATGGAGAACTCCGTCTCGACAATGTCTCCCTCTACATCCTCATTATCTCCTCTTTTGCTGTCATGATCTTCAGCAGACGATGATATCTTTCTCCCGAGGATGACGGAACATGTACGACCCGTGGCACTGATCATGCGAATGCCATCTTTTGGGATGAGATCACCAACGGCCCAAAACTCGCATGGTTTGCTCTCCCCCCAAAGAATTCCCGAGTCGAAAAACCATAGAGTTCCGGGTTTTGCGGCAAGATAAGCATCGATACCGGCTGCGCTGTGTCCTGATTTGGGAGTAGCGCAAGCGCTGCGAAATACAGTTGCTGAGGCCTCGAGAAGAGAAATAGGGAGATGCATTAGAAACTCGCGTAGGACGAAGAGCGTCTCATCTCCTCTCGCAACCGTTGATGTGGATGGAGTCGACGAGCCGGAGTAGGAGGTAGTGTCGAATTTAGAGGTGCTTATAGCGTCAAGTCCAAATATTATTTGGTGTGAGTTAGAAGTTGTGGCCCTACCCTTCTCAGGTATGTCACTGGATAGGATGACAACTGTCCAGTGCTGCTTTGCTTTTCCACGCGTTGGTAGCAGGAATGCTCGTGAGATACTAGGAAGAGGGATCGAAGCTTCCACCGCACGAGATGAAGTATTTACAAAGCGTATCGTCTTCTCGTGAATCGTGATGTCAACTTTTTTTCGAACAGGCGAGGTTGTGGATATCGAAGGGAGTGTGAAAACGGGCCGGTCGTCCTCAAGTACATCCGTAGTTTTTTGGCGCTTAGTATCTGAGCCAACGCCTTCTTCATCATTGCTGGCTGCTCGCCCGCGTTTTGTGCCTTTCTGTACGGCCAGGTCTTGGACCGCCTTCATGCCGGCAGCTTGATCTCGTGCCCACCCCAGTTGGCCGTGGGGCGACACATCTGAGGGACATTCACCGCCAGATGCAAATGCAAGAAGCATGTCCACAGCAGAGCGGGTTTGTTCGGAGCTCAGGGAGTCTATGATGGACGAGCATTCCGCTGGAAAGTGTTTGGACAATGCGTCCAAGTATGGAGTGCTCGAACTCATCACTAGATCCTTATCGAGCTGGACACGATAACACGGATCAGCAATAATACCTGCTAGATATTTATTCCTACCTTGAATGAACCAAAAAGTCACCAAGTCACTACACAGAACTCTAGTCACAAGTTTCTTCAAAGCTCTCAGTCTTCATTGTGGGTTCAGGTAGGTCACATGACTACACGCGTCACAAATATGGCCAAAAATAGAATTCACGTTCTCATTCAACAACACCGAATTGCCGACCCTAAACAAAGACGCGACTCTGCCTCTTACTGCCATCATAACACCCTTCGCGTCCTTGTTGACTTCATTTCTCACATTCGCTAATCACTGCTTGCCCCTTGTTTACCTCGAGTAGTCTGAGTGATCACACCCCTCAAGCTCTTCGTGCCTATACCAACGTGTCTATCCACTGTCCCACTTTCAGGTAAGTTGTTCATATTTCGCTGCAGCCCTGACGTAATTCTGGTTGACTGCCCGCAGTGTATATAGGACCTTCCTCGACTAATCCTCTCACTCATGGCACCCAAATCTACCGGAGGGAAGTCTAAGTCTGGCGCACCCTCTCAAGCAGCAGGAGGGGTTGCGGGATCTGGTGCGACTACGACACCAAGAACGATACAGACACGCAGCCAGAAAGCTGGCCTCCAGGTCTGTCTTTAGTCTGTCCTCCTCTGATCGGTTTTCCTAATATAGCCCCTGTTTTCCATTACTCTCCTTGTAGTTTCCCGTCGGTCGTATTCATCGTTACTTGAAACAGCGCACGCAGCACAATGTGCGTATTGGAGCGAAGGCTGCTGTCTATACTAGTGCAATATTGGAGTATCTCACTGCTGAAGTGCTTGAACTTGCTGGTGAGTACTTGATCCGGATTGAAGACGACTCGTTCTTACACCCGTTATCAGGAAATGCATCAAAGGACTTGCGCGTCAAACGCATAACTCCCCGGCACTTGCAACTTGCCATCCGAGGAGATGAAGAACTCGATATCCTTGTCCGCGCGACAATCGCTGGAGGAGGTGTATTACCATTTATCCACAAGAGCTTGACAGCTGCTTCAGGCAAGAAGAAGCTCGAGGGACAACAGTAGGAGACATTGGAATGTTACAGCGGGATGTAGATATTATCTATTGATGTTTGTGAGTGCGGTGATTTAACTTTATTTTACTTTTGACTGTTTGTTACTTGCATCTGTAGTTTTTGTATCAAATGCATGTATGAGACTTGGTTGTTTGGACTGCGTGATGGGCAGTTAACCAACTAGTGCAAGACTAGTGACTCAGTTGCTCAAGTTACAGTACGTTCCGCAAGAAAAAAAATGTTAGTTGCGACTCTCGTGCTACAACTCGATCAAACAGAGTTTGCTAGTGCAATAATCTCGATCACAAACTGCTCGCGCGTTCCCCAAGACGGTCGCTTTCCCACTGCCTCTCTCAACTCCCCTTTCTCATGCAGCTCCTCAATTTTGGTACACTTGTCGACGACCTATTAAGGAAATCATGTCTAAGCAGCACGTAAGACCTGCCTTTGGCGTTTTTCCGATCAGTGACCTTGTCACCGAACCCAGCATGGCCTTCAGGTTGGACTGCCCACTAATCGCGACTTCACCTGCAAGTATATGTTAACGACTGATTATCTCACCGTGAGCACGGAATGGCTACTTAGGGTTTTCCTGATCGGCGCATTTATAGATTTGGTGGGTTATAATCAGGCAAGATTGTTGACCTGGACAGAGTTCAATTTTGATGTATCGAGGCTATTGGAGAGAATGCCGTTGTGTGGATCAGTTCATGGCGTTCGAGCGGAGCTGATCATGTGCTGTAACTATGTCTGGGGAATTGTGGACGACACTGATGTGACTATTTTCGTACGTCCTAGCAGCTGCATCTTGAAAGTAAACTCATAAACGAGCAGGTTGCTAGAGACGTTGCTACACCCTGGAGGCCACTCGCATATGGGTAGTCCACGACGAAGATGATCAGTACTGGAATGCTCAGCACTCATCATCCGCGCTTTACATAGCACTCATTCCCACCGGCCCGAATTATTCACACAATCATTAATTCTCATGTCCCCGTAAAAAGATGAGGCTGAGCAGCGTCTTTCAGATATACAGAAGTCGATTATTGATCCACAGTACCATACCACACTGACTCCCACTCAGTCACGTCACCAGGTCCCTTCGTCAAGTGGTTCATGTCAGCCACGAACGATAACCTTCCCACTATTCAGCCGCCAAGGACTTGGTTCGGTAAGTTCTCAATCGCGTTCATTCATGCTGCATGCCAAGATGTTAATATCGCTGCCCCAGCCTCGTCTTGGAAGGCTCGCTTAAGAAAAATCTCTGCAAATCAAACCGATGGACCATCCTCCGCTGGCACATGTTACATGATGCATGCCATACTGGTCATGATACACGTCGTCCTTGTTATATTATATATCGCTCACTGGGAACACCGTGTGACTCTGTTATTCACGCCTATGAACAATGATTTCTGGCCTGTGGTGTTGAGTGCTTCACTGCAAGCATTTTACACTGTACGTGCTTACCCTGTACGAAAACCACACCTGACGTCAAAGACTTCATCTAGATTTACACGGCTGTTCTACTCTTCCTTACCCAACGGCTTGCGGTGTCAAGAACGCTAGTACGCCGCCAGAAATTGACCGCCATTCACGATGTCTCGGGTGCATGGGCAGGCCTCGGCTCCGCACTCAGCAGTGTCTGGCAACAAACTGATGTCTCTGCCTCATGGTGGATGACATCTACTGTGGCAGCCTACCTTGCGTGCATTTCTGTGCTGCATGTCACCTCTTCCACTCTCCTACAAATTCAAACGTTCAGTACTTCTATGACGACTTCTGTCCCAACAACACTAGCCTGGCTAAACGATCTATCAACGATAACATCTCCAAACTATTCTGCTGTATACGATGTGAACTGGGAACCCATCACCGCATTCTTACCAGTTTTCAATCAATTGCCCGGAGTGGTCTCTGCAGGATTATCCAACACTACAGTCTACGACACCCCACAACAAACAAATGCTATAGTAGGAAATGCAACTGTGAATGCAACGACGATAACCTCATATTGCGGATTGCTTCCCAATATTTCGTCCTCTGTGATATACCCTCCAAATACTTCATTTAATCCCACTCCAATTAATCCGATGATCTTAGCAAATACTTCGTTTGACAATGGAGCTTTGCTCTTTTTTGGCGCATCAATTCCCTGTACGTCATCGTAGTTTTGAATGGGTTTAAGCTTCATATTTAGAAATGTTCATAGGGTCAGACCAGATACGAGTGCTTAGCTCCGGTTTGATTCCACCTCATGGCGAGGTGAGGCTTCTCCAAAATCATATGTGGGCGCCGTGAAAGCTGACAGTTGTCTCACAACAGCCATCCGATTTTTCGCTCCAGGCTGGCGTCGTTTTCATGGTCTCTACATTATTAGACATCGATCCTTCAGTGAAAGATGTATTCGCTGCACCGATTCCTTGGGAAATGAAGAATTCTTGTGCGTTGGCTTTGTTGTAATACTTCCATGCTAACAAATATATTCTGTAGCGGGGGTCCTTGAACTTTATTTTGTGCAATGCTCGCTGTCGGCCGTGAGCGCAGAAGCGGTGATTGACATCCAAACCAAGATTCTGCAGAATCCCGTGTCTGCCTCGCAATCATCTAGGCAGTGGGAGATTAACCAATGGTCATCCGATACTTGGCAATCCGTGGTGTGTTGAAACTCATTTTGAGGGTGTACGACAATTCAATGATCTACTTCACACCCAAGATTGGTGATGCTCTGGCTAAACCGGTCAGTAGCGGGTATTCATTCATGAATTCAGCTGGACCCTCGATAGTGGACGAGTAAAAACATCCCCTTCACTCCCACGCTGCAATGCCTTACCTATGATTTTTTATAGGTATATCATGTCATTGGTAGGCTTAAATCTCACCGCCGAGTATGATCAATCTACGATGGGAGGCCTTCCCATCCCTGCTGTCGTTTTGAGCCCGGATAAACTCGAAGCTGCTATTGCACGGGTAGCCGCACAACTCATTTGGATAGGTAAGTGTTCGCGACCTTCACACGCATTGTCCTGTTTTCACATGCTATGTCGCATGCTCAGTGGGGCAAGTGGGCTTGTCCAATGGAGGACTTCAACCTGGGAACGGAATAACCGATGTTGTCGAGGAGACGAATGCCCTACGTCTGAATGTCAGTGTGAACTGCACAGAACCTCCTTCCATTTCACTGATGTGACATGTTGTAGATCAATCTTCTTCCTGTGAGTTCATGATGGTATATCCACAATGCCAATTTATCGAAGATGAGTCACTTCAGCTGTCCTTTGCGATATCTGCGTCGGTGATCATGATGGCATTGGCTATATTCATGACAAGAGCATTAAATGCGTCCAGCAACAGCCAGGCTGTCATCCCGAATACAGGTGTATTGCAACTCTTGTGGCTGGGTCAACATTCAGCCTCCGTCAACGAAGTCCTGGAAGATGTGGAGCATCCGACGGAGGCCAGCCTGCGCCGCGCAGGCATGATCAATGTTTGTTTTGCAAAGACGATATCTGCCGAAGAAAAGTTGGAGAGTTCCTTTGATAGCCTCTCTGGTCAAGTTGACCACGGTCGTGACGACGAGATGTGAATGTGACGATGTTGGTTATGGTGACTTGGACAGTTTATTCTTATTGAGGCCTATGAAGGGACGTTCTTAAAATACGGATATATACCATACATTTACCGATACAATGGAGTCGGGCGACTCGGGCCCGCACTTGCCGCTAGGTTCAAAGTCCGGTGTTGAGGTTCAGATCACCGTCCACGATGTTTGAGCAGAGACTACTCCACACACATTCGTACGCTTTGCTTGAAGGGTGCCAGTGAAGTCCATGGCACTATCGTGGATTAAAGAAGTACCGATCATGCACTCTAACTATATCTGTGGGGAAATTTGGCTGATACCGATGTGATTATTTGCAGGAGCCTGATCAGAGCAGTCCCATCATGAAAGTAAATCCTTAGAGGAGCAGCTTACCAGGGTTGGTAGCTGCTAGCAGCCACTCATATATGTTGAATTTGCGCATTTGAAAACTTGAACAGGTCCCTCTTCGGTGTTATACCAGGGCCGCGGCGGCCATGACGATGATCAGTGTTAGAAAGTCCATCAGCCGCCCTTGACATGACTCGTCCAAGTTCCCACAAGCCCGCGTTATTCACGCAACCAGCAGTCCCCGTGTCACCGTAAAAAGCGAGGCTGAGTAGTATCTTTTTAGATATAGGGAAGCCAATCGTTCATCCGTAGTACCGTACCACACTGACCTCCTCACGTCACTAGGTCCCTTCATCAAGTGGTTCATGCCAGCCACAAACGGTAACCTTCCCACCATTCACCCGCCAAGGACTTGGTTTGGTAAGTTCTTGTCGTACTAATTCATGCTGCATGACAACAGCTAAGCCTACATCTGATTCTCATTGCAGGGTGCTGGAAGGCTCGCTTGAAAAATCTCTCTGAAAATACAACCGATGGATCATCCTCCGCTAACACATGTTACATGCTGCATGCCATACTGGTCATGATACATGTCGTCCTTGTTATGTTGTATATCGCTCACTGGGAACACCGTGTGACTTTGTTATTCACGCCTATGAACAATGATTTCTGGCCTGTGGTGCTGAGTGCTTCACTGCAAGCATTTTACACTGTACGTGCCCACCCTGTACGAAAATCACACCAATGAAAAAGACTCCATCCAGATTTATACAGCTGTTCTACTCTTCCTTACCCAACGGCTTGCGATGTCAAGAACACTTGTACGCCGCCAGAAATTAACCACTATTCACGATGTCTCAGGTGCATGGGAAGGCCTCGGCTCCGCACTGAATAGTGTCTGGCGACAATTTGACATCTCTTCCTCATGGTGGATGGTTTCTGCTGTGACTGCCTACCTCGCGTGCATTTCCGTGCTGCATGTCACCTCTTCCACTCTCCTACAAATTCAAATGTTCAACGCTTCTATGACGAATTCTGTCCCAACAACACTAGCCTGGCTAAATGACCTATCAAATTCCTCTGTCGTGCACTGGGAAGCCATTACTTCATCTTTACAAATTTTTAATCAATTGCCTGGACTAGTCACTGAAGGATTATCCAACACTACAGTCTATGACATTCCACACACAAATGCTGTAGCAGGTTATGCAACCGTCAATGCAACGACGATAACCTCGCATTGCGGATTGCTTCCCAATATTTCGTACTCTGTGGATTACAACCCCCTCGTGCCACTTAGTTCACCTGATTGGATGATCAGAGCAAACTTCTCTTTACTTGGCGATGAAACTTTTCTGTTTGTTAACGCAAGCATCCCCTGTACGTCATCAAGAAACTTTTCAATAATTTGCTGTTGTATTCAGAAATGCTTCCAGGGTCAGACCAGATACAAACGCTCGTCCCCACTTGGAACAGTACTCGCAGGGTAAGGTATCAACTGTAGGCGCCGTGAAAGCTACCTGACAGTTATCTCACAACAGTCATCCGAGCCTCCGCCCCAGGCTGGTGTTGTTTTAATGGTCTCTACATTACTAGACATCGACCCTTCAATGCAAGAGGCACTCGCTGTACCGATCCATTGGAACATGACGAATACTTGTGCGTTGGTTTTTTTTGCAATACCTCCATGCTAACAAATATATTCTGCAGCGGGGGTCTTTGAAGTCTATTTTGTTCAGTGCTCGCTGTCGGCCGTGAGCGCAGAAACGGTGATTGACATCCAAACCAAGAGTCTGCAGAATCCCGTGTCTGTCTCGCAATCGTCTAGGCAGTGGGGGATTAATCAATGGACATCTAATACCTGGCAATCCATGGTGTGTTGAAGTTCATTTTGAAGGGTTATGACATATTTACCGCTACCAAAGATTGGTGATGCTCTGGCTGTCCAGGTCAGCAGTGGGGATGATTTTATTCAGACTAATTCCGAACCCTCGTTAGCGGATGAGTTGAGACCTTGCCTTCACTCCCATGTTGCAATGCCTTACCTATGATTTTGATTTATAGGTGTATTATGACATTGGTAGGCTTAAATCTTACCGCCGAGTATGATCAATCCACGTTGTGGGGCGTTCCCATTCCTGCTGTCATTTTGAGCCCGGATAAGCTCGAAGCTGCTATTGCACGGATAGCCGCACAACTCATTTGGATAGGTGAGTGTTCGCGACCTTCACACGCATTGTCCTGTTTTCACTTATGCTATGTTGCATGCTCAGCGGGGCGAATGGGCACGTCAAATGGCGGACTTCAACTTGGGAATGGGGTAACCTCTGTCAACGAGGAGATGATTTCCCTACGCCTGAATGTCAGTGTGAACTGCACAGAACCTCCTTCCAGTTAACTGATGAACCATGTCATAGATCAATCTTCTTCCTGTGAGTTCGTGATGATATTTCCGCAATGGCGATTTATCGAAGAGATGAGTCACTTAGCTGTCCTTTGCGGTGTCTGCATCGGTGATCATGATGGCATTGGCCCTATCCACAACAAGAGCATTCGACGCATCCAGCAAAAGGCAGGCTGCCATCCCACATATAGGCGCACTGCAACTGTTGTGGCTGGGTCAACATTCGGCCTCCGTCCATGAAGTTCTGGAAGATGTAGAGCATCCGACGGAGGTCAACCTACGCCGCGCAGGAATGATTGATGTTTGTTTTGCAAAGACGATATCTGACCAAGAAGAGTTCGAGAGTCCCACTGGTCGTGACATGTGATGTGAATGTGGGTTTGATGGTTAGTAGGCCATGGTGATTTAGACAATAGTTAGTTCGAGTGAGGCCTGTGAATGGATAGTACAGTCTTGATATTTCCGTTTATCGATATGACAACTGCCTTGCAACACCAGGTTGTTCATTCCGAGTCTGGCAGAAAGCCCTATATTATCATTAATATTATTATGTTGATTTTGAGGACGGAATGGCTAATTTGGGGTTTTGCTGATCATCCACGTATAAATTTAGTGGGTTATAATCAGGCGATCGAGATTGTAGAGTTCAATTTTGATCTAAGTATCGAGGCCATTGCAATTGGAGAGAATGCCGTCGTGTGCATCGTGGAGCTGATCTACCCTAACTATCTCTGTGGGGAATTTTGGACGACACCGATGTGACTATTTTCGTACGTCCTGAGCAGCTGCATCTTGAAAGTAAACTCGTAAACGAGCAGGTTGCCAGATGTCGCTACACCCTGGAGGCTACTCGATATGTTGCTATCGCGCATTCGAACAGGATTTTGCTATGCTAGCGCAGTTTTTACTCGCCCGGTTGGGCTGTGCCTTCGGCAGACGGCGTGCCCCTGGTATCACACGTAGAGTCGGCCTCGTGGAGACATCCTTGCCACGGATCGCGGAGGAAGAAACGCGCTCAATATTTGCCGGCCAGTAGTCCTGAGTCTGTACAGCGGTACGCGACCCGAAACCTGGTGGTGGCTATTAGGAAGAGTCGTGAAGTTCACGATACCATGGAGAGAATGACGTCACGTGCACGTGCCTCAGTGAACCACTACGCACGTGAGTTTAACATTTCAATTTTTCTAGCGACTTTCCGTTATACAGATCTAGTACTCTCTGAACGTTCATACGTGTGGATGTCGCTAAAATAGTGCCAGTGATCATCGAATGGCGGAAACTGCCCGTCGGCACGTCAACCTTGACAAGTATTCTACTCAAAGGCTATTTTCAGAAGTGTGTGGCACTATCGTTGATCACCTGCAGTTCCGAGCCACATGTGTGATGCCACGCAATTTCTTTTTAGATATATGGACGTTGACTACTAGGACTGTTTATTCACAGTACTAGTACTGGTAGGACTATACCACCTCCTCTGACTTCCTCTCTGGCAACCTCACCGGGTCCCTTCTTCATGTCAGCCACAAACGGCAATTATCCTGCCATTCAGTCGCTAAAAACTTGGTTCGGTATGTCATTGGACATCATTTTAATTGACATTGCGTGCTCATAGCTACATCTCGCTCCCTCAGTGTCCTGGAAGGCTCGCTCGAAAAATCTTTCAGGATATGCAATCGATGGATCCTCCTCTACTGGTACATGTTACATGCTGCATGGCGTGCTGATTATCATACATTTCGTCCTTGTTATCTTTTATATCTTTCATTGGGAACACCGTGCGACCTTCCCATTCACACCGATGAACAACGATTTTTGGCCTGTGGTACTGAGCGCTTCACTCCAAGCATTTTACACTGTACGTGTCCTCCCTCCCTTAACTTATAGGTATGACAACCACAGGACTTCGTCTAGATGTACACGGCTGTTCTGCTCTTCCTTACCCAACGGCTTGCGATGTCAAGAACACTTATACGCCGCCTGAAACTGACCACCATTCACGATATTTCTGGTGCATGGTCAGGCCTCGGCTCCGCACTCAGCAGTATCTGGCAACAAATTGATATCTCTGCCTCATGGTGGGCGATTTCTGCTGTGACTGCCTACCTTGCAAGCATTTCCGTGCTGCATGTCACCTCTTCCACTCTCCTACAATTTCAAACATTCAATACTTCCATGGCGACTTCTGTGCCGACAACACTAGGATGGCCAAATGATACAATGATTTTAGGCGACTTCAATACGAACTGGGGATCCATCACTGCTTCCTTACCGGTTGTCAATCAATTGCCCGGACTGGTCTCTGTAGGGTTATCCAACACTACCGTCTACGACACCCCACAAACAAGCTCTATGGCAGGACATGCAACTGTAAATGCAACGACAATAAGCTCGCGTTGCGGATTGCTTCCCAATGTCACATACTCTGCGGATGCCGGTATGCTAAATGTAAATTCTTCGCTTGACGACGGATTCGGAACTTATCTAAATATGGGCGCAAGCTATCCCTGTACGTCACCATAGTTCTAAACGATTTTTCATCGTTGATTAAAAATGTTTATAGGGTCAGACCAGGTACAAGCACTTGTACCCGGTTGGTCATTTCCAAGTAACAATGTAATGCCCCCCAAAGATGCCCTGTGGAAGCTAACTGACAGTTGTCTTACAATAGTTCACTGGGCCGGGTACTAATCCTGGTGTTGTCCTTATGGTCTCTACATTATTAGACATCGAACCTTCCGTACAACAGGAGGTTGCCGTGCCGACAACTTGGGAACTTCCTGATCATTGTGAGTCGGCTTCTTTGTATAACCGCCATGTTAACAAATACTCTTTAGCGAACTATTCAGTTGTCGATCAATATGTCGTTGATGTCTATTTTGTGCAATGCTCGCTCTCAGCCGCGACCGCAGAAGCGGTGCTCGACATGCAAACGAACAGTCTGCAGAATCCCGTGACCGTGTCGCAACCATCCACGCAGTGGGAAATCAAGCAGTGGCCCCAGTGGACATCTAATACCTGGCAAACAGCGGTGTGTTGAAGTACATCTTGAGGGGTTACGAACGTTCAATGATCAACCATTTACATAAGATTGGTTGGGCTTTGGCTTACCAGGTCGGTAGTGGATATTCATTTATCACTTCAGCTGGATTTTTCGCTGGAAATCCCGCCAGCGAACCCTCAATTGCGGATGAGTTAAAACCTTCCCTTCGCTGGCACGCTACAACATCTCACCTGAGATTTCATTTTTAGGTATATCATGTCATCGGTAGGCTTAAATCTCGCTGCCGAGGATTTAGTACGAGCCACCGGGGGTCATCCCCTGTCTACTGTCGTGTTGAGCCCGGGTCAACTGGAGGCTGCCATTGCGCAGGTAACTGCACAACTCATTTGGACAGGTAAAGGCCATATGATGCCGTGACTTTAGCATGCATTTTACTCATTATGTCATCCTCAGCGGGGCGAATAGGCACATCCAATGGAGGACTTCAATACGGGAATGGAATGGCATACGTTGATGAACAGATCATTGCCCTACGGCTCAATGTCAGTATGAAATGCACTGAACTCCTTTCTATTGCTGAACCATGTCGTAGATCAACCTTCTTCCTGTGAGTTCATGATAATATCTACACCATGGCAGTTTATCAATGAGTCACTTTAGTTGTTGTTTGCAACATCTGCGTCGGTGATGATGATGATATTGGCTCTGTACATGACAAGAGCATTTGATGCATCCAGCGGTAGCCAAGCTGCCGTCCCGAATACAGGTGCACTGCAACTCTTGTGGTTGGGTCGTCATTCAGCACCTATCAATGAAGTACTGGATGATGTGGAGCACCCGACGGAAGCCAACCTGCGCCGCGCAGGCATGATAGATGTTTGTTTTGCCAAGACAATGTCCGATGAATCGGAAGAGTTGAGGGGTTCAACTGATACTCTCTCTTTTCGAAATCGCAACCGTCATTACGATAGAACGAGTGATTGGGTTTGATAGTAATAAGTCACTTGGGTATGCAGTACTGAATTGACAACAGCGCAACTGCCTTCGCATGCGTGTTCAGTATACAGCTACTTGGTACTGTGCCGCTTCTAATGTATTTAGCTGTTGAACGGAAAGGATAATAGACCAAGGCATAAAACAGATTCTTCTCTTAGATTGACATCTTTCATCTTTGGAAGATATCGAGCCGTTGACAATGACAATGATAATATAATTTTTCAGTAGGTGAAGGTCTAAGTTAGACTCTTAGCGCTTAGCAGGAACACAAGCTTACCCAAATTTCCAACTCCGCGGCAAATGGTTCATGACAGTAAAAACTTACTTATCATTGTCAATTGGGCGAGCTGTCTGACGCGTGTTCGCCTCAAGACTTTGGAAACCGAAGTCAAACCGAAGTTGACACGGCCAGTCGCGATTGAATTCCCTCACTTGGCCCGAACCCTCAACCAACCACAACAAAATGAGCTCTAAGAAAGAGAAGCCCATCCACTCTCTGATCGCGGGTACGACTGCTGGAGCAATTGAAGCGTGAGCAAAGTGATTCCCACTGCCAGAGGTATTGCTCATCTTCAGAAGATAGATTCGTGACATACCCCACTGAGTTCGTGAAGACCCGGTCACAGTTTGGTGGACAGGTGGGTGATTCGTTTCTTCCGTTGTGAAAACTGACTGGTGTGTTGCTTTCTTTGACCAGCGAGAGTCGCCCTTGACTATCATCCGCTCGACTTTACGCGACAAGGGTGTAACGGGTCTGTATTCGGGTTGTTTGGCACTCGTGATAGGCAATTCAGTCAAGGCTGGCGTTCGATTCGTGAGCTATGACCACTTCAAGAGCATGCTTGCAGACGCGGAGGTAAGTTTTCTCGGGCAACGAGAAAAGGAACTGGCTGAACATATTTGAAGGGCAATGTCAGTGCGCCTAGAAGTCTAGTGGGTATGTGAGCTCGGTGTGGGGAATGCATTTCTCTGATGATGAAAATAGCTGGTCTTGGAGCTGGTGTGATGGAGGCTATCATTGCTGTTACCCCTTCAGAGACTATCAAGTATGCACAGTCTTCTTCTTGCTCTCCTAATCTCATTCTTGTCCTTTGTCACTTCAGGACCAAAATGATCGATGATGCCAAACGTCCAAATCCGCAATATCGCGGTCTTGCTCATGGAACGATGTCTATAATTCGACAGGATGGCATACTCGGCATATATCGAGGGCTATTTCCTGTTGTAAGTGTTTCTGACGTGCATATGACATCTATTTTTTAATAGTGAACCCCAATTCCAGATGATGCGTCAAGGAGCAAACTCTGCAGTACGCTTCACGACATACACGACACTCAAACAGTTTGTTCAGGGAACCACGCGACCAGGGCGACAGCTGCCTCCAGGAATCACGTTTGCAATTGGTGCGGTAGCTGGTCTGGTGACAGTCTATACGACACAACCGCTGGAGTGAGCACTGTCCCTGTACGTGCTGATGAGAGCTTATTGTTTTCCACAATCACAGCGTGATCAAGACGCGGATGCAGTCGCTATCAGCGCGCCAGCAGTACCGTAACTCTTTCCACTGTGGATATCGGATCCTGACTGAGGAGGGAATCTTCCGGTTTTGGACTGGCACAACGCCACGACTGGCCAGATTAGTAGTGCGTTGATTTTATCGTCTGACATTGAAGTCATTCAAATTTTGCTTCTGTAGATCAGTGGAGGCCTCGTGTTCACGGTATATGAGAAGATTATCAGTGTCATCGGTGGTCGAGAGCAGGAGTAGCGGTCCACACAAAATGTTCTCGAACTAAGTATGTCATCACCAACGTACTCCTCGCGAGCGCGATATGAATGTCTGAATGTGCGGGCGGTCTTCCATGCCACATCAGCCTCATCTTTTACAACCTTACAGTGATTCATGAGCAGATTGTACAGGGTACAAGTGACAGTAAGTGCTAGCACACCAGGCTCAATACCAGCGATGCTCCCACGCATAGTCACAGTCCCTCAAAGCTAAAGTTCACTCTCTGAGTCAGTCATGAAGTCCGTAAAGTTTCTTCTTTTTCTTTTCTTTTTTTTCTCTCTGTATTTTCTTCCTTAGTAGTCATAATTTGGAAAAATCCCGATTCGAGTTTATGATGTACCGTATATATGTATGCGTCACTCGAACCTCCGTTATTTACCCTCGAGGATCCGGTACATAATGTACATAATTTATCTGACATACAAGACAGAAATCTCGCCCAATTCATACACCGTCGTCTAAATCATACACCATCATTCAATTCTTCAAGTGCTTCTTCCGCTTCTGTCCTCGGTAGGAATGAATGGCGAGCCCAGGGGTGAGGGGTGGTAATTAGATAGGATTAAGCGCTCGCGTGTAACTCATCTTCGTACAAGCCTTGCGATTCCATGGATGTCGACAATCACAGCAGTGTCTGGGGTGAAGGTATTATTGACAATGGGCGGGATGAAGTCATTAGGGGGCGGGAAGTACGGGGGCGCGGTCTGGGGAGGATAGCCAGCCAGCGAACTCGCGTCAAGCCATGAGGTTCCATGGATGTCGACAAGCGCACCAGTGAATGGGGTGAAGGTGTTATTTCCAATGGGCTGGCCATTAGGGAGCGGGAAGGAGTTCTCCGGTGGAAAGTGGTCATGGAGCGGGATATTGCCCTGCGGCATAAGGAAGCCATTGTGCGCGATGTAGCCCTGCGGCGACATTGTTCCCGTTGCCCCAGCGGTACTAGGGACAGCAGAATATGTCGAGGCAGCGAATGCGATAGGGGCATGTGTTTGCTGCAATCATGACGGTGTGTTCTGTGTCGTTGCACTGGATTGCTGCGTGGTATGAATATTGGAAGGTCGAGGCAAGCTCGTAGCTGGCTTCTTTCTCGCGTGATAGTTCCTCTGCAAGAGGAATCAGACAGAAGAATAGAGAAAGGAAAAAAAAACATACAGGTTTTCCCGCTGTGTGGAACCTCGAATACTGGTGGTTCTTGCAACTCGTCGTCTGATCCTTAAGACAAGTCAGTGCTCTGGGAATTGGGAACCTTTGAGAACGGAAGAAAGTAGAATGGATCATTGGGTACCAAGTCTAGTCTCAGCTTGCTGTTTCCTCTTGGGAGATTCGCCAATTACATTCAAGTTGTTACTGGAGTCAGAAAGGTAAGCTGAACTTCAACATTTCTGTTCTGTGCTTAGACATCGACTTGATTGACGCCGCGTGATTGCTCAAGCGCTCCGAGTCAGAGGCTCACAGTCAAGCTGTACAGTAATTACATAACAATTGACATATGATCACATACGTAATTTTCCACATCCCATTTTAGGTAGCAGAGCACCATCATGATGGCCAGTGCTTCACCGGAGGGCACCAACTGGGTGACTGCTTCAAGCAAATGTGCTACAGTGAAGAGACGGCCCAGGGCAGCCTGTGGAAGGCCCACTGTTCTCGGAGTCTCCCGCCGCTGATTTGATTTTATATTGTGAATCTGATTAGTACATACATGGTCACGATTGTGGACGCACCTTGAGTGCCACAGCGGAGTCCACATTCCGTGTGGGGGGTATTTATTCTCTTTACACCTCTTTCCATCTTTCCCTCCACTTGTATCTACCTACTCATGGAGAACATCACCCCCCCTGCCCTCGATAGTCAGCAGATGCCCAAGCAATATCCTGCGGGCAATCCAGCTAAACAACAGGCTCGCGTGCCCGAGCAATACCCTGTGGGCAACCCGGCTGAAGAACAGCGGATGCCCGAGCAATATCCTGCGGCCAAACCGGGCGAGCCTTCTGGCCCTCAAAGGGCGTTAGTTCGAACATATGCCCAATACTTAGACTCTGTGGGCAAACCGGACGAGCCTTCTGGCCCTCAAACGACGTTAGTTCGAACATATGCCGAATACTTAGACTCTGTGGGCAAACCGGGCGAGCCTTCTGCCCCTCAAACGACGTTAGTTCGAACATATGCGCAATACTTTTGATAATATTTGATAGGAATAGCTATCGATATATGCATCTCCGACACTTGTTATACCAGTGTCATGAGTATGGAATTGATCTATGTACATACTTTATATCGCATCTGGTGCAAAGAACACCATTATCGCCCGTACTTATATGGTTGTCCTTTACCGTTTCATATTTGAAATATTACATGCCTTCCTCCCCCCAGTCTCAGTTGACGAACAATACACCATCCTTGGCCGCTGGACCACTGATCCTCGAAGTCTGGGGCTCTTAGCCTCCGCCTGCAAATTCACAGTATTCTCCATCCCCGCCTTCAAATTCTCTTTCATTTGTAACACTCGCCTTAGGATGTTGTTCCTCATCGATGACAGTCTTCATTACCTCTCCAATGGATTCGTTCTGACTTCACCAAAGCACGCTTCCTATCATAAAACTGATTTCGTGATTCAAACCTGTGTCTAGCACAGACGCAGCTCGAAAGGTTGGACGCGCGCTCCGGGCTGGAAATTCTCTACTCGGGAACGGTGGCACGGAGTCGCCTTTCTGACCCGGAAACTTGGAGTGTATGGATAGGAAGAACGGTGGTATCAAGGACTGTAAGAACACACGTTTGGTACAGAAATGACTCCCAAGTGAGTTCAAGTAACTTAGGGAGTGAGCGTCGTGACTGATACCGCACTTGTCATACTAGTAGAGGCTATTAAACGACCCACCTTCCGAATCCCTGGCGCCTGCTTTCAATCGCAGCTTAACGGAATCTTCATTGTCACGGGAATTTGGCCAGGGTAAGCGACCCCTTGAGATTCTTTGACTTGCTTTATTTTCAGCTTGTACGAGGCCTTCTTCAAGCTCACGGACCTCCTTTTGATGGTACAGCAGGCAGTAGCAAGACATGCTTTGACAAAAAATAAACAGCATCAGCATTGTCCCGACGGACCCGACCGCCGTGGTCGACTCTTCCGAGTCACGACAGTCACAGAAGATTTCATGCGCTGCTCCTGCACGACGATCAGCCTGTTCATGGAGGGCGAACCGGTGACATGGACAGCTGGCACCTCGCTTTTCGTCATGTTTTGCGTCGGACTTGCTAGCGTCAACCGTGACATCTTACGAGGTGGAGGGAGAGGGAGTCATGAGCCATGGGCCATGGGCCATGAGTGTATTTAGTCCTCTATGATAAATTATGCTATGTTGCACTATCAGATAGTGCACGGATTTACAGAAAAAATTGGCCCTGATCTACCCTTGGAAAATCAGGAACCCCGCCAGGGCCTGAGACTGAACACTTTTAGCATGCCTGCACACCTCGTTCTACATCGATCCTGACTTGATCCTGATGTTGTAACCGCTATGCCAAATCATTCGAACGAGATCTCGTGCTGTGGATGCGAAGTCCAACATACACAATCTTCGAACGCCGTACTGACCTGTACGCAGTTTTCGTTGGCATGCGTATCCCAAATACTTATGATAAGACGCGGCGCGCAAATGAATGGTGCGGTATCGTTGAAGAGCTCTGCGAGACTCATCACCGGTGTCTGTGCGTGTATGCGTTAGCTAAACTCTGTAGGATCATGGTAGTATCACACCGGAATGCTAGCCCATAATATGTCCAAGAAGACTTGGTTTGCCAGATTCCTAGTGGGATTCAGTTATCACTTTCAAGAGGGCCTACTAGACGAAGGGGAACTCACAGGACGAAGTATATGATATGACATCGAACAATTAGTAGTACATAGATATTGGGCCTCATTTTGATTTCCTTCCGTTCTTTTAGGTGTTTCACAAGGAAGGAAGCTGAGAGAACAACTAGGAAAATATCATAGCAAATGATGGGGATGGAGGCATATATCGCAGGCATAGGTCCTATGTTGAAGGAAGGGGCGCAGTACTTGACGTTCGCAGTGATTACTTCTTTCACTATGCAACCAGACGTCAGTTTGCATAGAATCCGATCTAAGTAGAAATTCACCTGAGAACGCTGAGGGTCGACTATATAAAAAGATGTCCATCCCTATGGAGAGGGCGACAATAGGCAAGAACAGCCCCACCAGAACATAAAGTACGCGTTTAGATTGGTCGCACAGGATGTAAAGACGCCAGATAAGAACGACTGTGAATGCTCAATCGATATGCGTTTTTATATGCAAGAATGTGGGACCGGCCTTCAGCGAAGCAAAAATATGCAGAAAAGCCCCAACCCCGAACCAAAACGGCAAGAGGGTAGCCTATTTCAATTGCATGATGAGCAAAACCAGTTCAGGTTGAATATGGCACGCTCACAGCTAAATAAGAGGTCAATAACTATTTCAATAGTTGTACAAAGATCTTGTGACGTACGACTAAAACCATCTCAATTAGGAACACCTTAAAGATAGCAGGTATAGATACACTCACTGATTCAGGCATATACACCAAACCTCCCCCTAATGCTAGTCAGCTAATGATGTCTCGGTTAGCATAGCGTTACATACAGCAGCCGCAAAGCCTATGGTCAGTGTCAACATAGAATGAAGGACAAGACGACTACGACATACAGTGCAACGAAAAGACCAAAATATCGGACCTGGCATAGCAGAAAATGAACGACCATAAAACACCTTGGCAGGGCAGAGCTCACGATAAGGTAAAGGCACGACATCGGTGACCACTGTCTTTCCTGTATCATTGTCAGTCAGGCTCTGGGTTGGAGTCATTTTGCAGATAAAGGGTTGAGCGCTGACCCAAACAAACATGACCTGCACCGATCATGACGATAAGTACTCGATCAATAGAAAAGGAGCCTTTTGGTACCTCTTTCTCGAACAGAAACACTAGGTAATACTAGGCTCAGTGAGGGTTATGAAGGTTATCGAAGGTCACTGACAGTACTCGTAGCATATCAGGGTAATGGTTACTACTGGAACCAATATTCAGCACGATAGTTCGTTCACAAATCAGATAAAAGGAGCCGACAAACCAGATACGTTGTTATTCCAGCGGAGACTAGCGATGACTTCTTGTTCTGACATCACAGTGGAGATCGAACGGAGAAATCAGAGGGAAGGAGGTGGTGTTCGTTAATTATTGACTTACTATTAATATGCTGATAAGCCCTTGGCTCGTCCAGTGCTCTTACATTGGCCAGCGCCAATCTCCTGTCGGTTGCCATGAATCACTGTTAACGATCAAATCGATCACACTGCCAGTTTCACTGCACGTTATGTTCTTGTGGTGAATATGTGTCTCCTAAATAAGTATGACAGCGGCATGTAACCCCTACCTAAAATTACACAACCTCCTGCAGGGCTAACGAAGAGGTCCAGATGGGAGCGCTTGACGCCTCTTGACGCTCGTACAGTAGTACTGATCAAATAGGCACTTAACCGACTTTGAGAGCATGATCATGAGAGAGTACTAAGTACTTTGTTAATGGAAAGGACTCAACCGCAGAGCGCCGCGGTTGAATCAGCGAAGGTATTTTTGCTGTTGTTCTTAAACTTTTGGTGGCGGTGCTACGTCAGCTTGCATAGGAAAGCTCTTGCAATGCTCTCGGTATGATGGTATTCTCGTTCTTTAGTTCACCCGGGTCTCACTACGCCACAGGTGCAAAACAGCAATTTATGCAAGTACTCGCACGTCTATTTCTTGTGTCCGTCTCACTCTACTTCACCAACAGTGCGACCGTGATCATCAGAAGAAATCTTGGCCGGTACATAAGACAACATGTTTCCCAGCGGTCTTTTGAAATATCTCTTTCGAGATCACGGACTGGGACTTGCTACTGCTCTTCGCCACCAAGAGATATCTCTGTAGCATTTTCAGGGCTGTAGATTCTTGACAACCTGCATAAAACATGTCTAACTTGCTTCTGACCCTTATTTCGTCGAGTGGTGGGAACTTCGAAGCGATTCAAAACGCATCCAATCATTGGACAATTATGGACAAATTTACATAACATACATTAACCTTTCATGCGTGAACGGTTTGAACCCTCATCTGGGCATCAGCACAGAGAGAAGCCCTCGATCATGATGCTGATGCTAATTGCTCAACTATCGTACCCATATCGACATCGGCAGAACCTTGCTCAACTGAAGTACCCGTATCGACATCGGCAGAACCTTGCTCCTTTAAAGAATCAGAAATTGTGACCTCCGTCGCAAGATCTTCTGTTTCATGAGCAAGTTTATCTGCATCCGTTTCCATCTCTGCCAAGGCGCGTCTGAAAGCAACGTGTTCTTATGGAACATGTGAGGGATGAGAAGAGGACCTACTGGAAAGCTTCCCGACATTGTTTCTTAATCCTGTGTGTTTTCCACTTTTGGACCGTCGAAGTTGGGGAAAGTAGCGAAGCGTCGACCCCTAATGAGCGAATTAGCAGTGGCAGACACGAAACTCTGTGAGCACCTACCATCATCCTCACCCAATAATAACATATGGCCAATGGTAACCCATGTCCTGTTTGAATAGGTATCAGCTAAATTCGACTGTTAATTGTCGGAGGTTTACCAAGACGATGTGGGGTCAAAAAATTGTACAATATGACGCGAATTATCTCGAGGCTTCTTCTTCCTGACGTCTTCCGGAATCTTTGGGTCATCTGGTTCCCAAACAACTGCAGGCCACCATGGATACGTGTCTAAATGGAGTCACATCAGCATCAGACTGTCAGGCTCTATTCATCAAGGTCTGACCTGCTTTAGCCCAAACTAACAATAACAAATGTCATTAAACGTGAATCGGTGCAGCTATGGCTATTAGCTGACGTACCAAGGGTGCCACCTTCTAACTGTTTTCCCGGTTCAAGTACAACGAGCGCTGGTCCTGAGGTAATGAGCATGGCTGGCGCGCGTTGCACTTGACGCGTTGTGGTTGGTTGTTCTTCAGGTTTTGTCTTGGATGTAGTCTTCTTCACAGGCCTCTCATCAGTATCACTGTCCAGCTCGCTTAGAGAAGATAAATCGGATGCGTCATTTTGAGTGGTCCCGACATCGGGTTTGGGGGTCTCGGCTTTGGCTTGCGGAATGCGACCGCAGTGGTCGACTCTTCCAAGTCACGACATTCACAGAAGATTTCATGCGCTGCTCCTGCACGACGATCAGCCTGTTCATGGAGGGTGAACCGGTCACAGCTGGCACCTCGCTTTCGTCATGTTTTGCGTCGGACTTGCTAGCGTCAACCGTGACATCTTACGAACCTAGAAAGGAAATCATCGTGGTCCAATGCGCTCAATCCATTCGGTGCACTGACAGTACTAGATCCCAGATCTTGTCTAACAATGATGGCCTGTGATTCAGATTTGAGCGCTTTTCACGCCTCCGCGAGTCCAGGTGCGTGGCCTCTGCGTATGTGTTGGTCTAGCAGGGGTGCCACTGGGGAGCGGGCATGCGTAAAAGCATGTAGCAGTAGGCAGCAGGACGTCCCTCAACTTACATAATGATTTATGATTTTTAAGTTGACGGTTAATCCCCTCAGATGCACACAGTCACCGCTCCGAGCTACCACGAACCATTCATCATGCATCGTGAACCACAACTGGCATGACAGAAGACGCAGCCTGAGTCTGACCAAGTGTCTATGTGTATCCAAGCCGCATAAGTGGCCAGTACTGCCAGTCGGAGCACTAGTACGTGGATTACGCGGCAACCGGAGGAGATTTTTCACCAGCCTTTGACTCAAGGAATGAATCGCTTCCTCATGGTGAGGTAGTAAATCAACCTGTGACTGCTCCACTTACTATTGTCTCTTCTATATCCCCGCCGCCCTCGATGGACTCGCTATAGATGTTTGATACATACACAAAGTGCATCTACTCGTCGCAGGCCCTGCAGCGTGCCAGCGCAACGACATAGCGGCGACGAATGACACTGACGTTCTGTCGCCTTGATGCTTTTGACAAAGTGTCTCTCCTTATTCGTAAGTAATTCATGTATTGCCTTGAATCTTGAAACGAGATAGAGCCGTGACTGAGGAGGCAATCTTCCGGTTTTGGATTGGAAGCAGGAGTGGCGGTTCACGCAGGATGTTCTCGAACTCAGTCTCTTATCACCAACGTACTTACCCCTCGAGAGCGCGATATGGATATCAAAATCTGCGGGCCGTCCTCCACACCACATCAGCCTTATCTTTCGGATCATGGCATAATTCACGAGCAGATATTACAGGATACAAGCAAGCTACGGCAAGTGCAGTTTCAAAGTTAAAGTTCTCTTTCCGAGTCAATCAGGATTCTGGCAAGCTTCGTCATTTCCTCCCACTGCCTCTTCTCATTGTCCGCGACCCCCGTTCCAGAAGCTTCAACAGATTGTACTGCATCTACAAACTTGTCCATTTCCTGCTTAGCCTGAGTAACGGTGCCGCCAGGCGAGTATATGTCCGGCAAGTGCTCATGGGAGAATCGTCCAATCCAATACCTGAAGTAATGCTTATAAGCCACGCATAGGAAATCTCAGACAAGCCCATTAATACTTGGAGTTCTCGTAGTCGGGCTCACGCCTATGGGCGATGGAGTGCATGTGATCAGCATAGGGGTTGCCTTCTTGGGTTTGTGTAATCTCGTGACAGCCATTGAAATTATCATTGAGCAGGTGGAGGACTCGTATCGCCATCAACGGAGGCTTCTAAGCACCTTGGATTTGAATACTTACCAGCCTTGACATTGGGACCAGCTGGCAGCTGGTTGATCTGAGCTGTTAGATCCTGGTGCCATATGTTCTTCGCCGTGAGGGGAGCGGGAGGTGAACGAGCAAAGAGGGTCTGCACCACGGGCGACGACCAGAGTTCTGAGTTAGCCATCGTAATTCACTCGAAAACCTTTGAAGAGGAGAGTTGATTATATGGGGCTGTGACAGTGGGAAGACTTCATATACGTTGCGATAGTCTTGGGTCATGCGACTTTCATTCAATAGGGGCCGGCGTTGCCGTCTAGCACCTTGCTTGATTGGAGCGGACTTTCTGGGCTTTTCTTACCTTCAATCTCAGTTGTTTTCAATGTCTTATCTCTACTGCCTCTTGCTGCTTTTATGGTGAATCTTTATTCATGTGACCTTCATTTTAACCACTGCAGCAGAAATCGCGCAGCTTGAAGTTCAGCAAATCGTCGAATAGCATTTAACGAATTGCTCCAATTTCGCTAGCCTCCATTCAAGATTTCCTGTACGATCAATTGTTCAATGTAATTACTTAAAGTATTCGCACACGTACGCTCTTGTTGACAGGGTTTTCGACCGATCATCAAAACAAAGCCCTCCTCTACGAGTCGGGGAAGCGTGGTCCAGCATAGATAAGTCGAGATCACGTGACTTCTCGCACTGAAAGTCCAACAACTCGCTTCGTTTACGCTTTTGCCTTCTTGAATCTTTTGTGTATTATTGCACAGGTATTATTCATGGTAAGCTGCGCCAGAGCATAATCGAGTCCCATGGAGATCGACATGGATGTATACGTTTGTTGAACGTGACCGTCGGTTCAGAACTGAAATTGTTGTTATTTAACGATGTTTGTATAATAGTATTTGGCTGCTCTAGTCCCGATTTCGAGGCATATGACCTTTGCAAGCAAGGTGATATTCTCGTGATCCTCAATCCAGATTCTACAGAAATCACTTCGAAAACACTACTGGCACAGTCCAATGTCCAATGTCCTGCTTCTGAGAGCTGCTACCCAAGACAACCCAGATCGATATGAAGATGCCTTCAGGTCTCGCGGATACCATCCAATATCAGTTCCTGTACTAGAGACCGTCATAGTTGGCCGCGAGGAGCTAGCACGCAGGTTGAGCATCGGTCCAGAGAATCAGAGCCTATCTGGAGTCATAATAACGAGCCAGAGAGCCGTCGAGGCATGGTCCGAGGCTGCCCGTTCACTGATCATTGCTGAAAACGACACACTTCTCAAGGATGAATCTGGTATGATCTATTGGTTGAACGCGTCACATCGACCTCACGACCAGACAGACTGGTGGTCTGTGCCGTTCTATGCAGTTGGAGAAGCTACATCGGTCGCGCTTCGTGATCTTTGTGAGAAGATTCCTCTGTATTCACCCAGAGATATTCGGGGTGGTTCAGAGACGGGGACTGCAGAACGCCTTGCAGCATTTATACTCAAGGATCTTCCCTCGGACGGGACAAACAGAAAACTTCTGTACCTCACTGGAGATAAAAATCGTGACACGTTACCGAAGCTTCTGGAGTCGGCTGGTGTTGCATTAGACCCTCTCCAGGTCTATGCCACAAAAGGTTCATCCACATTTCCTCACGATTTATCGCTTGCCTTGCAACGTGTCAAAGGAAAGTATTTCGCTGCCTTATATTTGCAGCACTTTTGAGATTTATTACAGGAGAGGGATTCTCCTGGGGATGGGTCGTCTACTTCGCCCCTTCAGTAGCTGAATTCGTGACTCCAGTCTTACGGAATCACTTCGTCCTGCCTACGGTCAATTCGAGCACGGAGAAGCGCGGCCAACTTGCAGAACATCATCACTTAGTCAAAGTTGCTACGATAGGACCCACCACGGAATCCTTTCTCAAACAGATTTTGAAGTTGTCGGTCGCAGTAACCGCGAGAAATCCCAAGGCAGATGATCTTGCTGATGCGGTCCTTCAACATGATGAGGCAGAATAACAACGCAGTCCCCTTCATCGCTCCATGTATACCTATCATCGCTTGTCACTACTGCAGAACATGCTAAGTACATATGCCACTGCCAGAGCCCCGTTCACTCTTCACACAATCACACGGAACTGACAGATGTTACGAAACTTTACGAAAAACCTTACGAATTGTCGGGCACCAATTTCAATGCAATTTGCCCAGTCTACCAACACGGTGACAACCTTACTACACACATTCTTTTGCACCACGTTCTTTACTCTACGCTCTACGTACTCCTCAACCTGAAGGCAGCGTAAAGCTGGTTCTTACACTGTCACGACATGAACTCTCCTCTGCTGAGACAGGAATATGGCGTCTCGTCGACTAGCTTGCTGCCTCCCAGGGAGCATGCTGGTCGTTCCAGGTCGTCGTCGACAGCGAGCGAGTATGGCATGGGATTTGCGGGACCAAGCAGGTCTGCAAGTCCAACGTATGAAGTAAGCTTCAGAGATAATACCCAGTGTCCTTGGTTGATTAAACGTGCGGATAGAATTCGCTTGCCGACAAAGTATGTCAACGCTCTTCCCCATAACCTGTGCTATTGATGACATCTGTCTGCAGTATGCCTTGCAACTCAATCCCGAAGACTGGGGCGCGAGCGCCCTGCATGCAGGCACGCCAGAACCAGATGATTACCTTCACACTCCGGACCCAAAGCGTGATCTTAAGAGTGACAAGGGAGGTCACATTTTCACTGCGCGAGGGATTGCGAACCTGGGATGCCTATTTTTCTTAGTCGTTTTGATGTTCATGTTATTGTAAGTTGTGCCACTGCACAAACATTCTTGTACTAATATTCCTCCGATAGCCTCGGTAAGTTGGTGCATCTTACTATCAGACGCATGCAGCACTCAGCAGCTGATATGGTCGGGTGAAGTGTTTCCCATCTACAGTCACCTATCCAGGAAGAAACCAACTCCTCAAGGTGGATTCAATCTTGGCGGCACCAATGCAACGGGGCAGATTCCATCTATGCCTGGCAACCGTGGCGTCATAGACGTCGATACTCCGAAGGAAGCCTACACCAAGGCATCGTACATGAACCCAAACGATATGTGGGACCTCGTTTTCTCTGACGAGTTTCAGGTTGAAGGACGGTCATTTTATCCTGGAGACGATCCATACTGGGAAGCTCCAAGCCTGCACTACTGGGGCACGGTTAGTCAAGGTCGTCCACATAGATGCTATAAGACTGAAAAAAATTCACAGAATGATTTGGAATGGTACGATCCCAGCCAAGTAACAACGAAAGGAGGCGCATTGCAACTCACGTTGGCAAAGGCCGATCCTGCTTCAAACCACAATCTTACATATAAGTCGGCCATGGTAAGCCAAGATTCTCTCCTCGTGGCACGCTGAGGGATGCAGTGTTTCGTAGGTCCAAACATGGTAACGAGTCTGATGCTATGTTGCGTTCGACGCTAATGAGTGCCTAAAGGAATAAATTCTGTTTCACAGGCGGCCTCATCGAGAGTGAGATACGCATATGTTTTTTACTGTTGATGTCTACTGATCACTGAGACGTAGCTTCTGTTATTCTACCGGGATCCAACAATGTCCAGTAAGTAGACTGTCATAAGGCAATCGTGTTCTGCTGAACAAGTGCTATCAAAGTGGTCTTTGGCCTGCTGTGTGAGTTTGTGCGTTTTCAGAAACGAGAAAGTGATTAATGGTTTCTATCAAGCTGGACAATGGGAAATCTAGGTTCGTCTATTGTTGTCTCAATGCTTTGGTTTTTAAAACTATCACCGAAGGTCGTGCAGGCTTCGGGGCTACTTTAGAAGGATTGGTAAGTGAGTCACTATCGAGGGGGCCGTATAAATCAGAATATTTCAGTGGCCATATTCATACGACAGTTGTGACGTCGGCACATTGCCGAATCAAACTTATCCGGGGACATCCAAGCCGCTCGCCGCTCTTCAAAATGGTGATCCTTCTCATGGTGACGTCTTGGTCAGTTCACTGCATAAATTTCGATCTTCATTGATCTCACATATTTTACAGTCATTTTTGCCTGGTCAACGGCTGTCTGCCTGTACTTGCCCTGGTGAATCACACCCCGGTCCAGTCCGTGCAAATGGCGATTATGTCGGTCGTTCCGCGCCGGAGATCGATATCTTTGAAGCGACGGTCGATAGTGGGATTGGCAAGGTTCGCCTACTCTAAGTTCCAATCGGCGTTGACTCACAAATTCATGAAGGTTTCTCAATCAGTACAATGGGCTCCATTCAACGTAGGTCTGGATTGTGAATGACCGGGCTGTTACTGACTCTCTTAGGCGGGATACATATGGCTGAACACCTCCGACAATTTGAAGATTTATGATTCAGACATCACTGTCCTAAACCCTTACCACGGAGGTATGTGCTCCTTCTGCATGGCGAATTTGTGCCTTACAGCTGTGTTGTAGGGGCGTATCAACAGACTACTAGTGGTCTTTCGCTTACGGACCAAGATTGCTATGAGCTTGACAAGGGTTGCTACAGCATCTATGGGTTTGAATACAAACCGGGGTTTGCAGATGTCCAACCACAATCCATGCTTAGTGCTTATATTTACTCCAGGTTCGACGCCGGATACATCACTTGGATCAGTAGCGGCGAGGCCGTCTGGACAATTTACTCTGGTGGACTTGGACCCGATACTGAGACCGAGATTGGTGCCCGTCTCATTTCTCAGGAGCCCATGGTATAACAACCTCTCTCGCAGCAAGCATGAAATAACTGACCACACTGTAGTATATCATTGCCAACCTTGGATTTTCACTCAATTTCGGAGGGATTGATTTCGAGAACCTCCAGTTCCCTGCGACCATGTTGATTGATTATATTCGCGTTTATCAGCCTTCAAATGCGCACAATATTGGGTGTGATCCCCCGGAATTCCCGACCGCCACTTACATCGAGACGTAAGCCGTAATCCAAACTAAGACATCCGGGGTCTGCTAAATATTTTCCAGATACAAGGAAGCTTATACTAACTTTAATCTCACTGGGTGGAGCTCCCCCAGCTTTAATCAGACAGTACCTAAGAATAGATTGAACGGAGGGTGCTGAGCACTTGTCCAAGCCATACGTGCATTTACGGCGTGCAGGTTATTGGGATTTCGCTTATTTCATTGCATATCTTTCTTTCACCACAAACATTTTACTGGTCATTCTTGCACATGGGGACTTTGCACATCATAACCTTGCACATATCTGCATTACGCATTACCATTCACACTTATAACAATAGATGACGATGTCATTTATTCATTTGGTCGTTTTACGCTAACATGATCGTTGATTTTTGATCACGTGAAGAATCGCGTCACGGTCAGCCGCTAGCTTATTAGGTTCGACCTTTATCGACCGCACTACATAGTGTCATATTTACCACCATCCCCTCACAGCTACTTCACACTCTTTGAACTTACAACGCGGATTATTTTGGTAATGCCTGCTGTCTCACGAAAGCGAAAATCTCGCGCCCGGTCTGGATCAAAGCCATACGAGCGGCGAGTTGCTTTCCCACATTCTTCCAGTCCTGCCCTTTCCGATAATCAGAACGGTGACGAGTGCCCTCCATCACCAATCTTAGACACGGCGGACAAACCTGGATTTCCCACATATACCCAGTACAAACGCCTAGAGACCGGATACCTGGAGTCGCTGTCCCCGCGAAAGCGTGATAAGGCCCTCATATCTCAGTGCATGTTCGACAAGATCTGGGATGTGCTACACCAACCGGACGCATGCACTGTTGGGACACCACAGTTTCGCTTCTGGGTCCGCAAGATGTTCACGCTCAGTACACCCGACGCAGAAGATGACGGCGAGGTACCAGTTGTCATCCTCCATGAGAACAGGCCAGTCGCCGTTCAGGAGCAGCTATATGAACTCTTCTGTTACTGCCACGAAGAGTCCAACCACGGCGGTCGGGACAAAACTTGCGCTATCATCCGCCAGCACTACTCATGGGTCCCAAAAGAGCTTACTGCACAGTTCGTCAAAGCTTGTCCTACATGTACCTTCAAACGAAGCGGCAACCCGGAGCTTATCGCACTAGTCCAGGAGAAGATGACCTCTCACGAGCTGAAGGAGGAGCAACTTGAAGAATCCAAAGGTTCGCTGTGCCGGCTGGGTTCCCCTGAAACAGGCTGGCGGTTTCCCGGAGGTCCACTCGATAAAATTGGAAATGTCGCTGTTTCCCTCGACACTTCAAACTGCTCTCCATCCACCCCTTCGCCGTCCTTGCACTTGCGAAATTCCTCTAAGCTATTATTGCGTCCCCCACCACCCTTGCTTGATTCCCCCCTGCAAGACCTCAGCGACATACATTTGAGGCAAATTCGCGTCGGCTCCTCGCGCGGAGGCTTGCACCCTTTGACCTTGGACATCGCTAGTCTGCGTAGTCATTCTAATGCAAAGCCAGGGGACCTACCGTCTCTGGCAGATATTTACCGGGACAACACGAGTGATGACCAGTACAGGTTGACCGCTCTGTGGCCCGAAAACATCTCGGACTCGCTCCCCCCTGAACTGCAGCGTCTTCAACTGTCGAGCCCCGTTTGTACCCAGATCATACAACTCAACCAAATCGATCCGGTTCTGCTGGCTGGAGAGGAGAAAAACAACAAAAAAAGAGAGGGCTGTATGGGCGAAGTATCTCCCCTGTCACCCTATTCGCCGTTGGGCTTCACCATGTCGCCTAACCTCATGTTCTCGCCGTCTCCTGTGACTCCCGAGGAGCGACAACGTCATGGTCTGTATGGAGATTGGACACCGCAAAGCCCAGAAATCAGTCCAGCACCTTCTCGATTGCGGTTCGGCAATATGTCAACGTGCCTGACACCAACGTCCAATTTTGCCACGACGGGCAGCAGGTCAATTCCAGACTCCGAACACCATATCTTGCCCGACACCCTTTTGCCACCATTGTCACCCCCGGTTACGCCATTCAGTAGTGCTTCATATCCGCCTGCCGAGGAGGGAGAATTCGGAGATTAATTGCCGAGAGGAACCTGACGATGATGTAGATGAATCTCAATTATGTATGTTGCAGGAATTAGGTACACCATACATTCCTTCGAGGAGACTGGTCTGGATCAACGTTGCATTCACATAATAATGTCTTGTTAGCCCCACCAGAGTACATCAATTCGCGGTGGAAACGAACCACCCTAAGCATGATCATCCGGTTGCTGTTGGGCAGATGTCATTCGGACGTGGATATGTAGTGGCTATTTGACAGCTTTGAAGGTGACAGGGGGGGACTTTGTATCCATTTCACTGAGGCTTCGAACGTCAGGCGCTTGGTACCTCCGTGAGCACCGCAGTGACCGATCTGCGCTTGCACCGGCATCCGACCGCTTCTTCAACTGTAAGTCCACGAACGATACCATTGTTGCTCTTGCTACTGTGATGAAGATTAGCTCATTTAGTCTTGCGGACCCTTGGCAGGCAACTACGCATGGCGGAGCATGGTCCCATGGATAACACGCGCAGGCCTCAATTCACATAATGGATTAGCTTAGACATAACAGTGATGGGACATAGTGTTGTGAATACATACGTAGACATGATTATGCTGTGCGTGAATGCTGAAGAAAAAGGCAACATCACTATCTGGGGCATATCACAGGAGAAGGTTGAAATAAATGCCCACTTGTCCACAGTACTTTCTTTTGGCAAACGTTTCCGTCCAGCAAAGACACGTGGGATATGCGATGACCGACAAAACATGGAGCAAGTCAACTCGTTAAGCTTGAAAACGTTGCTCTTGTCGGTACGGTAGCTAACTTATCATGAAAAATCCATGTCATACTTCCTGACCTTTTCGCAGAAGTTATGCAGCATCTTGTAGCGCTTACTACCTGATACCTTGATGTACCGCCGTTTTTTATCTTTTCGTAAGTTGGATGCAGCTGTCGTTGAACGAGATAGCGTACTTGACATACCGATGGTGATTTGAATAGTACCAGGATGTAAAAGAGATGAGGTTGATGTGGCGTGGAAGACCGTCCGCACATTCAGACATTCATATCGCGCTCATGAGGAGTACGTTGGTGGTGGCATACTTGGTTCGAGATAACATCTTGTGTGGATCGCTACTCCTGCTCCCGACCACCGATGACACTAATGATCTTCTCATAGACCGTGAACACGAGGCCTCCGCTGATCTACAGAAGCAAAAATTGAATGACTTCAATATCACACGATGAAATCAACGCACTACTAATCTAGTCAGTCGTGGCGTTGTGCCAGTCCAAAACCGGAAGATTCCCTCCTCAGTCAAGATCCTATATCCACAGTGGAAAGAGTTACGGTACTGCTGGCGCGCTGATAGCGACTGCATCCGCGTCTTGATCACGCTGTGATTGTAGAAAACAATAAGCACTCATCAGCACGTACAGGGACAGTGCTTACTCCAGCGGTTGTGTCGTATAGACTGTCACCAAACCAGCTACTGCACCGATTGCAAACGTGATTCCTGGAGGCAGCTGTCGCCCTGGTCGCGTGGTTCCCTGAATAAACAGTTTGAGTCTCCCGTATATCGCGAAACGTATAGCAGATGTTGATCCTTGACGCATGATCTAGGGTTCGCTATTAGAAAACACATTATATACACATCAGAAACACTCACAACGGGAAAGACCCCTCGATATATGCCGAGAATGCCTTCCTGTCGAATTATAGACATCGTTCCATGAGCAAGACCGCGATATTGCGGATTTGGACGTTTAGAATCATCGATCATTTTGGTCCTGAAGTGACAAAGGACAAGAATGAGATTAACAGAACAAGAAGAAGCCTATGCATACTTGATAGTCTCTGAAGGGGTAACAGCAAAGATAGCCTCCATCACACCAGCTCCAAGACCAGCTATTTTCATCGTCAGAGAAATTCATTCCCCACACCGAGCTCACATACCCACTAGACTTCTAGGCGCACTGACATTGCCCTTCGAATATGCTCAGCCAATTCGCTTTCTCGGTGTTCGACAAAAATTACCTCCGCATCTGCGAGCATGCTCTTGAAGTGGTCATAGCTCACGAACCGAACACCAGCCTTGACTGAATTGCCTATCACGAGTGCCAAACAACCCGAATACAGACCCGTTACACCCTTTTCGCGTAAAGTCGAGCGGATGATAGTCAAAGGTGGCTCTCGCTGGTCAAGCAATACACCAGTCAGTTTTCATGCTGGGAGAAAAGGATGACCCACCTGTCCACCAAACTGTGACCGGGTCTTCACGAACTCAGTGGGGTATGTCACGAATCTATCTTCTGAATATGAGCAATACCTCTGGCAGTGGGATTCACTTTGCTGACGCTTCAATTGCTCCAGCAGTCGCACCCGCGATCAGAGAGTGGATGGGCTTCTCTTTCTTAGAGCCCATGTTGTTGTGCTTGAAGGTTCGGACCAAGTGAGGGAATCCAATCGTGACTGGCTGTGTCAAGCATCATGTGCTTTGGTTTGACTTCGATTTGAGGCGAGTGAGATATCTTTAACCATTCATCGCGGAGTTGAAAATGAATGTGGGCGAGTCAAATCGACAAACGATAAAGATTTTGTTTGGCTAGGTAAATCAGAAGAGCGCTGAGCTTTTCCGACTGATGGATTGACGACACGTCTATGAGTTCCCGAGATTTGCGCTGCCAAACATTAACATTTCGACAGGACATCCCAGAGATCATCTCTTACTACTTCCAGTGACGAAGAAACTGCCAATTTGTTTTTTTTCGTATCATGGACACTGCATCGTCGGTGATCCACTTGGGTTATGGGGACCTCAAACTGAACAAAGACCAGTTGGATGATGTAGGATGAGAGTATTGGGCTCGACAGTGAATATACATGAATGCGGACTTGTTTGGTAGCAGGGCGATGCCGAAAGTGGCATATTGTCTGAAAAGAGAGTTGGGCGCTTGATCTACACAGCCAGTGCTGAACCTGTGAAGAATTACGAGAAGCAAGGAAGACGTACCTGTAGAGCTTGAAGAACGACGTTCCTTCCTCCCTCCTTGACTCTGAATCAAACAAAACGCCCACTCCGTCGCAGCTTTGATACCGAATTCGTCTTTTGTGTACGTCTGGTGACTCTGATCAAGGGAGTGATAGATTCGTGCGGCATTTTATTTGATGTTGAGAGCTGCAATTGTACCGCGTCCATTAATAGGTGAGCCTCCGAACAAAAATCATGGCGTGCCCAGCCCCTGCGAAGCAAGCAACGTCAGCGACAAAGCCTCGCCAAAAGATAAAAGGACGCACTGGTGGCCATGGCATGACAGGCGTGCTACGCCTACCCGATAAACAGCGGACCGTCACTTGTTCATGGGATGGCCAATTCGAATCTGGAACTTGGAGAAGAGCATGCAGGTCGGAGAGGAATGGGAGGACAAAGAAAAGGGAATGCAAGTCATAGCATTGTCACCAGACAGCAAGACGGTAGTAAGCAGCTGGAGTCAGGATGGCGCAGTGAGATTGTGGGACATCGACACTGGCAAGGTCACCAAAAAATGGACGGGGCATACAAAGGCAGTACTGGTGTCTGTGTGCTGGAGTCCAGGCGGAGGGCGAGTAGTGAGTGGATCTCATGATGGAATGTTCAGATTGTGGGATATCGAGAGTGGCGGGACAATATTGGGACCAAGAAAGACAGGACATTCGTACATGTTCAAGGTTTGCTACTCACCCCATGCCAAGATGATTGCCACCCACCGGTACGGGCGCAACCTCAAATTTGGGATGCAAACACAGGCGAATTGCTCAAAACACTCCCAGGAATTCATTGGTGCCTAACATGGATCTTGGCTGGAAAGACACTCATCACTGGGGAGTCCACTCCATCACGAAATTTGATACGGCCACCTTGACTCAGATCGCGGTTTTTGAGTCAAACAACTGGACTGATACCATCTCACTATGAGTCATCTCCTAAAGAGCGCGTCATCGCATGCACATCACTCGGCGACAACACAGTACAACTGTGGAACCTCGAAAACAATCAACTCATTGGAACACCACTCCGCCATGAAGACCACCTGAACTGCGCGACATTTTCTGCAGATGGAAAGCCACTCGTCGTTGGCTGCAATGATAATCACATGTACATTTGGGATGTGTCTGTTGTGGTCAGAAACGCTGGCCTTGACAACTTTCTGTCAGAAAATGTATGTTCAATCTCATCACACTGACAATAAGTTCGCTCATCCTCCTAGAAGGTATGTTGCATCCAGTACATTTGAAACCCTCCCACACTGATTCGTTCATCACAAAACACCGTCAATAAGCCATTATCAAAAGTATGTCGCATGTTCCTTAGAAGTTCATTGCTTCAAACATCTACATCCTAGACTTATGCTACACGACGACGACCCCCAGCAATCCAAGACGCTCGTCGAATACCTCAAGCATTCTTTGACGATACACGAAATGTATGTGATTTCATCTGTATAATGGGAGAGTCCCACTTGACAGAACTCTTAGTTCTCTACATCCCGCAGTGTTCCATCTCACGGGCGACGTGACCGTCATACCATATCATCACACCAACTTTTCCTTGGTCGCTTACACTCCTTCTGGCACCGCCGCCCTTATCCACACGACGACTGAGCCTGATACCCAATCTCGACCTCCCCTCAGCATGGCTCAAAACTTTGTCTCTGGCATACTAAGCAGACGAAATGGATCCGACACCGAGTTACAAGAGCCACCTGTGGTTGAGGTTCCATGCACAAGCGGCAAGCCTGTAAATTTTTGCTTCTCGGTTCTTGTCTATTCACTGACCCTCATGCAGAGGAACTATCACGCAAGAAAGAAGTCGGCTGCTAGCTCCTCTCGGCCTCCTAACCCCCATGCCACGCAGCAATCCAGTTCAGCGACACAGAACGCACGATCATCGCAGCAACCACCTGCCCCTACTGCTACCTCGACACTTTCTACGGCCGCTGGTACCGTTGGGGCAGCGGGAACACTCTCAGATCCTCATATCATCGTAAGACACGCCACATGGTTTTGCGTTTGTGTGAACGAGATTTTCCATCTTCTCGCTTCCGTTGCCGGTGTGCAGACGCTGTCCGCTTTTCAGCAAAATTCTTGCTTCATTGAACATGGCGGGGATGGGTTCCCGAAGAAGACAAGTGTGTAACCCACATCTTCGCGACTACCTTGCCGAGCGTCAATGTTAGGGAACAGTTCCTAAGGAGCTGCCGCGGTGAGACGATCACTGCTGAACCCATCACTGGACTGCTCCTCAATGTAGGAGCAGCTCGTGTTCTCTCACTCACGCTCGTAATAATACTCTGCACGTCCCCGCATGATACGAGCAGTCATCAGCACCAAATTATCAAACGCACCCAAGTCTCAGGTCGACGAGGCCCTCTACTGTTGCAAATCGCTGGTCTCATCCGCCATCCATGCTACTGGCAGTACTTCGCTACGACGCCTGGCACGTCCATTGTATACTTGCTATCTATCTGAAAATGTCGAAACCGGGGAACTTGGGGTTCTGGGGTGCTGGCCTAGCAGGTTCTTCAAGGGCGCCGTTAAGCTGCGATTGAAAGCAGGTCCCAGGGATTCGGAAGGTGGGTCGTTTAATAGCCTCTACTAGTATGACAAGTGCGGTATCAGCCACGACGCTTACTCCCTAAGTTACTTGAACTCACTTGGGAGTCATTTATGTACCAAACGTGTGTTCTTACAGTCCTTGATACCACCGTTCTTCCTATCCATACATTCCAAGTTTCCGGGTCAGAAAGGCGACTCCGTGCCACCGTTCCCGAGTAGAGAATTTCCAGCCCAGAGCGCGCGTCCAACCTTTTTTTTTTTTTTTTTTTTTTTTTTTTTAATTCCTGATTTTTGTCTTTGAGAGTATCTCTATGTAAGACAGTTCTATCTAGTCTTGGGGGCTCCTGTGCCCCCCCGCACCTCTAGATCCATGAATGCCCCGGTGTGAGGCTTGCCTCCACCGGTCCGCCGTTCCCGCCGCGCGTTTTTAGACATGCGATCTAACGAAGGAGAGGTGACTTTATATGAGTCGCGCGATGAAGTATCTGATTAAGTATGGGTCGTCTGGACACGTTCTCGATCACCGAGGCGATTGGTATAGGAATCTATTTGAATGCAAAAAAGGGATAAAGAAAGGTCTTTTGAGTGACGAAAAGATGGTTTCTGAAGAGTTTTGACTGATTTCATGAGAGGATTTGATTCCGTATGAGCGAGTGAATATGGGGGTGTTTTAAGATTATTTGGGGGTTTGTACGCTTGGATTAGATGTTGAGGTAGTGTTGTAATGTCGTGATGTCGTGGTGTGCGATTGTGTTCGTTTGATACTGTGTGCGTGGGGTTTGATCTGCGATGGGGTGTCTGTCAGTCTGCTCGTTTCGGTAGCATGGTGATTTCACCGAATGTGGTTTTCATTCTTCCAGTTGCGTTTATGTATTGTACAAGGTGCGGTGTGGCTTCGCTGTCTGTTAATAGATATGGGATGGATGTTGCTTTTCTTCCTAGCGCTCGAACGAGTGTGTGACGCTCTTGGCGGTATTGAGGGCATGTTAACAAGTAGTGGTGTACATTTTCTTCTGTGCGTGGACAATGGGGGCATGACAGGCTATAATGTCATTTTAATGCACAGGAATAGGCTAATTAGCAGAGTTTTGTAATGCAACAGCGTTGCTAGACGCGTATGCATTAACCACCATCCTAATGCAGAATGTAATGCATTACTGATGCATCACTTTAGTTGGTGATGCATCACCTCCTACTACCCT